AGGGTATCGCTGGAGTGGTTCCGGGTAAGGGTATCGCTGGAGTGGTTTCGGGTAAGGGTGTCGCTGGAGTGGTTTCGGGTAAGGGTATCGCTGGAGTGGTTTCGGGTAAGGGTATCGCTGGAGCGGTTTCGCATAAGGGTACGCGGGGAGTGATAAAGTGCTTCACGATTTCAGTGCTTTCGGGCAATTTCCACCTTTTCCGGGTCTATATATATTTTATTTATGTCAGATTTCAATCATGTCCAGACATGACTAGAAAGAATGAAAACAGATAAAATGAATTCGAGTCAATCGACAAACAGTCAAGAGATGTCCATATGTAGCAAAATTGCTTAGTGGAACACAGAATGCAAATTTCTCGTGAAGATGAATTCACGGAGAGCAAGAGTTTACAATTGTATTTTTACTTTTAAGCCCTTATAACAGATGTTGTCACTTCAAGACTTACAGGCGTGCGCAGTGCAGTTTGCGGCACGTCGTAGTCTCAAAGTTCCTAACTGTTTTTGGGTTCAAAATGGTTTTTGAAAACAACGCAAATTCATCATCATTGTTTTTGCCTCGTCAATTTCGCGTGCAATGAAGTCCAGATTACAATTTCTAGTGTTGGAAAACTGTTGCTACATTTTTTCGCACACAAGAGGAGTTTCGTGATCTACTTCATTTTTCATTGCTGAGTGGAGTCTGTTGCTGCGGAGAAAAGATCTTTTCATGTTGTCCTCGCAAATCTGTAATGCTATTTTGCGCTTCGAACACGGTGAGAATGGTGTACAGACGGTTTCTATGGACACCCGTCGCTACACCATACTAAGAATAAGTAGAACGAAAAGAAATATTATTGCTAGACCGATATCGATTTCATTTCTGTTCTCTTCGTCTTCAGCACTTATCAGATCGGGAACGAGCATGAAATCCCGTCGAAAGGAAATAATTGATTCGAAGAAATTATTGTCTCCTACCTATGATGGATCTCGGGATGAATGTTTTCTTTCGGAAATCAAGGATATCTGGGTTATTTCGTTTTAGTTTTCTGATTGTCGCAAAGCAAAAGCTCAAAGCCTCCAGCTGCTGGCGCTATGTGCAACACGCCGGAGCCTCTTCGTTTCTTTGACAGTTATATTTGGCAGCGCACGACCGCTCTGGTATGGCATATGCTCTGAGCCGCGCACTGTGCTTGATTTTTCCTCTCCTGTTCATTCTCATCATTTTGACTTTCAATCAAAACCCGGCTCGCAAACTGAGAAATCTCATCTTTACTTTTGGTCACGGAGATAAAGTAAGAATCCAGGTTCTGAAAAGTTCGCCCGAAATTTGAGTTGTTACTTTTGGTGTCCGCGTCGTTGTCGGCTCGCTGGCATGGCAAGTAGTGCAAGATTTTCCCGATGCTTCCGTCGCCGTCGTTGCCCAGCAGCCCATTTTCCAACATCTTCGCTTTTGGAATCATTCCCACACGCGTTAGCCGGAGCTTGTCGTTACGGTCGTCCGCAGTAAGAAAAAGAAAAACATCAATTTCGTCGCTGGTTGTGAATGGTGTGCGTGCCATTCCTTTGGTCATTTTGTACAGATGAAAACGGACGTGGCGGGAGTAGTACCCCGTGCCGCCCTTCGTCCACGTCGAAGCGCGAAAGAGCACCCGGCGCTGGCGTAGCTCCGCATTGTGGTGCGCGACCAGAATTGTTGGTGGGAAGCACATTTCCGCGAAAACCGGCAACTGCATGAGCTGGAGGAGCAAAATTCGATTGTGCAAAAGCGCCGTCGACGTGGCCGACGTGCGAATCCACTGGAGGTGTGAAGATGCGCTGGCAGCGCTGATCGCCGTTGCCATGCTTTCAGGCAGGCTTGCGGCACTCCTCACCCGGCTCTCGAAGCAACTATCTTGCGACGAAGACAGCAGCAACCCCTCCAGGCGTTCTCTCAGTTGGTGACTAGCAGCAGCACCGTCGAGGTTGATAATATCGTCGGAATCCAGTTTCAGTCGTACGAACTTGTTGGCATGTGCAACCGGACTCGAGTCAGTGATGCAGATGGAGTTAGTTGCTATCGATGTCACGAGAAGTGGGAGGTCCGGATATCGATCGTGGGATGGGTTCCTCAACTCGTAAAAATATTTTGAATTTACAAAGTTGATCGAATGGGGCATCTCACGAGCGCCATGAATTTCTTCTTCCTTGCTGCCGCGAGGCACGCCTGTGGAAGTCATTTCTTTCGCAGCGATTCCGCGTGTGGAGTTGGTGTTCCGCACCTGAAGTGGTACCCAGTTCCTCTTCTTCGGTGCTCTCCCTTCTTCTCCTTCTTCTTTTGGATCAGGGCATTGAAACGCGGCCCGTTTGCGCATTAGCAGAGGAAACGCCGACTGCTTCGGGAGGCCGTAAAACTCGAACTCCGGAGCAAGGGCACGCGCACGATTTACAAACCACAGAATCCCTTTTCCTTGTTCTAAGCGCCGGCAGGTGCGTTTGCTTACTGCTTGTGGTGCAGACCGAGCCGAAGAGAGTGCCAACATTGTCTTTTCGGTGTCTTTTAGTGTCTTCTCAACTACAGCCTTGTGATAAAATATGAGAATGCAGACGACGTGGTCGACCCCACCACCTGCGCCTCTAATTCTCCTTGTCTTCTAAAGTGAAGAAGTGTGCTTTCACTTGCCAGCTCCATTGCCAACACCAACAATCATTCGTGCTCTCGAGAGGCCTGATTATCTCTCCTTACAGGGTAGCAAGTACTGTTGCTCTAGACCTTTTCTGCTCTCCTCCTCCTCGGATTGGCACTTACTTGCGTGGGCGCCGCGAAACACGGTCCGAACACAAGGACTACAGGGGCGTCGTCCGTTTTCGGGAGCTCATCTTCAACAATTTGCTCTTTGCTTTGCTCCGATACTCACGACGTGAGTCCTGCCGATGTAGCTGCTTCTGGCGGGTAGACGACTCGTTCATCGAGTCGCTCTCGCGCAGCGACCAGGCGGTCCTCGGCAGAGTTGCTTGTATCTGCCGAGACCTCACAAAGAATTCGCTCTGCGAAAGTAGAAACTGTCTCGTCATCAGCCGCCTGCGAGACGAAATACGAGCCGAGACCACCAAAATTTCTGCCGATGATCTTCTCCTGTGGCCCATCGCTGCAGCGAACGCGCAGAAAGACACGTCCCCCGGACCCGTGGCAGCGCAAGTGACCAGACTCCAGCATGGCCTTCTTCGGCACTAGCCCAATTCGTGTGACCTTCGACGTGTCTGACGGGTCGTCGGCGACGAGGAAGAGAAAAATATCCACGTCGTCTGTATCTTCATACGGCATCCGCCGGATGGTGCCATCCAACTCCGTTTTGTGCTTATGAAAGTGGATTCGCCCCGAGTAGATGCGCTCAGACTTGGCTCCGCGTGCGTACCACGAGGAGGCGCGGAAGAGAACGCGGTGCCCACGCAGCGTTGCGTTGTAAGCGCCGCCCGGAAACTCGGGATCGAACCGGAGATCACGAAAAACAGGCCGTTTCATCGCCTGTATCAACGCTTGTCGATTGCGGTGGAACCCCGGGGTGGCTGCCGAAGCTTCAATCATGTCAAGTAGGCGTGTGCTGGCGCACGTGCCACGGACTGGGCAAATCTCTTTTCCCCGTAGTTGTCCTTGAAGATGGGCTGCTGTTTGTTCGTCGCAAAGGTCGATGAGGCACGAAGCGAGGGTTTGCTCCGCACCGGGGTCATCCAGATTGAGGAAATCGTGTGAGCTAGTCCGGATGTTGAGATAGACGCTGGTCTCGTGCGGAGCGAGGACACAGAGAGAGTTTGTCGCCACGGATGTAATGACCACCGGAATATGCGGAAAACGGTAGAAAGATGGGTTTTTCAGGCGGCACAATAGGTCACTGTTTGATGTTGTCGAAGATATCGAAGATCCACTCCTGCTGTTGCTGCCTGCAGCAGCTTGGAGAAAGTTGGTGCTACGAAGCTGCAAAGCCGTCCAGTTGCCGGAGAATGGGTCGTCACCACTGCTTGCTCCAGATCGTCTGCGACGCATCAGAAGCGGAAAGACCGACATCTTTGGCAGGCAGAAAAACTCGAGCGTCGGGGCAGCGCGTCGGGCGAGCTGCAAAAACCACACGATCCCGTTCCCTTGCTCAACCCGGTGTGGTTGCTGTCCCGCTGCAAGTAACGAGCCTGCTCCTCGACCCTTCCCACGATGGAAAGGCGCGCTCGAGCGTGTCAACATTTTGTGCAAATACAAACTCGATATACCAATTCTGTCCAGCGTGTACTGATCCGACTTCGCTTTTGCACTTGATTATTGTCTTTGTGCAACTACCTGCCCCTCACAGCCCCGGTGGGAACAAGAAATGAGAGTTCGTCACTCACGGACCTGCAGCTCGCCTTGAAGACGCCGCTGGGTCCTCCACGAGTGCATATTCTGTTTCTGCTGTACTCTCATGAAGGTTTTCTCGTTATACATAGAGCAACACGCCAACGATCTGACTCTGAACTCTGACATATAGAAAGATCAGGTGTAAACAGAAGTTCCATCATTTGCTTAGGAAGCACATATTTCGAGTTTAATTCAGAAGGAGGCGGACACGACCTGGAACGGAGTCGAATCCGAATGGTGAATACTGTTGTATAAAATGGTGCAGTTACTGTTACAACTACACGGGTTACAGATCAGCGAGAAGTTGACGGTCATTTTTTTCCGCGCCATTCAACGAGGCGCGGACAATTGCAAAGTTTGCACCTCATCTAGGAGGAGCAGCGACGTCATTTTAGATCGTTCTACTCTAGGTACTTTCTCTTCATCTGAATCCGTTTCATCTGAATCGTCCTCAAAATGGCTCATCATTTCCTGTCCCATATTGAATGTCGTCCCACTCCTCCTGACGAGCAATTTGGGAGTTGCTATAGCTGATGCGCTTGCTCCACAGCCTATCCGGACCATGCACAGGCAGATCGAGAATCGACGCAGCGCGCAGCAGGTCGTGCTTGAAGGGAAATAGTCTCGGGTCGTTTCTCCGGCGAGGAAGTGCGCCTGCTTGATACCAGCAGCGAAGAGTACAAGCGCACTGCATGATGGTGGCCCGATCTCCCGTTCCGCTTTGGTTCTCGAGAATAGAAATCATCCTCTTAAACCCTGTTTGGCAAGCAATGGTGGTGCGGGCGCCAGTCCAGACCGGGGCCTCCTCGTTGCGGAACGCTTGCTTCAGCGCCCGTGCGGTTTCACCATTGACAGTGACATCGAATTCGAGAACGTACCGTAGGTCATGTCTGCGAGTGTGGTAGGGGTAGAGATTGCGCTTTTTCTTGTCAAGGAAGACCTCGTGCCAAAATTGCAGTGTCACTTCTTGCATCTCCTGCTGGAACTGCACAGCCCTCTGTGTCGGTCCACCAAAGGCCGTACTGTTTGGGTCGGACCAGTGTCGACGCTCCAAAGCCCGCGCCTTTTCGAGCTCCGCCACCCAGAACGGCTCGGGCTGTTCTCTCATCTGACTCATGAGCTGGCTGATGTTGGGATCTGCTACTTCGCTTTTTTGTTCGTCGTGATCGACTGTCGCGAGGACGGTTTCGATGTCGCCATGAAACCACGGAGGGTTGCTTCGTCCCAAGCTTGCCATTGGACATACGAGCTCATCGGGATGCGCCATCTGATGATACTCCGCATAATATTGCATCACCGACCCGATGGACAGCGTAACACGGTTCAACGGATCAAAATTGGATCTATGACTGGCATTAATTGCTTCGTCGACGTCGTGCAATCCGGATCTGGCAAACAGATCTGCCATCTTTAGTCGCTTGGACAAGCCAACCTCGAACTCAAGTTCACGCAGTTGCGATGGGTGAAAAGATGGAACAGGGCCGTAAGTCACTGGACAGAGCTTTTCAAGCAGCTGTTTGTGCTCCGGTGCTGTTGGTGCACTTTTTTCCGGAGGTTGCTCCGCAGTTGCCCCAAGCCCCAGATGCTTCCCCAGGTAGCCTTCCGGGTGAAGCCGGTAGCCGAGAATGGCGAAGTCTTCGCGCGTGTAGTTCCCCTCCAGAAATATGCTGGGAGTGTAGGTGAAGACGTTAGGAGGCTGGGTTTTTTGCCGTTGATTCACGTCGAGGTGCTGTTTGGTGCTTCCAAGTGCTTCTGCTTCATGCTCTGTTCTCTCAGGAAACGAGGACGCCCGCGTAGAAGTAGTTGCCATTGCCACGTCGCCCTCGCACTGAGGCGGTGCCACTGAAGAAGTAGACAAGGTATTGCTGCTACTCGCTATTATGGTCGAAGCAGCCGTGTCTTTCCTACCGGGCCACCGCACCGTCAGTCCCAGCATGGCGCGGGCGTTGCGCTCACAGATTGAGGGGGCAATCGGGTCCTTCGCAAAGAGAAAGATCTCGCGGAGAAGTTCGTCGGGCAACGTTTGGACGGGCTTCTCTTGCTGACCCCCATGTGTTCCCACGGTCGCTTTCGACGACATTTCTTCTTTCTGTTTCTTCTCCCAGCACACACACACCGCGTTTGTCGCGCGCTCGGCTGGTGAGTAGAGTACTGCGGCATTTGCTACTCGGGGATACAGGTCGTTCAAGTAGTCGTGCGCAAACTGCGCCTCGGGCGTGGCTGGCGCGGGTCTTTCCGCTGGGACGATGATTTCATCTTGCGGACCGAAACCTTCTTGCAGCAAGTGCTGCTGCACGGCGAGAAGAGCAGCTGCTGGCTCGGGTTGCCATTCAGCATTGGTTCGCGGATCATCTGCATCAGCGACAAACTCGATTGCCTGTTGTTGCAAGGCAGGTTCGGCGTTGGCTTCTGTGCCCAGCGGATCGACCAATGCTTCATCCTCCTCTTCGAGCACAATTACCTCTGGTAATTCTTCTGCCTGCGCTGGGCGGGGTTGTGCCCGTTCCACGGCGGTGTCGGCCACAATTGCTTCTTCCGCTCGGACAGGCACAGGGTGGGGGTCGCTGTGCAATGCCACGAGTGTAGGCTGGAGAATGGGAGAGCGTGGTAGCGCTGGGTAAGGCAATTCTTCGTGCCGCGGAGCCAAACCATTTTGAATCGCAACTGATTCATCATCGTGAATTTCCTCCTGCACGACAACACTGTGCACCAATGGTGCTTTTCTACTGGATCTCCGGCCAAAAGCTAGATGGACGTTGTCATTCAATCTTAGCCACAACACACCTCCAATGAGAGCAAATAAGGAGCAGAGAAACAACAAGATCTCTACTTGATGTACTCCTCCATCAATTTCAAAAAAGAGCCACAACATCTTTTCGTCCGTATGATAGCAGTTTCTTTATTCTTTGGTATTGCTTCTTCAACAAAAAAAATTCAGAACTCTTTGCTATTGATTTCGTTCTGGGATCGTTGAAGAGAAAATTTTCTTCGTTTGACTGTCTAAAAGCCAAAATCTCGGCGAGCTCCATCAAGTAAAGAAATCAGAGCTTGACGAACGACGCAACAGCACGTCGTATGAACGGCTGTTCTATTGGAGACGAGTACGAAGCGAGACGAGAGATCGCACCAATTTATCGTCAACGAGAAGTCAAATTAAAGCCGTCTTGAAACGAATAGAAATTCCTCCTCGTCACTCAGCGACAACTGCACGAGGCAGAGTGATCGTGATAGAGATTCAAGTACGCCTACGCTATTGAAAGCGCAGCCACATTGGTCGATAACTAACTCCGCTGCGGGTCAAACCACGACCCAGTGAAATTTGTATTGCCGGCGTTTTTCGATTTTGTTTGTTTGTACAAAGATGGCAAGTCCTGTGACCGGTTCCTCCGATAAGCATATCTGTTTCTGTACTAGGAATCCTTTGGCAAAAATATTTATTTTTTATTGCCATCCGTGCATCACTCGACCGTGACGCCGGTAATTTGTCTGTAACGATTAATTTTACCTTGCGAAACACTTGCGGTTTTTCAATCTTGTATTTGGTATTTGGAATCTTAAAACTCGCACTTTGCTCGAAACAATTTTACCTTGTGCTTTTGATACAATCTGCTCTACTCACAGAGACAGTGTAAGTCCGAGTAAGTTGGTTCAGAAGTCCTAATTTTGTCATTACAAGTAGTAGTTGCTGATGGTTTTATTTTGAAAGATGAATCCATCCTTTCCCCAGCCTCCCTTCCTCCACCACACCTTCATTTTCCGCCTGAAGTCCTAGTGAAAGCTGAGCAACCGCAGTGCCGTGCAGAGTCGCCGCAGCCGCTCGATGATCTTCACAGATTCTAGCGACGACCGGTACAGCTCCATGTTCTCCATGCACATGACGAGCGTGGCGTGGGTTTGGATCGGCGTGAAATTCGGTTTCAGGTCCGTCCCCGGAACCAGCGTGATTTTTTCCGTCCCCATAACCAGCACCGTTTTGTAGTCGCCGTCGTTGTCCACGTCGAATGGTGAGTGCGCGTCGTATTGGGTGTTGGCCCGGATGCGGAAGCACGCTTGGTCCTTTTCGAGTTTGCGTATGAATGGGAAACCAGGATGCGCTATTTGGAAGTTTGTCATGCTACTGTTGACATCATTTTCCTATAGAGTTCTTCTTCTGTGTTGCCCTACCGTGTTTGATTCTACTCCGTTCATCTATTGTTCAGATGTCTAAACAGCATGACAAACTCAAAATAGCTGAGATTTCCAATGTTTGATAGTCCTGTTGTGATTGGAGAAGACGATGTCGTTGTGCAGACTGATGGTCGCCAAATCCGCGTAGGCCTTTTTTTATGCATTGCAAAAGTATCTCACTCATAGTAATCGCAATCATGCATGACAAATCCACTTTCTTTACCTAGTTCTGCATTACAAATTCCAGTTTTGTTCTTGAAGCAATTTGTCATGCGATTTATACTGGTACGATGCTTTTGCAATGCATATGTTTGCGACGGCAACGTCTTTGATGCAGGTTTTTCCGACGTCGTCACTGTCTTCTGGAAGGAGGTTGATACCTGGTGTGATTGATTCCCGTTTCTTATGCTATTTTGCTTGACAAAAAACATCTGCATGAAGACAATCACAAGGCGAGGCGAAGCATGCACAAAATCTAAATCAAAATCTCGAATCAAAAACAATCTTCTTAATACCACATTCCCTCAGCTCCAGCAGCAGCTTTACTGGGTCGTGGTAGACCTTTCTCTTCCTCTCCTGCATTTCCTCCTCGCTATCCTCCGGGAGCGGGGGCGCGTCACCGTCGAATAATATCGTCGACATGAGCTCTGGCAGCGCCGGCCCCAACATCGTCACTCCCTCGTTGTTGATCTTGAACAGTGCCTCGAATCGCGTCGTTTTTAACTGCAGCTCGACCTCCCCGCCCGGAAATTTTGGTCTTATGATCCAGTAGGAGTAGGGGAACTCCAGATTTTTCGGCTGCGTGATACTGAAAAATCCTAGTCGCAGGCTGTAGAAGGAAATTTTCCGCGTGTTCTCGTCGAACTGCACTTCTGAGATGTGCTCCGTCGACCAGGCGCCGCCGGTCGAGGTTGAAGAGGAGGATCCGCCCGCCTGTTCTGCGCCTTCCGCCGGTTCGTTTTCCACCCAAATACTCACTTCCGGGACTGCCTCTATCACGCTGTTGTCCGGGACTTTGTACTCGATTTTGCAGGGTTGCAGCGTGGCAAGGTTTACTTGCGCGCCGCCCTCGGTATTCGGGTAGAGCAACCGCTTCAATCGGAGGGTTCCCTCGGGCGGAATCTGATGTAGGTGTGCATTGCTATATGAGGGTGGAAAATGATGAACAAAAGCAAAACTATATAATTGAAGGACTATAAGGGAAAAAGTCATAACATCCTTCAGAAGAAAAACCTTCTGAAGAATCTTCAGAAGAATCAAAAAACCTTCAGAAGATCCAAAAATTAGCACTTTTTTAGGCGCGCAAAACTGAAACGGATTCAGATCCTGAATTGCACAAATTTCGCCTTTTTTGAAAACCTTCAGAAGACTCAGACCTTCAGTAGGTGTGTTGTAACCTTCAGAAGGTTTTTGACCCAAAAAACCTTCAGAAGGTTGACCAAAAATAATTCTTGACCTTCTTGAAGGTTTTGGCCTTCTGAAGGTCGTTTTTTCGAAACCTTCTGAAGGTGGAAAACGAAAATTGCCACTTTTTATCAAAAAACGGGAAAAAAATGATGCAACTTTTTTTGACCTTCTGAAGGTCAGAAAATCTTCTTGAAGGTCTTCTGAAGGTTGCGACCGGAAAACCTTCTGAAGGATTCTTCTGAAGGTTTTCTAAATGTTGCTCCGGCCAACGCCAAACGAATAAAGCGCAACCTTTTATTTTAGCAAAGGCGCCGGCGCTGTGCCGGTCGGACGCTTTTCGCCGTGTCGTGTGAAAAGAGCCCGACTGGATATCGCACGCGTTTAGATGCTTCGCGCACTGTTCTCCTGATTCTGGGCTTCGGGAGCTCGAAGACCTTCGCGAAACGGAGTGAGAAGTCGCTGACTTCTCACTTTTCGAAAATTCTCACTCTGGGAAGAGTGAACGCGGCTCCGACTCCAGAGTGGGAATTTTTCAAAAGCGCGGAATCACTGACTTCCCACTCCGTTTCTCGAAGGCCATCGAGAAACGGAGCTTTTTTCAAAGTAAAAACTTTTCAGATGTGTCTCACTTTTCCAAAGCGAAAACTTTCCAGAAATGAGAAGTCAGCGACTTCCAAAATGACCACTTTCCAGAAGTGGGAAGTCAGTGACAAAATGAAAACAAAAAAGCTCCGACTTTCGAGACAAAATGAAAAGTCGCGGGCTCTTCATCTTGTTTTGCGACGGAAGGCAGGCCCCTTGTCTCTCAAAAACTTTTCCAGACAAAAGGCGTGTCACTCGTACCCCATGCGCGCACGCGCGGCGCATTTGCGAAGCTCCTGCGCTGCCACTCCTCGAAAGCCTTCGGGGAAGTTTTCCGGCTATCAGTTCTACCGGAGCAGGGCTGCGAGTCATGCACTTTGATTTGAAAGCAGTTGCGTCGACGAAGCTGAAGGATGTATATACTTTTTCCCACGCGGCGCACGCCGCGTGGATTGGTTCTTAATCACGAAGTAGAGCATCTTGTCGTGGGTCAAATCAATGTTTAAGTGCGACTTGCATGACAACTTCAAGATACGAAAGTACCAGCTTCATTATCCAGCCGCCCCGTGGATACACTTTTGGCCGGAACGGAATCGAGAGGACCTCCACGCGGCAGATTCCCCCGACGGAAAGGAGGAGGGTATGGAAGTTGAGAACATCTCGCCTAGACTGCCACAAAGTTAGTTGTGAAGACTGTCTTCAAATTTGTAATGCAGCACAACATTATTGCTAATCTTTGTTTTTTTACAGGCAGTCCTCGTGGGAGTACTACTTTGAGCGGAACGTGCTTGCGAGGAGAAGGACGCCCAAACAGCATGACAAGCTTGTGTTAACCTTGCTGGTCAGATAGAGAGCGACTTTCCAATCCCATACGGGCCCGTGTTTTTTGATAGATTGTCATAGACGGTGTACCTGAAGTGTGAATTTTGGAATCAAACTTGTCATGCACTTCAGAACCGAAACTGCTAAATAATGTTTCGTACTAACTTGGACGTATTGAATCCTCACCTCTTCAATACAGTGTCAAGTATGAAAAATCGAGAAAGTCTATACAGCGATCGCACGCCAATTTGCGTATTTGTGTGGCCGGAGGCTATCGACTTAGGCAGCTCCAACAAAACCCCCATTCTATATTGGTCCACCACTTTTGCGCGAAACTTTGATGCTGGGTTTATGCTACCCCAAAAACCAACCCGGATTTTCGTTTTGTTGGTTCCCCAGCTGAACAAGAGAAGTTTTGGTTTTTCGTTTTGTCATGCGGAAATTTACAGCAAAAAAAAAAATGGATGTTCCGAACTGTTCGTACTTTGTCATGCGAAAAGGAATTTGAATCTGTTCATTTCCATCGAAAGTAATACACGTCCTGGACTTCCTGTCTTGCGTTGATCTGCTTTGGGTGGTGTTCCGTTGAAAAGCGTCACTGTTATATGTTCAATTTGCGATGCGCGTTTCGTTACGATTCTGATTTTCTTGCATGAGAATTAGGTAGAAGTGGACGAAGTCGACATCTGATAGATAAACCAGATTTTTTTTACACACATATCACAAACTAGCCTGCAAAAACAGTGAGTTTTCAAAGGACATAGCTCGATGTGCCCCAGGAAAAACGCCATTGCTTGGTCTAGCTTCGCTAGCTCCAAATCCCGCAAGTCGTTTATGAACTCTGTGTATGGAATGCAAATATGTCTGGGTCTGGAACAAGAGTGCGAACGTGTCATGCATCTTTTCCATGACCCATGAGGTCTGAAATGCGGGACCTAGGATGACAGACTCTGTCAGATCCCTATCATGCCTATCCTGCATGAGAAACTTTGTCTCAACTTGGTCAAAAGTGGACAACTTTTGGCATTCATGCAACACAGATTTTTGCACGATCCAGAATTAGCATTACAAGTTGCATCCTTCCAGACCCAGACATTTTTGCAATGCATACTGTGCACCACTGCATTTTTTGGAGGTTGTTCACGCCCTTGGCCTCTGCATACGCTATCTGCAAATCCTCGACGAGAAGAATGAAAACGAAATTTTGCGGTTATGAGAAGGATGGATAATTGGATTGGTAGTCTTTCAATTATGGTATTCGCAAAGTCGGTTTTGCATTAGTCTAGGTCGCGATAGTTAGAATGTTCTTACACGACGCATGACAAATGAATCTCCATCCACACTAGATTTCTTGTACGCAAAATTTCTGTTCCGTATTTTCCTCGGACTTCAAGCTTTTGTTGAGCGCCTCGACGCACTTCAACACCTCTGTTTCTCGCAGATTTGTGCAGTAAGCCGATATCTCGGCTTCGTACCTGTTTTTGGTTTTTTTTTGCATCCAAAGTTTGTCATGCACACTTTGCAGAAACTCGATATTGATGACCTCAACAGGTTGAAAGAGTGGAAATTTCACATGACATTATTTCGCATGACAGTCGTCTCTTTTATTGTACGGTATACCTGACGTCCGGCTTCGTGTTGCACGCTATGTATTCCTCCCATTCGTTTGCCAATCGAATTTTCTCTATTTGTATCATCAAGAAAATCACACTCATTTATTTTTTCCGGACCTTGCTTTGCCTTTGTTTGTTTATGATGACGAAATTACATGCATGACAGACAGAGTTTTTCATGCAAGCCGGTATACCGAAAATTTTTGGCGACGAGTGCGATTTTCGACATGATAAATTCGTATCCCAGGTCCTTCATACTGTCATGCTGGAACTGGGCGGCCTGTCAGTCATTCGTCATACAGAGTTATCGGGAAGACGAGCAGTTGCAGTTTGTCATGTGGAACACGAACATCAAAACGAAAAAACTTTCACATAGATTCCCTACATTCACTTTCAAATCGTCATTGCAGAAACGATCTTCAAATCTTCGCTTACCTTCGGCGCCTCCTCCTCCAGCCTTTGTCGTTCCTCCTCGTTCTTTATGACTGTGCACAACTCCCCCTCCCCCTCATTTGTAATGCAAAATCCGAAATCCTGTCGTTGCTTTGTGGCACGGTTTGCATGACAAATCTCGGAAGCCCAAACACAAACAGTACAACGCTAGGCACATCAACTTGTCATGCAAAAGCTCCATTGGGGCTGGTGTCTGTATTGCTTCCTTTTCATGCCATAAAATTGAGGGGGAGGGGGAGTTGTGCACTGTCATATTCTTCGCTGCTAGCTCGGCTGCGGTTTTCTCTGCCTCCTCTGCCGCTATTCGGTCGTCCTCTGCTTTCTTCTATCAAACGCAAATATGTCTGGGTCTGGAAGAATGCGACTTTGTCTTTCATATTTAGCATGCCCCAAGAGGCCTGCATCAATGCAGGACCTGGCATGACAGGTTCTGCGAAGTCTCTCTCATGTCTATCCCGCGTCACAAACTGCCGCTACACTTGTTCAAACGTGGACGCCTTTTGTTAATCATGCAACACAAATTTGTGTACTATCCAGACTTAGCATGACAAGTTGCATCCTTCCGGACCCAGACTTTTTGCATTTGATATCTTCGCCGCCTGTTCGATTTCAAATGCAACCTGCTCCTCTTGGGCTTTTAAGAGCTCCTCCTCTAATTGCCTCCGTGACTTCTTACCTGGAAATATAATTTTGTATAATACCTACTTCATCGAGATTCAAGTACATGGGGAACAGAAGAAATCAAACATTGAAGACATGCAATGTTCAGCAAGACAAATACGTATTTTATCTATCACAGTGTACGTAACCTTACCTTTCTTCCCCATTTTCGCTTTCTCGTGTGCGGAAGAACAGAGAGGAGCAGTGTGCCACCGTGGTCGGGGTGCAACTTGTACTCGTCACTAGTTCCTTGTCGAAGGTGGTGTTGCTGATTGTCGCGGCACGAAGGCCGTATGTGCCGGATTCCGTTCGTATGCTCGCTGCGCTGCGGAGAAACGCAGCCCAGGTGCGGCCTGCAGCGCACAGGGTTCTTGCCACAACAAGTTAAAAATGGAACAGGCGCCACGAGTCCCACATTGTGTTTTTTCAGACAGAATCAGACGAAAAAATGCGCTGCTGGTAGATAACGCTGCGCAATTCTTGAAGTGCTTGCGGACGACTCTGACCCGAAGAACATGTCATACGGTGCACAGCTCGCAACTATGATTTAGTAGTTTCGAATGCCTAGACAGTTTGTCTTTGTTAGAAGAAAAGGCGGCCAAATACCAGACGACAAGTGCAACGATTTCGCTCTGAATGAATGAGGACGAGATACGGGCTGCAGTTTACTCGTTATGGAAATTTACACACGAGCACGAGGACTGCGCCATGGTTGAAGCGCGGTAGACATTCAGGGCAGACGACGCTCCCTTCGACCACTCCCGACTCTCGCTGAATAACAACTTGCTTCACAACCACCCTCGGCCACGTTTTCTACTTGCTCATGTCAAGAACATACCACCTACACGATCACGGTTAGGTGCCTGTCTGAGAACAAAAAAAGGCGCCGCCCATACGCCTATATCGAGATGAAGGAACAGGCCGGGGGCCGACGACTGCGTTACAGGTAAGCGACAATAGACAACAATTGCAGGAGCCAGGCCCCGGAGCTGGCGGCCGCCCAAGGAAACAACAGGGCACGCGGCTCGCTGAGCACGAGAGGGGTGCCTCAGGGCAACCACTGCAAAGAAAGCAAAGTAGGTGGCACACCCGACGGGCAGGCGACGGGCGGCACACACATGGCCGCACGCCGGGGGCATGCCGGCCATGCAGTGGGCAACGGCATGAAGCGACGCGCCCTTGTTGCGCCGCCCGGTGCGTGTTTCGGGGGGGCGTGGCGCTTCCTTGGCCCTGCTTTGTTTCTCGGCGGAACCCGGCCAGCCTTGCTGCAGTGGGCGCCTGCGCGACCATGGGCGCCGCCCAATATACACGACGAAAGTCAGATGCCGGCGCGGCCCGAGGGGGCGCGGCCCGCCCTATGCTTTTCGGTGGCACATGCCCGGCAACCAATAGCAACAGACGCCGCCGCGGCCACCTATCGACTTTTTTCGCGCGGAGGCCATGGTGTCGGGGCCTGGCTTCTTGCTCCGCCAAAAGGCCAGGAGACCACTCGCGGCCGGCGCAAGCTTTTCTTGAATCGTGGCGCTTCGCTTCCCGTGGCGGAGGGAGTCCACTACTGCCTCCTCGCCTCGTGACGGTGGGGAGGCACACCAGCACGCCAAACTGCTGCCCGACGCCTCGCCACGCAGCGGCGTCGGCATGATTTATTTGAACGCTCTGGCAGAATTTGATTTGGAGTTGTGCGTCGAGTGTCCTGGTAGAATTAGAAAAGGGTTTATCGGATGACGAGGTAGGTTCCGTCCGCCATGTTGCACAGATACAGTATTCTTGCGACATCAACAAGAGGTTTTTATTATACAATTTGTTCTCCTCTCGAAAACGATTGTGGGAAAATCAACAAAACAGTTTTATGGCTCTCTTCGGTGTGGAACTCAAGTAAGAACAAATGCGTACTTTCGAACAAACTTACACGAAACACAAACACCAATGCGAAATCCGACCTCACGATCAGGTCCCGTAAAAGGTCGTGAGAATGTAACTTGCAAATATCCGGAAACCGACGAGAGGGTTCCCACCTCCTGACTCACATGATCTTCCTCAGCAGCGAAGCTGTGGTCATAGTGAAGAAGCATGGGAACAAGAACATCGTCGTCGGGCTTCAGAAACTGTGCTTCGCATTTTATTTTATCTCCGTTTTGTAGTTCGCCTTCACGTCCTTTGTTTTCTTCACGAGCTCAAGTCGTTGCTGTTACTTCGGAGATTTGTGGTAGCGAGTGCATTCACAGCAGAAGTTACAGTTTGTCACTGATCCGTTTGTGCAGGCGGTCGTCTTGACTATCCGACCTCGCGTACTGCGATGAATCAAAAAGTTTCCGGCGGCAGCGATGAAGCAAAATCTAGAGCTTGCACTTCGTTTCTTTCGTTGATGCACCGACGGCAAAATTAGTTCTGTAAAAGTACATATCACAGCATCTTTTTCTTTAACTTTAAGCTCTACAAGAAGCTGTACCGGGATGCAATAAGAATACTGAAATTTGTTTGGTTCACCAATCTTCAAAGAGAGGTTCACACCTCCTAGCTCAATAATGTTGTTCACGGTTTCATTGAGAAATTTTCACGGGAGTTTGAGTTTCCTTTTCCTTCGGGTAGTAAAATCGACAGCAGATCAAACCTTACATCGGTCATGATTGTTGCAGATGAAAACAAGTATCTCACACTATTTGAGGTTCTTTCTGGAAATGCCACGACAGCGTGGCGTCGACAAAAGTCCAATGCTCTAAGTTGGCGTCGCTAGAAGCATTTGGAGAAGCTCATAAAGGTCTAAAAATTTAGCGTCCTTGTTATTTGTGATTGCAGCTCTTCTCCTACTTTTCTTCATGAGTTCTAGTGCGGAACCGAGCGAGGGCGAGCATCCTTTTTATCGGTTTGATGCAAGTAGACAGCAGCGGCGGTTGTATTTGGTTTTGGTCCACACAAATAATGAAGCTCTTGTGATAAACTTTTCTATCAGAAGAAAAAACAAGAAAGGTTGATGAAGATGAAACGCTTTCTGCATGTCTATACAGATGGTACAAATTGTTAAGTTAAAACTATAGAACTAGAAGCGCCAGATGTGACAGTTGTTGGCTTCGAAAGTTGAAATTGAATGATAGCGCCTAGGCGTCACTCATCTGATGACGGATCTGTCAGATTGAGTTCTTGTAGTGGGCGAGGTCAATAAACAGCAAACTGTTTTTCTTCGAGGACGCGAGTGAACTCGCCGCGAGTTTCCCGGATTGCTTCGAGGACTGCTGCGTGGTGGGCAGACAGCAGATGGTGCCATGTGGGTTCAGGCGATATCCCACCGTCGGCAGGAAACTTCTGATGCAGCGCACGGACGTAGTTGATCGCGCGTTTTAAAAGTTCCGTCACGGCATTGGACACATGGACCGACACATGCTCGCGCGGTACGTGGACTTCGCCTGTTGTAGGAAAAACGTCATCGAGGCTGCAACTCGTCGCGTTGTAAGGCAGATTAGTTGGAAACAGCGCTTTTGTACTCGAAGAGGTGACATTGGCATTGCTAGTGCTACTGTTGTGACTGTTTTCGTGCTGCAGACACTCCTGTCGTGCTCCAGACCACGTATTCTCAGCTTTTTTGACACCTTTTTCCAGCACCTTCTGCTCATAGCTCCGCTCGCCGTACGCTGTGTCGGCGTACAGCTTCAAGAATAGACGTCTTGTTCCGTGTGCATGTTCGTGCGCTGCTTCCAAGTTCTCATCTTTCGGGTCATCCGTCGGAAATCTGGATTTCCAATAATCGATCACTGATTTTAGGATTTTCCACAGCACCCAAGGCCCCTCGATAATAAGCGTTCTGACGGTGGGGGAGGCACAGGTTCGGACGATGAGAAAAAGAGCGTCAACATCCACTATTCTTCGCAGTATCCCTGGCAAATTCTGTCTCGTTTTGTGTTCGCTTCGGATCTTCGGCAGCACATGTAAGTACAAGGTCTGCAGTGAAGATGCAGAATAGCAATTGTACGTCTGTACATGAGTCAAGCTATAGTGGCTTGCGAGAAAGTGGAATTCTTCGACTTGCCGAGAACATCTTTCTCAGGTTGAAGTTCCAATAAGGAAGATCACGAAGATATCGGTTCTTTAGTTGTGTTTGAGTTTGCCTCCGATATCATATAGAATCGCTCCTCCATCCGCACTCATCATGCAAATGCATGAAGCTACAGTACAACATTTACCACTCGAGCTAGAATTTCCCGTTCGTACTACCGACGGCACTTTTTACAGGCTTTTCCAAATCGCCATCGCCTTCCACCGATATTCCCGCGTCGAAAATCTGCTCTCGCACAGTGCTGTGGTATCAAATCGAAATTCCAAAAAACAATCGAGTTGCTCCCACTCTCATTCGAATTGCCATGACACTGTATGTCCACGCATAGCATGCAATGTGTATGTGTCATCTGGGCGGGGTGCCAACGAAATTAAAACTGCACTCCAGATTGAAATGAAAGTAGGTCGGCTGCGCAACAGTGTTTCTTGGTTCGATTTGATACAGACAGGAACTGCTCCCACTGAGTCCAGACCGGGCAAAAGTCCTCCTCTTGAAGGCTTTGTGGATCTTGAACCTTAGTCGCCTGCGGAGCAGTGGCGTTTCGGGAGTTTTTCGTTTCGGCGCTGCATTGCTTGCAACAGGCGGACAGCTTGACGTCGTTCTTGGGATTGGGTAAATCTTCATTGTTTGCCACGACGGAACTATTTGTTCCTGCCATCTTCCTCCAAGAAGTAGATTTCCTCGCGAATATCCTGCGAGAAAATGCCGCTCTTTTTTGTTCGTCCGCTTGTCCTCGTTGCAAACGCGCCCGCAGTCGCTCCGCCTCCTTTGTCGCTAGCTGTAGGTACTTAACCAGGCCCGCATTGGTGCTTCTAGCAGCGTCCAATTTTTGCGCAACGCCATTTCTCTCCTGCAGAAACTTCTCGCGGGAAATTAAAGTCGTCTGCAATTTTTCCTCGAGCGACTGCGCCTGCTGCTTGTACTGGTTGCGGGACTTCAGTAAAGCGAGCACTTGGTAGCGAAACTCTTCGTGCGACGTCGGTATCAGACTCATCATGGCAGCCGGCGGCGACGCGACGCAGATTCCAGCGGGGTCTTCGAAGTCGGATGTTGCTGGAGCAGAGAAACCGTGCTGATCAAACAAGTTCTGTTTTTCTGGAGAAGTAAAACTCACTCCACTTCTCTTGGTCCCACAACCTCTCGCCGTTGAGCGTTCCCTGGCCGGTTCCTGCGTGTGTCGGAAGAACATGTTCCAGAGCCGAAACTTAGCAATGTCCCGTTGCTCGACCACGACGTCACCTGCAGAAAATGCACCCACGTTCTTCGCAAGGAAAAGGAAGTTCGTCGTCGCTTCTTGTAGCTTCATTTCCTGGACTCTGGAGCGGAGATCCTCGTTTTCCTTGACTGCTGTCGCCAAGTACTTAACCAGAGCCGGAGAGTGGGGGCCCACGGTGGCGTCGTTCAAACCACAACTCAGTGCTAGCTTTTCGGAACTGGCGCGCATGGTCTGCAGCTCACCGCGCAAGACGTCGCGGGACCGGACCAGGGCCTCGTATTTTGGCGTCAAGAACTCCACCCGGTCTTTCTGCGCCTGGTGCTTCTTCCGCAGCTCGTCGTGCGATTTGACTAGTGCAACATATGTTTCGTGCAGTACTTCGGGATACGCGAGCAGCTGCACTTCGTCGGCTAGAATCGGTGCGCGGCGAGCTTCTTCCTGCTCCAGAAGATCCAGTTTGACCTTCAGAAAGTAGGAGAGACCCCAGTCGTAGTTCCGAAGCTCGGTGAAGGAGTCGCCTAGCAGGGAATCCCACGAGGGCTCCTCGGCGATGGTCCCGTCGCGCGGGAATTTTCTGTGCAATGCTCGGACGTGGGTGAGCAACCCGGACAAAAGCGGGGTCGCAATCGTAGCAACGTGCGGCGAAACCTGCGTCCGCGGCAAGTGGACTTCCCCACTTGCCGGGAATGTTGCGTCGAAGCAACTGTCTGCGCCGGCGCTGCCGATTTTCCCCTGATACGATTCCTCGTCCTCCTCGCGCGCAAGCCCCGTGCCTGACAACTTTTCATTTACCTGCCCGTGTTGCTTGATGTAGCCGTCCAAAATACGTCGGAATCCATATCCAGTGTGCAGGTTTAGTAGCGCGAAGCGAGGGGCAGTAACCTCTACGAGCTCGGTCAATTCGCCCAACTGTTCTGCGGGCAGGCGAGGCGCTTCGGTCGGGAAGGCCTTCACAAACGATGACAACAACTCCTTCACGTCTTCGATTGGGTGTTGAAAGCCACGTTCGCCAGCAAGAATCTTGTTTACCGTTGCGGATGAGCAGGTTGCGACGACTGCAAGAAGTGCATCGAGGTCGATTATTGTGGACGGAAATATGCAAAATAAAATTCTGCTGTGTAGTACCCACGTTGTGATGAAGATGCCATTTCCATAGTTCATTCTCGCAGCAAGCTGACTTCAGAAAACCTGTAAGTACTCCGCTTGTGGTAGCAATCAGATCGACACGAACCTTTGCTCACACGACACGAGAACCAAGAGATGAAACCGATCATGACCTTCTGGTCTTTCCGACTTGAAAGATGTCAACCCCAAATAGATTCAGTCGGGGTCGTCTGCGTCGCTGTATATTTTTCTTGACGTCCAGCTGTATATTTTTCTTGACGTCTTGCATGACAAGCCTGCACTATTAAGTACAAAGCAAAATTTGCATCGCATATTTTTGTTTACTGGCAGGGTCGGTTCTCTGTTGCGGGCTTCGGCAGCGGTCGGTACTCCTGAGAAGTCGTTCCCGGGGCTAGCGTCGTTATCCTTCTGGCCAGGGGAGGTGTTTGGGCAATATTGAATCGAAGAGCTCAGTTACGGAAAATTCGCTCAAACGACCAATGCTTCAGCATCTCCAAGGAAGACATAGAGAGATGTTTTCTCATCCCGCCACCCTTATTCTTGCCGTGTCTCCATGTCAAAATGTTGACCATTCGCAGCAAACAAACCTTCAAAAAATGCTAAAGGAAGACAAGCAGAAGCTACGTACTTACACCCAAGTAGTTTGGTCGTTTGAGCAGAGCGCTAAACTGTTTCGATTCATCATTGTGATACCATTGAAAACATTTCCCAGTGCTGCCAGACCGGACAAGTTCCGTTTAGGATCGATGAATTCGAGAACAGCGCCGCGCCGTGAGACGATGTGTGGCCACTGGTCAGTGGCGCGTAATTCCCCGCTGCTGCGACGGTACCTTCCACCTGATCCGGCATTCTCAGGGATGAAGCTGGAGGAGTCTCCAATGCGGCACCTGGACATCCGACGGCCGCGCCATCTTGTGCTGCTTGTTTCTTTTGCGCGGCAGCTTGTTGTCGCTGCAGCAGTATCCTTGTCCGCAACAGTTTGGTTTCCTTCGTCGCTAGTTGTAAGTGCTTTTCGAGTATCCACTGCAGCAAAAGCATCAGCACATCCTTGTGTACTACAACTTGCAGTATGTAGATGTACCGCATGAGCATGACATGTTGACTTTTTTTTCGTTTTTGTATTGAAAGTAAGCAGCATCACAAATTGCATTTTTCCTATATGAGAAAATTCGAATTTGTATTGCGATTTATACTAGATAGCAGTGCGACACTTTTCCTGCATTGCATATCCAGGGAGTCGTTCGACCGATCCACAGCATTTTTCTGCTCCCGCAACTCTGAAACCGATTGCAGTGCACGTCGTAATTTCAGCTGGACGACCTGCAACTCGTTCCGGAGAACCGTTTTTGATAGGGTGGTCCAGCGCAAATCGCTCTGACATTCTGCGAGGTCATCTGCACCCGACTCGCCGAATCGGATCTCGACCTTGGGGCAGACAAACCCTTGGGCGGCTGGAAATGGGTTCCCCTGTGCGGCCGCGCACTGCTGCTGCTGCGCCCCCTCAGTGGAAGAGGAGGATGTAAAATTCAGTTCCCGCCCCCTCCAGCGGTAGGGGGGCGGCGGGAGCCCGAAATTGCCGCCGACGGTTTCCCACACTCCGTATAGCACCGCCATGTCGGCATCCATCTGCTGCAACACGGTCTCGGACAAACCGAACGTCGTCTTGGCGACGTGATGTTGCAGCTGTGTCACCGGTATCCAGTGCAAGATACGTGTTGGTCTGGGTCTGGAGATGAAACACAAATCACACGGTTTGTGTTGCTGATGTTTGCATTCATCGCGCCCTGCCTCTTGTCAGTACGGTAAAAAACTACAAGAAATGAGTATGATGATGTACTAGTGCACGACAAGTTGTTGGCTTCCGCCTATTGTGATATTACTCATTGCCACGAATTCTCCTAATCAAATTTTACAAAATCGCATGACAAACTGCCCTCCCACAAGGACGAAGAACTCACCAACCCTTTTCCTGCAAGACAGATTTGGTTGAGGTTTGCATACCATGAGTCTCGCATCAGCATCACAAATTCAATTCCTTATGCTATTTCCGACCCAGACTACGTATATATTTGCAATGCGTAGTCTGTCGCTCCAGTAGCTGCTTTTCGCTGATTGCGGATGCCAGGAAGTTGGCTAGGGTGGACGCGAGTTTAGAATTGTCAGCGGCCTGCTTTTCCGCCAAGGAGGGAGACCTGATAGTTTTTTGAAAATGTGTATGTGAGGAAGCGATGCAATTGAAATTCTGATGATGTCAGCCCCTACTCGTCTTCTATTTTTTGTCGTGCAAATGGAAAGTACAACACGATCATCAAGAAATCGCCGTAGTACTCAGATCCGGCCGCGGTCTTCTTGAAGACGGAAAGCCTGCTGCCGACAAGAATTCCCAGAACGAAGAAGCAGACTCCAACCAGAAGAGTCCGGATCCAAACCCCGTGGCTCTGCGCTCGAGCTCCGCGGAAAAGGTACCCGACCGTGAGTGGTTGCTCCCGAGACCAAAAGTGCAGTGCGGGCGGCGAGGAACTCGAGGAGGCAACATTTTGGGCCGCAGTCCCCTGGCCGCCTCCGTTGATCTTCTCTTTGTATTTGTCAAGCGCCCACTGGACCGCCCAGTTTCTCACCGGGTCGCCGACGAGTGGCTGGCCGCTCCTCGGGCACCGTTTCACTATCTGGCTTTCCGTACTCCGTTGCAGCGCCGATTTTTCGAACGTATGGCCGGTTGAGACGACAACCGGTTCCTCGAAAACCTCGTACGTGATAGGACACGTGAGGAGATCAGCGAACTCGTCCGGCGTCAAGCAAGCCATGTTGATGGCTCACACACGAAGATGTATCTGATGTACTTACTTGTTGGAAGTTTAGCTCTAGTTCGCTTGCAAGAATCCACTTCTAACTCCACTTTCTAATATTCTCGAAAAACACGATTAATGACGCAAATCGGGGTAATTCCCGAAACAGAGGTTCGTCGCCCTCATATGCCGAAAAGAAATTTGCACCTGTGGTCGGTGAGTTTGATCGTTATTTGATTTTGTCACCATAAAAACTGTCTCTCCCGCAGGTTTTTCCCACTCGAATCGACAACGAAGACAACGATCACTCACAAGGACACAGACACAAGCACTCAAGAACGATAAGCCGATTTGCAGACAATTTGAGGCACGAAAAAACAGCCGACGGATAAGATATGTATCGGAGCAAAAAAAAATCCACGATACTGCAGCGAGCGAAATGTGCGATAGAAAAGGACTCTGGCCTCGAACGATCCAGAAAGACATTCAAGAAAAAGGAAAAGGCTGTGCATCCTTTCTTTCACAACAAAAAAATGTATGGGCGAAATCAGGGCGAATGCGAAAAGTGGAAGAGCGGGACTTCTGGAACAGATCAAATTCGTGAAAGAAGGTTGTCAAAAGCTGTAACATACAACGACCTGTTTGTAATGCGCAAGCGATCACTCAAAGAGGCGACGGCGCACTAGCCCGACCACGAGCGAAGCACAACCACAAAGGCCGCAACTGAGACAAAAAAGCGCGCGTGGCCATACTCCGGGGAAGCTTCGCGCCCCGCTGGGGAAACGGAATGAAGCGGCGCGCCAGTAAAGAACTACGAGACGAAGACGTCGCAAACATTTTCATCTCCAGTCATAGTATTCTGACGACCATGTGTAGTTTTACAACTGAAGCTTAGGGGTTCCTCACGCCGCTCAAATCAATCTGGGTGGAACCGTGACGGACGCAGGCATCATTCCTGCGATCGCCATCATTTGCCAAAACAATTTTCAATTCTACAACAAAACTTTTCATTCTCATATGTAAATCTACATGAAATCGATGATGTTGATGTGTCAAGACACCTAAGTACTGCGAGCAGCTTGATAAGTTTTCAATCTCGTCCAACCTCCATCCAAGAAAAATACTGGACTGCCGCCCAGTGCTGGTGTTGTACTAAATTTTTCATCAAACTGCACACGACACAAACTGGTCGCTCCCCGCCTGTCGGAAAAACGCCACTTTCCGGGAAAATTTCCAATGCTGTTTCAAAAGCGGCTATCCACAGTAAATTTCCCGTACACGTACAAATGCTGTCTCTGCATGACAAAACGTGCCTTCAATCCTAGTCTAGCATGACAAGTTGTACACTGCAAGTTAGCAAAATTTGTCATGCATTTTGTACATGTACGGGAAATTTACATTGCATACCGGCAAATCGAGTTTCAAAGTGATTGTCCGAATGAACTCCGGGGCTTGGCTATCAAATGTAAAAATGTCTGGGTCTGGAAGATTCTGAGACTTGTGATGCACGTTTTGCATGAGCCATGATGTCTGTGATGCATGCCCTAGCATCACAGATGTTTTGAGGGTATCTTTATGCCTATTCCGCATGACAAATGCCCTCTCCGCGTAGCAAAAATCGCATTCCCCTTGCTGCTCATGCTATACAGATTTTTTTGGAATCCAAACGCAGCGTCACAAGTTGCATTCTTCCAGACCCAGACATTTTTACATTTGATATTGGCCGTCGTGGGGAGACGGCGGGGTGGAAGAGTTGTACTGATGGAGATTGTCATGGTGCCGAGAAGTAGTTGTTGCCGCCGCCGTTGCATGGCCGGGTGCTGTCGAAGAAGAAGAAGACGAACCGAACATACCGTCCTGTTGACCGTCCTGGAGAAGCCGCTGGTCTAGCGGGCGGGGGCGACTTTGTAGTCTGAATAGACAGTTTTGCACGCCACGGGACTCGCGGATCCTGATCATCTGCTGGTCGCGTATGGGGCAGGAGAAGTTGGTGGTGTGTGAAGTAAATTTTGCATAAAGAGGGGCTTTATTGGTTCCCTCACTCTAGATCTCTGTTGTACTTGTACCCTTACAACGACACCTAGACCTAACTGCTCGTACTGCCACCATGCATGACAAATCAAGTGACCAACAAAAGAAAGCCCCAGAAACTAGACGACCAACACAAGAACAACTTCTTCCCTTCCATATTCACCCTCCGTCGCAGTAACGAGCGCTGCCTGCGCAACCACCGGCGGCACCGGTGGTACTGTCTCCTTACCCCTCGGGTCGCGGCCCTAGGGCAGGAGTGGAGCGGACAAGAAGCCAACCGACGATCATCGTCGTTGTTACAAGAACCGCCACTTCCCGTATAATTCCCACCGTCTGTAGTACCCACTTGGACGAGGTCATCTTCCAACTCACTCCCCGGACTGCAGCCCCGGGAAAAAACCGAGGCCGAATCGGGCGGGAGCAGACGTTCGTATTGCGAAACAGGTCCGCGGTCGTTTGGCGTGGTTGTAGAGGTGCTACCGATTGTATTTGCTGTTCTTCCACCAGCAGAAGGCTGCATCATCTCATCTTTCACGGATAGCAGTATTCGTCCCCACTTTTTGTCAAATTTCGGCTTAGTAGAAGAAGCGACAGAGGGAAGTAGATCGGTTTTTTGCGACGCAAAACTCGAAGCCCCACTGGATCGGGTGGAGCTCTGACGCTTGAAAGGAACAGATGTTGAACCAGGCGTAGCGATTCTAGAGGAAGAGGAGGAGGAAGATCCGCCCGCTATTAAAAACGAAGTGGAAGAAGAACCACCTCCCGCTCCGGTTGACGTGCCCGAACCTGTCGTTGTACTGCCGTAGGATGTCGACAATGCCCCGGAAGACGACGACACGCTAGTACCGCTTCCCGTCGTTGAAAGTGATGCAGATTTCTTGTATGGCGCAGTATGCGATGGCTCCGCTCGTGCCACGGATGTGTTAGAAGTTGTCAAGCCATGATCTTCAACTAGTACCTGTTCAGCAGGAGAAACAGAAACACCAGTCAGCCGGTCGGCCTCTGCTTCTAGGAGGTAATCCGGGCCGCGAAAATGTTGCTCTATCGACTGGCCGGCACGACGAGCGTCACCGCTGGGACCGGAACGCCTCTCGCTCGTGGAGATCTCTTCAGGATGCAATAGCAACAGCTCGATCTCCTCGAGAAATTCCATTTTCCCGCCGCCTGCAGCGCCGCTTTCTCCGCGACCAGCTGGTCTTTCGCCGATTCGAAAACACGAATTTCTATCGCCTGGAGAGCGCTGTCGCCGAAAAAAATTTTGGAATGGCGTTCCTGTCACTAGTCGTGGTCCTGTTGATGTTCTTCCGCCTCGACTCATAGAGGCTTCATCGTGATGCGATGATACCGACGCGACAATATCAGACATCGACCTCCGCCGGCCATCATCTCCATCCACTTCTCTGCTAGTTGTACTGCCTCCTAGCACACTCGCAGCACTGTTCCAATCCAGGCTGTGGACCGATGCGGATTGTCCACCTGGTTCCTGTTGCGCCTGATGTTCCGCACCAGCAGTGTTCGTGCTGGCAACAGCACCTCTATCGTGATTGTAGTAGAGGGGCGGATAAGGCGGGATGTGAAATTGATGGTAAAAATACGGAGAATCCATGGTTCGCATGATAGACTCTGCGCAGTTTCGCAGGCAGGTTTTCATGCGGGCGCGACGACTGTCGCTTCTCGCATATGCCGCATTTCTATTATTTTCGGTGTCTTGCGTGGCAACATCCTGCGATGTTGGGCCGGATCCTGTTACTGAATCATGGGAAGCAACAACGTTACTCCCCGAAGATGAGGCGGTCACGAGGGAAAAAAACTGCGTGTCCCGAGTGAAGCCAAGGCCCCCACTGGACGCAGTCGCACTGCTTGTCTTCCGCTCGCGTTGCAGCTTGAGTATTTCCTGTGCTCGAAGGACCTGCGCTGTTGCGGAACCGACTTTGTGCCGATCCACAGCTTCTGCATTTGGAGTGGTTCTGGAGAGGAATTTGTTGTCCCCCTGAGACGAGGACGAGATCGGTAACATAGTCGTGAGAGCTCCGCTGCTGTCGGTGTCCAGGCTGTGCGAGCGGTGGCGGCGGTCGTAGTCGTACTCTTCCTGTGGGCGGGAAAGGTCTGCAGAGATGTGGTCCAATGCTCCACGACTGTCTTGCTCCTGGGCAAGCTGTTGCCGTCGCTCCTGTTCCTCACACGAGTTCACGACGATACTCGTAAACAAGCCCGGCGGAAGCTTATACTGTTGGTTTTCGTCGCTGATGTCAACCTCTCCGCCGGAGCCACCAGCGCTTTTACTCGCCGCCCTTGCCGCGTCTAACAGACTGTTCCTGACCAGGCGAAAGTTTGTGGCCGGAGCGTAAGTTAGTGAGTAGGACGAGGTAGTGCAGCCGTTGTCTTGGCTGAAATTATCTTGGTTGCGACTTCTGCCGCCCCGTCGGAAACTGCCGCGGCCGAAGGACGAGCTTGTTCTCGAAGATTGACCAGCACAAGTTGAGCCACTCATTTCAGTGATCAACCCAACATTCGTGGAGATTGAGTCGCTGAACTCCAAGACGTGGGTCAGAGCGTAAAGGAACAGGGCTAGTTATGCATTGCAAAAGCATCGTACTACTAGTAGTAGTCGCATTACAAATTTTCTCAGCATGACAAATGGAATTTCTCATTCGCATTTACCTTGAGAAAGAGATTTGTCATGCATACATGCGATTTACGAGTGCGATGCTTTTGCACAGGATACCAACCCACCGTCGTCGATGACTTTCGCAGTGGCACTGGCCAGCGCCCGGGAAGAATCGGGAACTTCACCGCTGAAGAAGTTGGAGAGTAGGGTTGTTAGCGAGGAAGGGGTGGACACACTCTTGTGTCTTGTCTTCGTTGTCGGATTTATCATGTTCTCGTCCCGCGTAGAATTTGAAAAATGCATGCTTGCTGTTGGACTAGACACTCCTCTCTTCGGCGAATCAGAAGGGTTCCAAGCGGCTCCTGCCCGCTGCGAAGACGAAACCGCACCAGTTGAATTTCTACGCTTCGGCTTGCTTGTGCTACTGTTGTCGGTCTGACAAAGGTGTTGATCCTCTGTCGTGAAAACAACTTCGCTTCGGTCTTGCGGGGTGGTCCTGCGAGCAGTTTCCCCGAAATGTTGGAGGCTTGTGTGTGGAAGGTCCTGAACAGGATGACGATCTTCTTGTTGCAGATCTTCAGCGTTTCTTCCTGCTTTTTTTCCTCGTGCGGGGAGTGGTAAAGAGCTCGAAGAAGAAAGTTTTTGCGGTTCCTCGTCGAGTGCTGCCCGGTCGCCGACGTGTTGGTGTTCTTGCTGCCGCCGATTACGATCATCCCGCGTGATCTCTACTGCCTCTTGCTGTGGCGCGTGAGAAGATGAATGCCACCCCGCCGTGGCTGATGAACAATGATCCGCTGCTGGTAAGCAAGACGGAGAACTCGCCGAAACGGCACTTACAGATCGTGCTGCTGCTCCCTCGGCAGGTAGTCGAGGTGTATTCATAAAAATTCCTGATTTTGCATAACTTTCCGGCCGTGCGTCTTCCTCCGCACGACCAGTCCTCAGGTGAAAGGGATCAGAAAAAGCACGGGTATTCTTGTGTTGAATGTCGAAATCCAGTTCCGGATCGTGGCCTGCTCGATTCGGTTGATGAGCGAGCAGCGCTCCACCTGCTGTTTCAGGTGCAATCACCTGACAGGGCCTTTGTTCACCCAGTATGTCGCTGTCAAGAAAATCAGTTGGCACATCAAGCGTATTGCTCATTCCACTTCCCCGCTCGTCTCCAGTGTCACGGTCATCAGCGCCGTCATCAGCTGCATCAGCCATCTCGACATCTTCCTTTGCAGCACCACCAGCAACGTCACCGCTTTTACCACAGTCCATTGTAAACGCGGACTCCTCCGTCGGTATTCTGTCGTCGAGAAATTTCGCGGACAAAACTGAAGTCGCAGAAAAATCCGGCACGGTATCATATGTAAAAACGTCCCCACCCCAGAGTTCTCATGCAGATGTGCAATGACGGGAACATTTGTAGTTTGCATCTCCATGAGAGGCATTCCCAATCGATTTTTGGAAGTTGTAATGCTGTCACCAGGATGAGACAGTGGCTTTCTTATGCGACCGCCCTTGCTAACCAGCACTACATTGCAGATGGAGGCTTGTCATGCACAACTCCCAAAGCTTGGAGGTTTGTGTTGCAGATTTACCAACTTGACTATGGGGTGGGGACGCTTTTACATAGAATACACGGGTAACCGACTTCGCGCGTTGATGGAAGAAGAGTTTCCCGACGAGCTGCAACTCCGGCTCGTGCCGGAGGTTGTGCCAAGTCCAGAACTACTGCTCGCGGTGACACTGTTATCTTGGGCAAGATTAATATCTGCTGACGCTCGCTGGTGTTCCTCTCGTCCCAGGTGGTGACTACCTTCGTTGAAGGAGCTGCGGCTGCCTGCAGTTTCCGGTGATAATTCGTCCTGGTTCAGGTTCAGGTGGTCGTTTTCATTGATGTCATCACCGAATGTTGATGACGGCGTCGGCGTGTCGACATCCATCGTGCCGCCGCGCTCTTCCTCGTCAGCCGGAGGTGGATTCGCATCCTCGTTGCCCTCCAACTCGATTTGGTATCGTCTTGTTGCACGCTGATCGGAAAACGTTGTACCATCGAGGTAGTCCATGTCAACTGCATTTGGCACCATATTAGACCCTCGTGCTGCCGCTGCCTCGTGTTCTTGTTCAGTAGGCTCTGGTCGTTGCTGGTGTAACATCACCCGCTGCCACTTGCCTACCTGAAGCCCTGGCTCATCATCATCTACCAAGAAATTTTCAATCCTTTGCACTGCAAGGCCGGGGAAAGTAGCTGGCCTTTGCATGATGTTTTGGAGGTTATTTTCCGTCGATGTACCATCCACCATGGGTTCGTCCGATGGAACAAGTGGAACAAATACCGGCGCGCCAGCGAGGCCACTGTAAGGATCGTTTGCGGTTGTACTAGTTTCATCCGGGGGACCTCCTCCGAGCTGGCGGGGCACCTTGGGATTAAAGGAGCTCGGGCTCCTGCTCGCGCTTTGGCTTCGCTCCCTGTCATCCTCATTCTCAATGGGAAAAGACCGCCGGTTTAATAATCCGTCTCCTGCAGCAGTTACGGGAGCTGCAGCTTCTGGACGAGTTGCATCTTCCACCCGGACGTTGTCAGCACTTTCCGCTGCTTGCTCCACGCTGGTGGCGCCGCCCGATGAAGCTGGTAGAGATTCTTCTTCCCATGATGTTCGTGGCTCTGGCGGAGGTGACGCAGCCGATGCTCCAAGGAGGACACCGGCGCCCAAGCCGCAATGCAGAAGCACTGCTGGAAAATTCGCAGCTCCGTCGAAAAAAAACACCGAGCGCTTGAAACCGTGTCCGAAAGTTGTAGACACAATAATCGAGAAAAACGAAAGAAGCAGGTACGAAATCATGGACACATTCGTGTGAAACAACATTTTGCAGACAGAAACTTTGATCCGAAACCAAAAGTATATTGTGTTTAGCGGCAAACAAACCTCCTGTATAGAGGACACAGAAAGGGGATACTGCTTCGTAGTTTGAACGTTGATCTGGGGATCCTGCTTCGTAGTTTAGAGAAGCCCAACATGCGAATTATGAAAACGCCTAAGTACGAATTATAGAACAGCGACAGCATGGAAGCAATCTTCAGGTGGAGGAGCCGCGCGGGCAGCCTTCGGTGCAAGAAATCAAAATCACGACGGTCATCCTCACCGTGGTTGTGGTATCATAAGGACAAACAGTCTGCTGGCGGCCGTGGGAGCTACGAGGGTCCTCGAGCTCGAGCCTCCCTGATGATAGTTACATATCATCCAGCTTTTCTTCTCCTGCAGTGTTCTTTCCCGTCACGATCATCATCGACGAAGGAGGAAGAAGTTAGGCCAAAAGATCAAGATTATCAAAACTGTCAATCTTTGACGATTTCGTGCTGGAAGTACTATTCCTTTCACCCACACTACACTTCAGTGATACTACATCACATCATCATCAGAGCCTGCTAGTCCTCCGCTGGGCTATCCAGGCGGTGGTGTGGGGAGACGACAAAAACGAAATACTATCGAATGCCGTTTGAACTTGAGGTCCCGCGCAGCTTCCTCACGTCCGCGAAGCTCCTGCATCGCTGTGCACAGCTGCTACCGTCTCCGGAGGTCCGAACCCTTCTGGCACTTTGAATTCTACTTTCACCGCGTTCGACGCCTCCTGGATAGGGTGAGGCTGGAAATCCTGACTGAAGGTGACTTCCAGGCTATGCATTGCAAATATGTCTGGGTCTGGAAGAGTGCAACTTGTCATGCTAATTCGGAATCATGCAAAAATTTGTGTTGCATGATTACCAACAAAGCTGCCCACTTTTGAGCAAGCCGAGGGGCAGTTTCTCATGCGGAAAAGGCATGGCAAAGATCCCAAAGAATCTGTGATGCCAGGGCATGCATCACAGACCTCATGCGTCATGCAAAACGTGCATGACAAACGTTGCATTCTTCCAGACCCAGACATTTTTGCATTTGATACAGGCTGGACAGCTGCAATTTCGCTTCCCGAACACGTTTTTGGAGTTCGCGCTCGAATATCCTGTGCAAAAGTATCGTCCTCGTAGTAATTGCAAATATGCATGACAAATCTTCTTCCCAAGGTAAAACAGCATTACAAATTCCATTTCTAATGCTGAGCCAATTTGTATTGCGATTTATACTAGTACGATACTTTTGCAATGCATATCGAGCATCGTGCTGGTGGAGTTGTTGTGTAAAACGGAAGAAGCTGCCGTCGACGTTATAATAGAAGCACTGCATGGATTTTTCAATTTCATTTCGAGTTCAAACCAGAACACAAACCGGACGGAGACAGACGGGTAAGTACCCAAGTAGAGGTGGTGGTCGGGGTACTGGTAATGGTGAGAAACCTCAAGGAAGACAATCTTGCTTCTGGAGGGGGATGAAACAGTAGTGGCAGTTGGTTCCTCGTCCACGACGAGGACATCCTCCACCCAGAAGCGTATGAACTGCAAAAGTATCGTACTCGTATAAATGCATCACAAATTTCCTCAGCATGAGGAATGAAATTTGTAATGCCGATTTACCTCAAGAAAAATGTTTGTAATGCAAGACTTGCATTTGTACGAGTACGATACTTTTGCACAGGATAAAGCGCACATAACGTGGATTCGAGCGCGCGCGGCCGTTATGAAATGCAAAAATGTCTGGGTCTGGAAGGATCCGAACTTGTGATGCGCATTTTAGAACACAGAAAAATCTCTCATGCATAGGTAGCAAAAGCTGCTGACTTTCTGTCACCAAAGTCGGGGATTTCTCATGCGAATTCGGCATTGCGGAAGCTTCTCGAGACCTGTGATGCTAGAACTTCCATGCCAGACCTTCTGTGTCATGCAAAAACAGCATGACTCTTCCAGACCCAGACACTTTTACATTTGATAGCCGTTCCGAGACCTTACAGGCTCGGTGAGGAAGTCTTGCACCACTTGAATCCAGTTGGATTCTAGTTGCAAAGCCGGAAAACTCGCGACACTGATCGGAGAATTGATCGCGTCCGAAGGGTTGGAGTATCTGAACGTATGACTTTGTGAAGAAGCGTTCGTTTTGATGATTTTCGTCTCCCAACCGTGAAGCTGAATAGGAAGGGAAGGCCAGGTGGAGGGTACAGAAGCCTCATCCTTAGGATTTTCGGCGCCGGGAGATAGAGTGGAAGTCGTGTCAAGAACTGCGTGATTTGCTGTACCAGCTGCTTCTGGCGCAGGAGCCCCAGGTTGTAGTCCGGCGCGTGCTCCACTAGTACTACCGCCTGGAGAAGCTGGCGGCCCGTAATGACTGACACTCCCATCCTCCCCGCCGCCACTCGTTCGTGCTTTTCCTTCGCCGAAAGGGTATTTTTCGAGAGGAGGAGGAGAAAACACAAGGACGTTTGAGTTTGCTCTTCCTCCCACATGTTCATCCGAAAAAACATGCTCCCTTGGCTCCGCATAATCCGCCGCATTTAAAACCAAGCCGAGCTTCTGTTCCAGCAAATGCAGCAATAGAGAATCCTCCACAGTGTCCGCAGGTACTTCCAAGTAGCCCATGGTCGCTGGCGTGTTGCGCTGTCGTTCCAGCGGAGTCCATAATTCCTGCTCTCGCAAGCGGAGGATCAACGCGAGAGCTGCTCTGTCCTGTGCCGCCTCGTCTTGCTGCTCTGCTCCATTCTCAGCCGCGGCACCAGCATCCCCGAAAAAACTACCGTTTGAAGAAGGTGATACCATCGCGAGATCTTCTATTGCGCTCGCAAGAAGGTCATCCTGAATTGCGGAAAGCATTTTTTTGAGCAAGGTCTCGCCCAAAACAGTTTCCACATTTTGCATTCCAAGGTCATTATCCACCAGCAAATACAGAGGCGGCTTCATCAGCCGAACAGCGGTCAGGGAGATGAAGGTAGGCTCCGGTTTTTCTCGTTCCTTCTTTCTTGCAAGCACTGGCGCTTCTCGGACCTCCGAAGAGGACGGTCGTGGCGATTGATCTGTTGCAGACCACGGGTTGGGGTTGGCAGCTCCACTCTCGTGTTGCTGTTCTTGAACACCACCAGCGGAGGTTGTTGTTGAGGGCTCCGAAGTTGAAGCACCACCATTGCTGGCGACTCGTCTATTGAATACCCTCCTTGGCGTGGCCTTCATTTTCTCGTACTCCAATTCTTTCTTCACGACAAGCTTCATGACTTCCTCCTCCAATTGCAACGTACTCTCCAAAACGAAGTTCCGCTTCTCCAAAACAGCCTCCGACGCCTGCAGCCAACTCGATAGGTACTTTCGGTCCTGGTCCGTTTCTCTGCCCTTCAGTTCGCTTCTCAAAAACAAAGCAGCTGCGATTCCAGGACTGCTCATCTTTTTTGCCGTCTTCGGGACTGCTTGTTGTTTTTTCGGATTTGGGTCTTCTTCCTTCGGTTTTGGTAGGAGCAGTTTCAGAAAATTCGGATTGGAATCGTACAAGCGACGAGGTGCTCCTCGCAATTGTTTAGATTTATTTTTACGCACTGATGTTGGCCCCTGGTCCTGGTGGGGCTGCTCCCGGGCAGGCGCTGCTGAAGACGATGAAGAAGAAGCTGAAGTTGATACTGGTTGTAGGGCTGTATCTTTACCAGAGGGTTCCCACCGGCTGTCGCTTGATGATGACACGTCCCGGGCCCCCTCCGCGTCAGCTTGAAGATGTTGACTTCTTCCTGTCGTAGAATTCTTTTTCTCACCCTTGTTTTCAACATCTCCCGCCGGTTTTTGATCTCCTTGGTCAACAAACTTCCACCCCAAAACGGCCCGCTTCAATGCCTCCACGCTGTCGAATTGCTGCCACTTATGAGAATGCACAACGTCCTCCCCTTCCCCTTGTTTGTCATGCAAAAATGCCAAGTTCCGTTTGCTGCCTTGTGGCACCGTTTGCATGACAAATTTCGCAAGCCCAAAGAATACTCCACTCGGTGCGTAAACTTGTCATGCACAGGATCGATGTTTGCTGGTGTTTCTATTGCTGTCTATGGCATACTGAACATAAGGAGGAGGGGGAGTTGTGCATTCTCATACCACTGCTCGTAGGAAAATTCCGCGAGCTTGTTGTCCCCAATCGTCTTGACTATCAAAGACGGGCTGAACAAACGGGTCGTGCCGTCCGGGTGCGTCAGCTTGTAGGGTGCCGCTTCTTTCACCTTCGGTAACCAAAAATCGTCCCGCCGGCGATGGTCCTCGTGTTGCTCGATTTTTGCCACGTCGTCGTCCGAGTGGAAATCTTCAACATCTCCAGGACGCATCTGTCCATGCTCCCCATGTTGTAGGTCTCTGGCGACAGGATCGCGAAGCAGGACGTTCGGGCGAGCACCGCTGACGAGGAAATGTTGTGGGCTTGAAATAAACGGAGTAGAAAGTAGTAGAGAGAAAATGAACCGCGCAGGAGCTGCTGTTCCTATCGAGGAAGCGACAAAAGACATTTTGGAGAATGTCGAACTGTGTCCTTCAGTTGTACTCCTGCGTGCGAATTTTCGTCCCGGCAGGCCTGGTGAGCGCGCTGGTCTGTTCCAAGTCATTTTCACGTGTTTTGGGTTGTCACCGCTTGTTTGTGCTGGGGCACAAGAAGAATCAAGTAACAAGGTTTGTATTGCAACGCAAAATGAAAATCCAAAAAGAGGGTCAAGTAGACGCTTTTTACTGAGCCGGAGCGAGCTACAACTTGCTAAACACTTTGTGTGAGTAGGTACTTGCAGCAACTTGTATACCGCTGAGTGGAGTTTTTTCATCATTTCAGTCTACAAGAATCACTTTCCATGGGGCTACGGGATCAGGATTGCAAGCACGATATTAGCCCTGCTCAGGGCATGTCGTCCTTGTGCTACGGAACTCCCGTGGGTTAGACCCAGATTCTGCAGAATATCTTCTGTGACAGAGGCTGATCTTGCTTTTTTTGATATAGAAGCACGCATGCCAACACCAGAAGCAGCATGATCATCACATCACGCGACAATAGCAGAACGCTAAAAAAATAAATTTTTCAAGAGACGAGATCTTTAATGGGTCCTGACACGACCGTCGAAGTCCATGGAATGATCTTCTTCGTTCGAAGTTAGATCTCGCTGCGTCGGCCACCACGAAGGCTCGAAAAAAAGTGCCCGAAGCAACACAACGGCGTTGCAGTTTAGCAGTCATATTTCTACAGTATGTACTGCTCAAGTGGAAGTGGATCTTTACTCAGATACAAAGATATAATGCTGCCGGTGCTTGCTTCTCGCATTTTACATCATATTTCTTTGAAACGGATTTTGTTTTTGATGTGTTCGTTTTGGTTCAATGAAACTTTTGTTCGATCATTCAAAAGACAACTTGCGGTCTCCAAGAACTATTGCTAAGCTGTACCTGAAATTGGTTCTGAATCTGTGATGAATCTTTGTACGTGATACTTTTCTTCGAAAAAGTGACATTTTGCAAAATGTTTTTTTTGTGAAACAGCCTGGAATTCTGTGAAACTTCTGTTACTTCCGTGACTCAAAAATCCTTTCCTCTCCAACTCTTCCCTGCATCATCGCACAGCAAGCTTTTCCTGGTTGCTCACTGCGTCGCGCATTGGTCCTGCTCTCCCTGTTGAGTACTGTGGCCCACCGCGGCGCCCTGCATCTGTAATTTCTGCATCCGCTTCTGCTCCCTTCGCTCCCGCCGGGCCCTGCGCTCCTCCTTCATTTTATCAAATGAAAAAGTATCGTACTCGTAGGAATTGCATTTATGCATGACAAACCTCGTTTTCAAGGTAAATCAGCATTTACAAAGTTAATTTGTAATGCTGGGTTAATTTGTAAATGCAATTTGTACTAGTACGATGCTTTTGCATTGCATACATTTTCGCTCGTTCCAATTCCGTCATAGCCGGGCTGGGCATCAGTTTCTTGGAAATCGGCATGGAGGGATTAGTAGAAGAATTTCTGCCCCCATTACTGTGTGGGCCACCGCCACCTGGGTAGTTACTTGTCATCTCCGAGTTGAACAGAAACCCGACGTGCACCTCTGACGGAACGGAAGTCGCTAGGCTGGTGACGGATTCAGGGGGAGCGCGAGAGTTACTTAAGGGGTCATGATTGTTGTTCGTGTGGGGCTGGACTCCTGATCTGCTAGCACTAGTACCGGAACGTCCACCTCGCGGGTGCCCACTTTCATCTGGAGGTGCAACTCCTGCTCCACGGCCTCCAGCTCCGTACTTGTCCTGCGCAAGAACGCGCGCATTGTAATCATGGACGCTGGGTGTCGGCTTCGGCATCATCTGCTCAAATTCCTCTCTCCGGCTGGCAAGATCGATGTTGAATTTTCTCGCTTCTTGGTCTGCTATGCGTTATGCACTGCAAAAGCATCGCACTCGTCGTATTGCAATACAAATTAGCTCAGCATGACAAATGGAATTAATGGAATTTGTCATGCTGATTTAGCTTGAAAAAGAAATTTGTAATGCATAACTGTAATTAGTACGACTACGATACTTTTGCAGTGCATATGCGTTTTAAAGCGGCGATTTCGTCTTCTCGATGGCGGAGTTTCTTTTTCAAAAGAACCATCTCTTCTGCGTCCAGCTGATAAAGGTTTTATTCATTCTGTGATCATTTTAGGGTGAGGATTTTCTCCATGTAAGTACGTACGAGAATCGCTTAAATAAAATGCGAGATTATACGATTAAGAGGCGTATTCGTATTGAAAACCATGAGTGGTCGTAAAGTAACTACAAGTCATTTATTATAGGAGGTCCTCCAACTAGTGTACCTTCGCCACCTCGAGATTTTCCCTTGCGTGATCCAATTCCTTCCTACAAGCCCCTAATTCCTTCTCTACCGTCGCAACCTCGTCTTTCAAACTGGAAATTTCTCTTGCAGAAGCCGCTTCACTTTCGCTTTCCTTCACCTTCATCTCTTCCTTTTGTGCGATTGTTCTTTCCCGCTCCGCGCTTTCGTATTGCTCCTCCAATTGTTCGATTTTTTCCTGCAATCGCTTGACGACACTGGTGTGGGTTTTTTCTTCGTCATTTTTGTCATCCAGGTTGGACTCCAGTTCGGTGATCTTGGCTTTTAGTTTTGAAACCTGCTGTTGATACTGGGAATCTTTCGTATTGGTTATCTGCTCCAACTCGTCTCTTGTTTTCCTCAGCTTGCTCAGTTCGTCCCGAAGATCCTCAGCCTCGCGGATTGCGGAAGTGGAGCCTGGGGTTTGTGATGCAGGAGCGTCATGGCATTGGCATTCTCGTTTTTCATGGCAGATGATGTTCTGCTTCATGGCACATTGTACGTAGAAAGATAGAAGTAGAATCTTCAATGCGCTGCGATATATTATAATTACCAGAAAACAATTCCACGACAAAGAAGAAAGAAGCGGTATACGTGCCACAGCGTCTTCCAGCTGTTTGACCAAGGATTGGATTTGGTTTTCTTTCGTCGACACTAATTTCTCCACTTCTTCACGCTTCGATTTTTCCTTCTCCAATTTCTTTTCAAACTCGACCTTCCCATATGAAAGTGCACAACTCCCCCTCCCCCTCATTTGTATTGCATGAACAGCAACACAAGCATCAGCAAGAATACAGGTTTTGCATGAAAAATTTGGACAGGCGTGTAGTGCTATTTGGGCTGCCAGAGCTTATCACGCAAACAGTGCCAAGAGCCTAGGCGTAAATTTGGCATTTTGCATGACAAATAAGGTGGAGGGGGAGTTGTGCACTCTCATATCCCACTCTCGATCCCCCGCTTCAACGCCACAAGTTCCTATCGCAAGAAAAAACTGTTTCACTGCAAACTTGTAATGCAGAAACTGTAACTCAGAAGTGTTTGTTTTGCTACACCTGCAGTAAGACAGGCGATTCTTAGCTTTGTTTTCCCTTAGGAACCTCGCATGGCAAGTTTTCCCTGTCATGTAGAGCAAACTTGTGATGCATAGCTTGCAAAATCCTTACAGTGAAACACTATTTTCGTACGATAGCTCCGCGTCCTGGGATAACAATGCGTCCTGCTGACCGGAGATTTCCTTTTTCAATTTCGTGATTTCTTGCTTACTAGTGTGCATTATTTCCTCCGCTTTCCTCAGTTGCGTCTTGACCCCAGCTACTTCCTCCTCCTTGTCTTCACTGACTCTCTCGACTTGTTGCTTCAATTTTTTCACCTTGAGCTCTAATTTCGTCACTTCCTCTTGCTTGTCCGTTAATTGCGTGATCAGCTGCTCTTTCTGTTTCATCGCATTATTGCTGTTCTCCGCATCGTGTTTGTTTTCCGTTTCGAGCAAAACCCTTAACTCCTTCACCTGTTTCTCGTATTTCTGCTCGGAAATCTTCATCTCCTCTTCCTTCTCCGCGATAATTTTGGCGAGATTCTTCTCGAAAATAATCTTCTCCGTCTTCACTGCTTCACTTACACTTGTTTTGGCGGAGGTGAGTCTCGCTTCAATGGTCACGATTTTGTGCTCGAGTTGGTCAACTTCGGACTGTTTCTGTTCTAGTTCGGACTGGAGCGTTTGGATTTTTTGTTCGTAGCTTGCGGTGAGTTTTCTGTTCTCTTCCTCCGCGAGTGCTAGGAGCTTCTCCTTATTTTCGGATTCTTTGGAAGTAGTGGCTTCGGTATTTTTCTGCAGTTGTGTTTGCTCTCTCTGCTCCGCCAAGGCCTCGGTGAGGGACTGTTGAGATGAGATTTTGATATTTGAATTTCTCATGCAAAAACTGGAAATGCCTCACCTTCTGTGTCTGTCATGCATGAGTGTGGAACGGAAGAAGATGAAAAAGAAACCTACGATCAATACCGCTATCCTCTTTTCGAGTGCGCGTTTCCCAACCATCGCTTTATCCTTAAACTCGGCCAGCTCTTCCTCGGCCTTCCGGCACTTTTCCAGATCCTGTTGCCTCGATTCTACTACGGTTTCCAGCCTCTCGCGCATCCGGCTAATCATCACGGAGTTCTCCGACTCCCGCCGCTCGGAGGCTGGATTTTTAGAATCATGTCGTACCAAATCGCCTGTCAACTTGTCATGCAAAAACTCCATCAAGCGATGCAAATGTATCAACTCGATAAAACACTACTTCTTCTTGCAAGACGAATCTATACCGTCTTGCTCTTCCCGCAGCTGTCTCCGGAGGCTTTCCAGATCTAGAATACCCTCCCGTTCTTTATCCAGGAATTGATTCTGCTTCGATCGCAACAAGTTCTGCACGTGGTCTAGTTCGCCCCGGGTCGCGTCTGTGATTTTGACAGGAGAAAAACAAAAGTCGTTTCTCTGTGATGCTCAAGATCGCATGGTAAGCAAATAAAGTGCCTATCATGATGCGGTCATGCAAGACAACTTCTCATTTTTATTGAAAACAATATTGATTTAGCTCTGCGATACCGAGTTCCAATTTTTGCAATTCGAAGTCCTTTTTCAGCTCACTCAGCGTATCTTCCAATTCCTCCACGTCAACTTGCGCATGAAAGTCTCCATTTCCTGCAGCTCCCGTCGTGCTCGTTGCCATCGTTTCACACGTCGCCATCAAAATCGAACTGCTCGACTGCTTGCTCGAAGTGCTTTTGCTGTGCTTCTTCTGCATCGAGCTGACCAGAACCCGCACCTCCTCCTCGATGAGATAGGAAACGGCACAGATGCTTACGCTCTCCTGCTTCGTGACGAATCTTTTGCGCAGGCGAGACCAGTACCTCATATGGATATGAATTGTTTTTATGTGTTTTGCCATGCATCTATCGTTTTAGTTTTCTCCTTCTCGAAAAGCGGCACAAATTTTAAACCACTTCATTGTCCAGCGGCATGGCAATCGATAATGCCTTTGCATGACAAAAAATGCAAAAAAATACCCTGCTTGTTTCTTCGGCGCCGTCTCTTCAATCAGGCCCAAAATGTCCAAAATCGTCCGCGTCGCTACGACCGGTGCTCCTCCGCCTGCAGGTGCAGCAGCGGTGTTTCCACTGTGAGACATTACAGCGCCACGGGCTCCATGTTGAGATGAGCTATTTCCACCGCTTGCATTTTTCACCGCCTGCAGGATTCTGTTTCGAAAAACTTGAAAAAGCCCTATCTGGTCCAGATCCGGCCGGATCTCCAGCCCGCTCCGCTGCTGGAAGAAACGGTCCATAGATTTCCAATAGGACAAAAAATCTACAGTGTTGTCACCACCATTACCAGCTCCAGCAGAGGAAGAAGAACTCGCACTATTCGCGATCTTGCAGTCCCGCAATATTTCCCCAATCTGCTCCGGTTGGTGCTTCAGATGCGAGGTAAGCACCTGCTTCAATTTCCCTTCGTCGCAACTCCTGGTCGCCGAGTCGTTCACCGCTAAATCAAAGACCTGCAGAATTGCCGGCAGGATGGAAAGGAGGTAGGAGTTAATATTTTCTGATAGTATGTTCGTCGACATTGATGTTGATGCCGTTGTAGCTTTGCTGCTGGACAAAAAATCGTGCTGGTGCAGCCCACTGGTCGTGATGTCTTCATGCACAGCAACATCTACACCCGCAGATCCCCGACGAGAACAATTTGCGGAGGGTTCTCCACCCCCCGTTCGGGTGGTGGAAAATGAGGATGAGCTGGAGGACGAAGATCTTGTTGCGGAAGTATCCCACGAAAAAACTGTTTCACTGTGATGCATTTGCAAGATCCGCATTACAAGTTTGCTACACATGACACAGAAAACTTGCCATGCGCGCTTCCCAAAGGAAAACACGCTGAAAAATCCAATGCGTTGGAGGTGTAGCAAGACAAATAGTTCAGCGTTCCATTTCATGCATCACAAGTTCACAGTGAAACAGTTTTTTCTTGCGATAGGAAGAAAACCCGGACTGCGCGGACTCCTTGGACGAAGAAGCAGAAGCGTATTCCCTGAAAATTAACAATCCCCATCCAATTTGTCATGCAAGACATGCAGAAAAGTATGTGTTTGTCATGCGAAAAGTTGATGGGGATGGTTAATTTTCATGGAATAAAGCGGTTTTAACATTCATCCGCGAAGTACTAGAACTTGCCCCGTTGTACAACCTGCTAGAAGACGAGGGCTGTCGAGAAGAAGAGGCACTTGAAGATGACGATCCACCCGCGCCTGATGAAGACGAGGACAGCATCATCCCGCGATTCGCGCGGAGATGAAGGTGGTCGCCAAAATCGAGCGAGTAGTGCTCGGGCATGTTCTGGGGGGTGGTAGAGGAGGAATTGGTTGTGCTCGGCATGATGGACGAGAGCTGCGCCAGGGGCAGTTAACCACGGTGCTTTGAATTAGGAGACCCTGTCCTCCATATTTATATGTAAGTAGCTAGCTGAGCACGACCATGAAGTTGCTTCTACATCTACTTTTGCTAGGTGGCTGATCATGCACCAGTGCACCGCATGTTGATCCCAACTTTTTCATCTGACGAGACTGACACGACTGAGACGACAAAGTTCGTCCTCATTGACGGCGTCACTCAACGCGCATTTCTTCTCTCTTTGAAAATAGGAATTGTCCAATCTGAGACCAGATCCAGGACATCTCTTTCATGGGAGCGAATGGTGGGTGCAGCTCACGAAGGGAAGGCACAAAGCGGCCACGAATCTATACGATACAGAAACGATCGTGAATTCGACGCAAAACTACAGAAGCAACCAAGCGAATCGACATCGAGTCACAGTCACGAGCACGCCCGAGTAGGCGTATTTTTCATGCTAGCGACGTCTAGGTAGTAGTACAGCTCACAGAAGAACAAGAGGAAAGCAGTGTCGTCGTGCACGTGTCCAGTGGAGGAGGTCAAGGTCTACCTCGACATCAACTTCTTGCGCGCGACTAATATATCTGTTCTGATAAATAATTGGCTCTAGCTTCGATCGTCGAGGTCCTTTTTGTAATTTCCAGATCCAGCTCGTGGAATTTCGTCCGTCGACGCAAACGTCCAACTATCGCGAATTTTTGTTTTCAAAAAAATTAAGTTGTACGTACTTAGTTCTTTGATACGATAAACTGTCTTCGTTGCATGCTGTTCAAATTTGGATACTAGGCTTGTTTGACTTCTGATTTTGCAAATAGTTCAGTGGTATCGGGTTCTTCAGACTGGATCCGTATTGTACTTTTGTAAACATGTTGACCATCAATTGACTTGTTCTCTCCTGGTAGCCAATCTACGGTGGCGTCCCCTCCGGCGTCTCATTTACCGGTGACATCATCTTTCCCGCCCCACCACCGCTTTTCCCGTTTGTTTGCCCCGCGGTGCCTCGTGGCGTCTCCGGCACGTTTTCCCCGGTGTCTAACGACCTACCCGGCATTTTGCCGTATCAACTGCAAATATGTCCTCTGGGTCTGGAAGAATGCAAGACTTGTCATGCATATTTCTCATGACCCATGATGCCTGTAATGCATGACCTAGCATCACAGACTTTTGGAGGGCTCCCTGATGCGCCTTCGGAATTAGAAATGCCCTGTCCGCGACGTAGCACAAACTGGACCCCTCTTGCTTGTCATGCAATACAAATTTTCCTAGAATCCAAAAACAGCATCACAAGTTGCATCCTTCCAGACCCAGACATATTTGCCTTTGATATGCCGAGCGCTGGAACGAAATTAGGTCGCGGTTTGTTCGCCGGAATCGTGGTTGGCAGGTTGTCGCTCTGGTGTGTTTTTGTATTGCACAGTAGCATGCTGGTGGTCCAAGCGGAGAAAAATCTAAATTGAAGCGGCTTGCATTACAACGAAAATATTTTGAACATTTTCATCACTTAAACTGATACCCTTCCACTACTGGCCGGCTCACTTGGCGTATCAGGCGGCGTGTATTCCGTCGCCGATCGTTCTGCCGGTGTCCCATCGCCACCGCTCTCGTCCGCTCCCAGCGTGTATGGATCGCAAATATGTCTGGGTCTGAAAACTTGTAATGCTAAAAGTAAAGGATAAACGCACTGCAGTACGCAGCTATGCATGACAAATTTATTTTTGGCTGCCATGTCTTACGTATTCCGCATAGCAAACTGCGTTTTTGCATCACAGGTAAGAGGGCCTCTTCATCGTGGCTATGCAACACAGATTCTTCAGTCATGCCAGACAAGCATGACAAACTTGCACTCTTCAGACCCAGACACTTTTGCATTTGATAGCGTGACTTTCGGATTCTGTTGCATCTCATCCTGTGCAAAAGCATCGTGCCCGTAGTGATTGCAATTATGCATATACAAATCTCTTTCTCAAGACAGATCAGCATTACAAATTTAATTTGTGATGCTGGACTAATTTGTAATGCATTTATACAAGTACGTGTACGAAGATACTTTTGCAATCCATACATCTCCTGGATGTTCAGTATCGGCATTTTCACTTTCGCCTTTGGTCTCGACGCTGATAGTTGTGCAGCATTCATCGTAGAAGTCGCGTCAGCGGCGGCATCTTGCTGTTCGATTCCCCCACGCGCACTGGCCTGCGCCTGCTTTTCCTGGTTTTTTCGCTTCTTTTTCAACTTCTTCGCGTTGTTCTTCGCGGTTGAGGTCGAAGAGGACGATGCGGCGCTACCGGTCAGATTGTCCTTCGGTTTCCCGTTATTTGTACCACCAACTGCAGAGTTCATCGGCGTCGCATCACTATCCTCCGTCTGACTCTCCCCGGGCAAAGAGCTCCGCGCCGAATCCTGGGGTTGGGAAGACGAATTTTGAGAACGCGAGCTCGCGGGGGCGGGTTGTGCTGTTCCTGTAGCAGCTCCGAGGTCGATCATTGGAGGCTTTACTACGCCAAAGTTGTTCTTCCCTGGGGATCCTTGAGACAGTGGCGTCTTTGGCCTCAGCTGGACTGGCGGCGGGGTCGTACTGTTTTCCTCCTCCTTCGTCACAGAGTCCCTGATCACCGGCTTGACAAACTGCTTTTTCGCAGAGCTGACTTTCGGGTTTGGCGAAGAAGAAGTCTTGGATGATGTTCCCGAAGTAGTTTTCGCCTGTGGAATAACACCTTCCGCTTGCTTCTCCGCAATGCGGTCTGGTGGTTTGAAACCCAACCCCGCCGTACCGTCGTCGTCTGCGGAAGCGGCGTGCGGGGGCGCGTCGGTTATTTTTGTTCCTGCTGGAACATCAACTTGTGTTGCTGTTTTCGCTTCCTCAGCTCGTTCCTCTTCCTCGACTAACTTCGTTGCCTGGTGGATCATCTGCTGCTTCAGCTGGACCAGCTCCTGTTTGTGCGTCAAAAATTATTTGTGTTGAGCTTTGTCATGCAGAAACTGGAAAATAGACCAAATCTGTGATGCGTGGACAACATGCAAGAGGAACCAGCCGGTGTTGAACTTTACCAGGTTTTGGATCGAGTTCGCGGCTATTTGCTGGTCGTGGATCAAATGGGCCTCGCTCAGCTTCTTGTTGAGGTCCTGTAATGTGAAATTACCTTTGTATTGCGAGATACTTAGGCATAGGTCATGGCTTGTGCTTGGATAATTCATTGCATCACCATTCCGCATGACAAATTACCATGACGTGATATAACAACAACGCATGCCAACATGTGCACATGACAAAAAACAGCTCAAATAAAATCATACCTCCAGCCGCCTTACTTGTTTCTTCAGCTCTATGTTCTTCTCCTGCATTTCAAAAGGCGTTCTTTTCGTCCTCAATTCTTTCATCGCATCCTCTAGATCCGCGCACTTCAGCTCAGCCTCGAGAAAATCCTGCATCAGCTTGGCGTTTTCGGGGTTTATGAAAGTGAAATGATATAGGAGGGGTTTAGTACCTCTAATATCTGCGTCGATTCGACGCAGCGCGACGAATTCGACTTTTGTTTGTCCTCTGATATCATGCATGTTCCTGTCCAGAATCTTGTTCATCATGTTGGGTGGTGCTAGTAATCATCTGGTCATGCAAGTAGCGACAAAGAGGACGAACCCAGGAGAAATAGCCTCCCCGACGCGCCGCATTTGATAGCCTCCGCCTGTGCCAGCCGCTGCCCCATCCACATTAGCTGTAGTCAGTATTAGTTTCTCTTATCTCTTTCTTGGTGGAATTCAAATTCATCGAAGATGGTATCATGCGCATTCTTGATCCTAAATTCATTGGCATCACACATTCAAAAGTACATGCGCACAGTGCAATACAAATCCAAATTATTTAGTCCTCCTCCTCTGTACCTGGTCAAACTTCATTGGCAGCTCGTCAAACGCGACCAGGAGTATGGTACGGAAACACTGACTCAAGTCAGCAATGTCAATGATCATGACAATAACTGAATTTGTCATGCGAAGTAGGACCTTTAAGGCCAATAGAGGCTGCTTCTCTGCAATACAAATTCAAAGACCTCCCCGCTGACGAGTCAGACTCCTACTACCCTTCCATAATCAAGGTCTCGTCACTCCCCACGACGTAATTTTCTGGATCCTCAATCCTTTTCACGCTATAAGCCGACACCTTCTCCACGTTCGGCAGCGAGCACATGTTGTCGTGAAACTCGCTTAGGATTTCTGATGCGGTTGGGGAGGAAGTGGAACTTGATCCAGCTTGTTTATTTGTGCCACCAAAATCCGCCAGAACCCGGTCGGTCGGCATGCCCCAGAGGAGCGTCCCCCCGTGCGGGGCCGTGGAGCTGCTGCTGCTGCTCTGGGAGGGCATTTTTTGATCTCTGTTGCGACCTTGACAGTCGGTGCAAATGTTGACGCTGCGTGTATGTGCGTCCTGTTGTTGTAGTTGTTATTCTCGAATCTTAAGAGTTCGGCTTGTCGGACTCCTTTCTTTTTTTTTGAGATTATCTCAATGCAGCTATTTCGCTACTTCGCGCAATGGAATGGATCCACTTGCACTTACTTTCAATTAAAAGCTGGTAAATAACATTTTTATTTCTGTTCGTGCTGGAGTTCTAACATACGTAACAGAAAGTGAGTCCAGAAGCAAGATACGAAAACAAGCAGTGCCATTTGGTGGAAATTTTTTTCTCGAGACCAACGCCGGAGCTAGACGAAAAGTCAAAACACAAGCTGACACGTGATAACAAGCTCAATTACATCCAATTTCAGGAACACAAACTTCGCCATCGTGCCCTGCCCTCCGCTGGCGACCAACGTCTGCAGGGCCCATAATTTTCTTTTCTGCTTCAGCTTCTCAGTTGCTAATCGCACAATGCCTCGGTTTTTCATCTTACATAACGTGCTTTCTGGTCGCAGAATTTGGCCGAATACGAGTAGTAAAAACAACACAAAAATAAAAGCAAAGTGCGACTTTCTAGTCCTGGCATGGAGTCCAGCTATGTTCTGATCTAAATCTACTTTTTTCTCGTGGTGCATCCTGCAATTTTGGATCTTTCTTGAAAATGGAGTTTGAAATTGAAACATAAGACTTTTGCTCTGTATGCTTGCTTCAAGATGAAGCATATCTCTTGCTGCAATTTGTGACAAATCTATTAACTCTTTCTTGGAAATAATCCACGAGTGGTGGTCTATCTGCATCATTCTATTGTTAGTGATAACTGCCCTGATCTTCAACTACCGACGCTTCGCCTACTCTCCCACCTCGGTCATTTCCTTGTACCAATGCGCCAGGATTTATCCACAGAAAGAAGCCCATCCGCATCCAATTTGTAATGCAAAACACGTATAAAGTCCTTGGTTTGTCATGCAAAAACTGGATGAGGATGGTTTTTTTTCTGTGGATAGGATTTCCTCCGGACTGGCGTAATCCTTGTAGAATTCCTGCACCTCCTCAAACGTGTAGACATTCCCGTCGCCCGGATCGTACCGTCGGTCGGTTGGTTCCGGCACAGGAATTTCTTCTCCTTCCTGCGGATAAAGATCCTCTACTCCTCCAGCACCGGAACCGGAAGCATCCGGCTGATCGTCGTTGTAAGCGTCTTGCTGACCTGGACCTCCTGCTCCATCCTGCTGTTCAGCTTGCTGCAATGCTGGTTGTAGTTCCCCAACAAGAAGCTCAGTCTCATCTACCCCGGCCAACATCGCGTCCATTTCTTCCGCTACTTGCGTTTCGTCCAGACTCAGATCGATCAGCCGAGACGCCCGGATCGCCGGGGGCCACTGCGCATTCGGGGAGCGGGTGGCGGTTTTTCTGGAGTTGTTTTTCGTATTTGAGGAAGCACTTGGAGCAACAGCAGCACTATCGCTAGGCTCATCATCGTCATCCCTCTTGTTCTTTTTCAACAACCCCGTTGCCTTGCAAATGTTCCACGCAGCGACAAAATTTTCCACCTCGCGCTGCACGTGCATGTGCAGACCGTCGGTTTTGCCATCCTCGAGAGCCCGCTTCTTCCAAATGAGCTTCCGCAACCTCCGCACAACCTTCACGATTTTCAGGAAGTCGAGAATTGCAGTTTGGTCCGGATCCGCCGCGTTTTTTTCTCCAAGGACTACGGTGCCACGCTTGGTCTCCCAGTTTCTGATGTGTGATTTTTGCAGGAGGAGAATGTTTGTCATGCGTGACGGCAACAGTAAAAGCGATTGCTATTGCATCACTTTTCCAAGTTATGCATCACAAACCCAAACTTAAACTTTCCACGTCTGTCAATATACCTTCTCAAGTGCGACACCGGGAAGATATCCAGATTGCTCTTCTCTCCCTTCACCATCGCGGCCAGTGTGGGCGGTTTCTCTTTCTCTCGGAACTTCGTCATGATCTTCACTCCCCCGGGAAGTTTTTCGTCCCCATCCTCCTGCTTGATCCACGTGCTGAGTCCGAGTTTCACGTGGTACAGAAACGGTTTCTTGCGCAAGGGGCAAAACGCTTCGAGCCACCCGGCCCGGAACGTCTTGGCAATATCCGAACTCCACCAGGGGTGTTTGTCGGTCAGGAACCGCAAATTCCGGATCCTCTTCACGCCCATCCGCGCCGCGATTGCCTCGGCGAAGATGAGTTTTTCCGCTTTAAATCTGCAAGCCACCTCCGCTTCCTGCTCGGTGGGGAAAAGAAAGAAGAAATTCACTTCGGTGAGTCTATCCTGCGCAAAACAATTTATGATTATCGCACTCGTGGTAATTCTAATTGCAGTCATGCATTACAAATTTTCTTCCTAAGGTAAATCCGCATGACAAATCTGATTATTCATGCTGAGGAAATTTGTAATGCATTTATACGAGTACGATACTTTTCCTTTTGCAATGCATAGAGTCTTCTGGACGACAAGAGTGGGTTATCAGCGTCGATTTTGATCTCAGTCCGGAGGATTTTTGGTTGCTTCTTTGCGGCGGCTGTTCCTGTTGTGCCACTGGGGCTCGCGGCGGTTGTAGCAGTCGCTTTCGTATCGCTTCCGCTATGCACTGCAGAAGTATCGTACTGGTAGTACTTGCACGACAGATCTGCATTCTTACTTGAATCCGCACCACAAATTCGAAGTTTCCTTCTGAAGCATATTTATTGTTCTGCAAGTACTACTAGTTCAAATACTTTTGCACAATGCATAGCCGCTTTGCAGAATACCGCTGATCCATTCGACTACCCAGGGACCGAGGAGCTTTTCGTCAAAATTTTCTGTCACGTGGAAACAAACGCGAAGGGTGCCGTAGAACTCGGAAATGATTCCACTGTACCGGAGTTTGCTGCCTGATAAAGTGATTTGATATGTTGTTTGTAGTGGCAGTGGCCTCTCGATAATTTATCGAGAGGCCAATTCGACCATGCAGTGGCCTCTCGAATTCACGACAAGGTCATCTTCAACGGTTACAGGAAAAATTATCTCACGCATACTTCTCGGTATTGCATCACACATCAAAGCTCGCTGCAAGCAGCCGGACAATCAATACTTCCCAATCCGTTTTTTGCCCCTAACTTCAGTCTGCTCTCCAGCTCGCTGGTTATCCTTTTCAAGTCGCTTCTCCTCTGCGTCAGCGCCAGTTCCAGTTTGTGATTGTGCACCCGTAGTAATTCCATCGCCACTGCCGTATAAAAGCCCTCTTTCGCAGCCTTCGTTTCCAATTTCGCAACCTTCGCATTTGTGTCTCGGATCTTGTGCCCATCCGGACTGGCAGCCTGCATCGCAATGTCGAAGGAAGTCGCCATGGAATCCTCCCGCTCTAGCAGCTCTTTATCGTGTGTAAAAACGTCCCCACACCATAGTTGTCATGCAAATCTGCATGCTTGAAATGTTTCTCATGCGGAGCCCCATGAGAAGCATTTTCGTAATGGTGTTTTGAAATTTGTCATGCTCCAATCAGCATGAGAGACTAGATCTGTAGTGCTGCTGAACTAGCTCAAACAGCACTACACTACGCGTCCAGATTTGTCATGCGAAACAGCCAAAGCTTGTGGATTTGTCTAGCCGATTCCCCATCTTGACTATGGCGTGGGTACGTGTTTACATAGGATACTCTTTATCCAAAACTTTCTGCTTTTTCTGCCATGTTTTCGTCGTGTTGAGATTGTGGGAAACGGTATTGGAAGAAGAACTCCTCGTCGCTTCCTGCATCTTCTGCAGGGCTTTGGACTCGATGGGCCGCTCGAGAAAAACGTCATTAAACCGGCCGACGAGCTTCAGGACGGAGAGTTTGCTGGAACCTGGTGATGGTGTGGAATTTTTGAACTCTTGCATGACAAACAATTTTTTTTCATCCGGCAAATAAGTACACGTCAGAACTTGTGCTGCTAAAAGCTGGCGCAGTAGAAATTAATAGTAAGTACATTCCACGTTGTTCCATCCCGCCTCATCCTCCAACCGGTTCTGCCGTAGTCTGCCCAATCTGGAATCCAGAATACTTCTCAGCCTCGCTTTCCCCGCGTTCAACCACGATTCTGCCTCTTCCCCGGGGCCACTGACCTGCGCTGCTGAGCTTGGTTTTGCGGGGGACGCGGATCTTGATCTGGTCGTTGCGGAAGCAATTGTTCCAGTTGGCGTAGCAGGTTTACTTGCCGGGTCGGCAGCTGCTGCTGCTGTAGCAGTGGCGGCCAAAATGGTGCCAGCTGTTGCGGTTGTCTTGGCTGCGTCTGTGAAAATGTAGTAGAAATTTGTGATGCTGAAGCTATTAACTAAAACTATGCATGCTGAGTAATTGCAGAGAAATGTGATTATGCATAACAAACTACATCAAAGATAATATCAAAAATTTCTTACGTGCGCTCAGCCACCGCTCTTCCGCGACCACCGTTTCGAGAAAGCTTTTCGTCGTGAAAACTCGTCTCGTTCGACCTGTCTCGACAGTCTGGTCGGACATTTGTGATGCACCAGACGGCTTGAGCATTCCGGATCTCGCAATGTACGGTTCTTCCTTCGGCCCTCTTGCGGACCGTCTGGCGGAGTAAAGCTCGTCGGATGCGGCTGTATAGTGAGCGATTTATTTTTTGCACGAAATCTGGCACTGGTTGTGGTTCCCATTCGATTCCAGTTGTGCTAAACATGCTGCATGAAGACAATTTACAATGGACATGCAAGACCATGCACGGTAGGCAGCGGGCAAAAATTAAAACTCCAAATACCGACAAAACTATCCTTCTGCGGCCTTTCGTGCAGTCTCAATTTCGGAAACCCCGACAAAACCCGTGGCGTTGACCCCGTTTCGTTTGACCGCGGGGTTGGATTGAAGTCCTGGATATGAAAAGCAAAAATGTCTGGGTCTGCAAGAGTGCAGACTTGTCATGCATATTTTCCATGCCCCATGAGGTCTGGAATGCAGGACCTAGCATGACAGATTCTGCGATGTCTCTATCATGCCTATGTATCCTGCATGAGAAACTCCCGCTCATGTTGGTCAAAAAAGGACAACTTTGGGTGATCACGCAATACAGATTTTTATTTGTGTGACCCAAAAGACGCATCACAAATTCCATCCTCCCAGACCCAGACATTTTTGCATTTGATACTGGAATTGATGCCCTCCCCCGCGTTGCTGCGCGTTTCGGGTGCTCATCTGATTTCTCGGCGCCCAAGTGGGTGCAACTCTGTTCGCCGTGCCAGATTGCAGCTGCTGTTGCGACATCGAGGTTCCACCACCACCTAGTACTCTCGGCGAGCTCGCGCGACTGCTGCCAATTGAAGCCGCTCCACCTCTGGTTGCCAAATTCCTCGGACTGCTGTGACGCGAAGAAGCCGGCTCCACTTTGCTCGTGCTGTTCCGCCCGACTTTCATCCCGGGTTTTAAGACCACCGCTCTCTTGTTCGTCTGCTTCAATTGATTGATTTTCTCGTTGATGCCCAACCTCTGCTCCCGCGTTGCCCCGATCTGGTCGAGAGAGAATTCCGGTAAAATTTTCACCACAAACTCATCTTCTTCTACCGTTTCCCCCCGAGTAACGAGCTTCACACTCCGGAAGCAGTGATCCAGGTAACAGCAGTCCTTCTCCAGCCCTATGTAGCTGTACAGCGCTTTTCGGTCTTCCGGACTCCGCGGGTAGTTCACAGAGTTGCACCATTTCAAAAAATGGTCGAACTCCGCGGTTTGGAACGTGTTGTGATTCGTCGTCCCGAGGAAAGACAAAGTGTCTCGGTAACACTTGTCTAACGTCCCGTACCGCTTCTGCAGTTTGCTCGCGAATTCCTTGTGCATGGAATGCAGTTTCGGTGCGATGTCTTGGATCAGCAGGAACTTCTCCTCGTCAGGCGGATATTGCTGGGCAGACGAGTAGTTTTTGCTAGTCGACATGGAGACCAGTGCCAAAAACGTTTTCCGGATAATTGACGTCGGGTACTGGAGTCTTTTACAGCCGGAGACAAAGCTCTCGTAATCAATCCGGTCAAAAGACTGCTTCCTAGGGAAAACTTGGGACCAATTCGCGATGAACTCTTGTCTCACCCGTTTGGAGAAGTGGTTGCGGAAATATCCACAGAAAAAGACCCATTCTTGCCATCCGTTTTTTGCATGAGAAACACAGATTCTCATGCAGGTTTTGCATGACAAACTGATACTGGACGATGTGGGGATGGGTGTTTTTCTGCGCATATGAAGAGAACGGCCAGACCGGCGTTAGACTGACTGTTCTGTGCCGATGTCGTGTTGGATTGGAGCAGTTGCTGCTGTGATCCGGGATTTATTGGATTGCCAGATTGCGGTCCTGACATCGCGGAACTACTGGTGGTCCTCGCATTGTTCCCGCCGGAAACTGAAATTGTGCTCCTCGCATTCGGAATTTGGTTCACATTCATGTACTCTTCAATGTCCGGTGGGGCGGAAGAAGCCGTGACCACGCTCCTCTTGCTCCCGGAAACAGCGCTGAGCTTGCTCGGCTGGGGCAGAGAGGCTAAGTTGTCGTCGTTTGCAGAGGAAGGAGGGGGTGGAACACCAGCGGATGAAGCGGCGGCGTCTCGAGTCGCAACCTGGGGGGTAGTTTCCATTTGTGATGCTCGGACAGAAGCGGATGCCGAGGTTCCCACGACTGTAGTCGCTCCTCCTGGATTGTAAATCGTCTCGGTGTCTGCGAGTTTGGAGTTTCTGGTCGTAGTAGTTGCAGGTGCTCCCGCGCCACCAGTCGTTGTATTAGTAGCAGCACCCGCCCCTGAAGATCCCCGCACAGAATCGACCGCACTGTCAATCTCCAGCTGTCCGATTTCCTCTGTCAGTGAAGCTTCCTTCGCCGCAATGTCCTCTTCCAATTTCCGCAAAGATGCAGCAGGTGCGGCCTGTGCTGCAGTTTCACCTTTTCGTTCCCCGGTGGCACCATCTTCTCCCCCGTTGTTGTTTGCTGTTGCGTTCTCGTCCTTTTCCGGGAAGTAGAAGAAATTTTGCGTTGGTTCGGTCGACATCATCTTGCCGCTTATTGCTTGTGCACGGATGAAATCCGTTGGTGCGTGACGCATGTTGTAGAGGGGAGTGCTGGTGGTCGTCTTGCGAGGTTTTGAAGACGTTGAAGACCCTGCACCTGGTTCTTTTGCGGGCCCACCAGTCGTATACGACGAGGCAGCTGAAAACGGCCCATTCGCGCCATATTTCCGCTTCACCACGAGACGGGGTGGAGGAGCCCTGTCTCGGGGGCTGGAGGAGGAGCTGCTGCCGCCCAGCTGGTAGCTCATTTTTTTGCGGACATCTGTTTGTCGTTGCGTGAGTGGTATTGGTAGCACGCAAAAATAAACCAAGGAAGTTGGAAGCTATATAACTCACAACTCTGGAAACCTAAATGCAACGAACGGTCGCGCATGTGAGAATGGATCTAACGGCCATGCATAGAAACGAATACCCTCGGTTTATGCTTGCCGATGTGCTTAGTGAATTAAGATCTTCCTCTTAACATTCCTCCCAGATATCGATCAGGATGAATACATATTTTGATTCATGATATATACGCATTTACATTTTGTCTTGGTAGTGATCTCTCGCAAAGTGGCAACTCGTCAAACATGTGCACACATCCATTATCGCTTTGCCCACTCGACACACGCAACACACTCTCGTCAACACCAAATTACTCAACTTCTCTCGTGCGAAACACAGAAACAGACAATCTCAAACAGGCACCTCTACACCGAGACACGTCCTGCAAAAATCAACTATTTTCTTTTTCTGTAGGGCTTGACACTGCAATAAAAAATGCCCCAAGGGCGCGCACAACCTGCCGGTGCGTAAGTTTCTTTGGACCCATACGCGACGCGCCTAGGTAGGGCCCCAGCCACCAGCCAGCGCGCGGCCACTCACACTTCACTGCGCGGCGCCCACATTCACAACACACGACACAAGCTGCCATAATTATGCGCGCGACCGGCGGATCCGCTGGCGGGCGGGCCCGAGCCGGCAATTTGGGGGCGGGAAATCTATCAAAGAGATGAGACCCGGCTGGCACGGGGGAAGCCGCTATTGCCTGCAGGCAACTTCTTCCAAGGTAGGGCCAGCGCGCACATAAAAACAAGGACGACACAGGGCGGGCCCGAGGCCGGGCTGCCTGCCATCCAAGCAAGCGGGCCCCAGGCAGCCGCGGGCAGCGGGCCCGGGTATTGTGGGGGCGTGGCCCCCCAATCTACCACCCCGGCAGCCAAACGGGGGCGAACTAACAAGACAAACGCAGGCAAGCGAGGCGACGCGGGGCAGCATCCATCCGCGTGCGCTTTTGGGCCGGCGGGTTTTCATTCGCGGTCGCATGGCTGGCGCGCTGCTTCCTTGCGCCGCCCCGCTCCGTGCCACAACATGCGAGCCAATTCGCTCTGCATCTCAATGCGTGCCTGCGCGCGGCAACGGCGACCCCACGAGGGCCCGCCATGCATCCTTCCAAAATTGGGCCGCTGGCCCAGACCCTCACCGACACCACAAACCGGATCGCGCCAGGACTTCCTTTCTGCGCCCCTCTCTCCTTGCGAAAGCAGCCAGTCCACACTTGGGGCGGCGCCTTCGCAAAGCTAACTTCGCTGCGGGCCTCCACGTTCGCGCCATTTACTCGGGACTGCTGCAGCCCGAAAACTATCGCCAAAGAAAAGCAAGCCCAATATGAGAGAGCAGTAGGCTTGCTAAACAGAGCTTGTGTTGAAGATCTCTCACTCCCTCAAAACAAAATATGTCTCTTCGCCCATTCAGATCGGAAATCGTGTCAATCAACTTCGTGCTGCAGATTCACGGAGACATGGAACACAATCAACAAGGAAAAACGTTACTCCCACGAACATAAACGCGATAAGAGCTATAACACAGAAGTAGAGAGGATGCAGATACTTCTTCCATTGCGACAACCACAGGCGCGCGCGCCCTCCTTCGGGGAATGATGAATCGGTCGGGCGGCCGGACCGCGGCATCATTCGCAAGCGCGAAAAAGCGTTCCCCCTAGGCTGCCCCCCTGAAGACGGCACAAGCGTGGTCGCTGCGACCATAGACAACGAGGCGCAAATCTATGCACACCTGCCGCCATGCCGGATGATGCGCAGACGATCGAATTGGCCGGAGCGGCCGCTTCTATGCGCGTGTCACCACCCGGCGGGGAAAACAACAAAGCCAGGGGGGCGTCGGAGCTCCAAATCAATGACAAACCCACTAGGCCCCCGGGGTGCAGACCGGGCCAACGACGGGCGGGCGGGGGCCACCCAAACGGCTCGGACGGGGTGCCCATGCGACCCACCCAAGCGACTCGGGCGGAGGGCTGGCAAGAAAGCCACAAGCGGGGCAGCCTACGTACGAGCGGGCTCCCCCGGCCCGCCAAGCACCACGCAATGGCAGGCCACCGGGCTACGGCGCCGGGCCCTAAAAGAGACAGACGGGGCCGCGCCCCGGCCCCCCGACGGCGCCCGGGCCCTTGCGCTTTTCTCGGGCGCTGGCGCCTTCCTTTGCCCCGCTTGTCGTTTGTCATCGCTTTTTGGGGGGGCTGACCACCCTCGAGCGGGCGCTACCTGCGCCAAGTCGCACTCGAAGCCCCACTAGCGCCACGGGCCGCGCCGTCGATACAGAGAAACCCAGGCGCGGGCGGATTGAACAGAAAGCGCCCGGAAAGGAAGACCCGAGGCCCCTGCGGGTTGGTGCAGGGCTTGCGCGGCAAAATCCGCAACACAAACACCACCGGCGCCGCCCGCACCGCACCAAGTTCCGACGCGCACCACTACGGGGCCGAGCTGGCTGGTGTTTGCCATGCTCCTGATCAATTCAACAAGCTAACAAGCAGCGGCGCCTTTACCATCTATCGTGATTGACTCATCGCTCTCAAATTCAATTTTCTCTTGTTCACTCTACTTAATCCCTCCGACACAGGCGCGCGGCAAGGCAAACGCAACTTGGCTCCTGCCCATCTAGAAGACGGGCGACTGATGTGCACTCAGGGTTTCAATGCGGCCGAACTAGGAACACGATGAGGAACGAGAAAAGGAAGAATCAATTCCCCAACTCCAACACTTTGTAGCGAGTACCAGGTCGGCTCAAACGCAGCCAACGGCTGCTTTTTCTGAAGCGTTATCAAGTACGCGGAAAAGAAAAGAAATTTTCACAATGCACCGAGTCACATTGTTGCGTCTGCCGTGTCAAATCCTCAGCACTTCTACGTCTCCACCTTGCTAATCCCCAGCAAGCTCGTCGCTAGATCCTCCATCGGATTGTGTTTTCCGATAATCGGATTACTCTGCAACGTCAAGCACTGCCCCTTGCAGAATTCACACTTACTCCCCGCTCCGCTCGCGCAGCTGTTGTAGCACGCGCCGTAGCAGATCTTCGGAATCGAGCAGTCCGGACCGGCGAAATCTTTGTTGCAGCTGCACTTCCCCTCAAAGCACAACCCCTTTCCGGAGCAGTCGTTGGCACACTGGTCTAAATTGCAGTTTGGCCCCAATTTTCCCAACCCGCAATTCCGTTTCCCGCAATCCTCGCCGTAGAAACCAGTCTTGCAAACACACCTCCCGTCGAAGCACATCCCCCTGCCGTTGCAATCCGCCGGGCACTATCAAATGTAAAAATGTCTGGGTCTGGAAACTTGTGATGCTGGGTGGCGTCTCATGATGAGGCCAGAAATGCTGTTTCAGCATCACAAGTTTCTGAGCTTCTAGGTGTTGCCTATTCTGCATCACAAACTGCGTTTCTGCATCACAGAAAAGTGGAGCTCTTGGGTAACTTGCATGACAGATTTAAGAGTCATGCAAGACAAGCATGACAAACATGCATTCTTCCAGACCCAGACATTTTTACATTTGATAGGCACTTCGGCTGCTCAAATTGCGTTTTCTCACACTCCTTCCCCGCAAAGCCCTCGTCGCAGATACAGTCCGGCGCCGTCATCTTCACCCCCGTCGTGGAATACTGTTCGACGAAAGTGCAAACCCCTCTGCCATTACAGTCGTTGCAGCTCGGCTCCCGACACCCAATGCCGGTCCAACCAGCTTCGCACTCGCAGGCCCCCTCCACACACTTCCCGTGCTTCCCGCAGTCCATGGGACACACTTTATCCTTGCAACTGTTCGGCTCGGACCCATCCTTCATCCCGAACCCGGCTAAACATTGGCACTTCCCGTTGATGCACATCCCCTGGTCGTGGCAATCGTCAACGCCCTCCTCCTCACTAAATCCCGGGCACCGCTGAATTTCGCACCGATCGCCGTGGAAACCCGCCTTGCAGTCGCAGGCATTAATCGCAGAATTGTACTCTCCGTTGTCCCCGCAAGACTTCCCGGGCGGCGCGGGCGCGGCTATGTCGCCACCGTGGGCCGCGGCTTCTAACTTGTCCTGCGCAGAAGAAGCACCTCCACCGCCGGCCCCACCATTTGGTGCTTCTTTCGGGCACGGTGCACCGTCGCACATGCACTTCCCGGTCAATCTATCGCACTCCCCGTTCGCTTATCAAATGTAAAAATGTCTGGGTCTGGAAGATTGCCAGGTTTGTCATGCACATTTTGCATGACTCCTGATGTCTGTGATGCATGCCCTAGCATCACAGATTTTGTGAGGGCTTCCTGATGCCTCTACCGCATGACAAATGCGCTCTCCGTGTAGCAAAACTTGGACTCTCTTTGCTGCTCATGCAATACAATTTTTTTTTAGCATCCAAAATCAGCATGACAAGTTGGATTCTTCCAGACCCAGACATTTTTACAGTTGATATCGCTGGACAGGCCGGGTCGCACTCCTTCGGCGGGGTCTCGCACAAAACGCCGGAGAACCCCGCTTCGCAGTGACATATGGCGTTCTCAAACGTTACATTCTCAACTGTTACATGAACTTGTAATGCAAGAACGGCAAAAGTGAAAGGGCGAAGTTTGCGCCTTTTGCATTACAAGTTCCGCACAGATTTAGGGGCTGTTTAGCCCCCCGCAGAATTGTCATGCGAAGCAGCTGGACCATCTGGCGGCTTAAGGTAGTTCTGCATGGCAAATCCATGTAGCAGTTGAGAGTGTAACGTTTGAGAATCCCATATGGCAGGTCCCTTTTCTGCACTCGCCGTGCGTGGAACAAGTTGGATCTTGGCAAACGGCTTCCACACTGCAGTCGGCGCCCCACCAACCCTCGTCGCACACACATTGCCCGGCGTCGTTCTGTAGTACAGGGCTTTGATTGATGATTATGAAGTCCTCTACTTCCAAAACTGGTGCATGATCGAATACGCCGCAATTGAAACCTCTGTCAGGCTCTTGTAGGAACAGTGCGTCACGATTCTCATCTGTTTCTTTTTAAAATGAAAAATTTCAGTTGCACTACAACATACAAAGTAGAAGAATTCGCACCTCCGCTCCATGATCGCTGCACGCAATTCGGATGCTACAGTCCGCCCCCCGAAACGCGGAAAAGCACAAACACGCCCCGGCAACGCAGTGCCCCCTCCCCGTGCAATCATTCGGACAGTAAACTCCGCAGCTATCCCCGCTGTAACCCGGGAAGCAGGTACACGAGCCGTTGTCGCAGCTGCCGTTTGAGTTGCAGTCGTCTTTGCACTTTTTCTGCTCGTTTTTTTTCAATAACTTCTCCAGCAGCTTCTTCTTCTCTTTCTGCTTCTCCCCCGGGGGTTTGGAATCTAGTTTCAGATTATCCCCAAACTTCTTCGTGTGGGACGACAAGCCGGAGAGTGGGTTCGGACCAAGTTGGGTTTTGCAGTTGTCTCCACTGTATCCTGTGCAAAAGTATCGCACTCGTAGTCATTGCAGTCATGCATTACAAATTTTGTTCCTAAGGTAAATCCGCATGACAAATTTTATCTCTCATGCTGAGGAAATTTGTAATGCATTTATACGAGTACGATACTTTTGCAATTCATACACTGTACCCCTTGTTGCACGTGCATTTTCCAAGCTTCGGATCACAGACGCCGTTGTTGTTGCAATCGCTCGGACAACGCTTGGACTCACAGGCTTTGCCGAAATAGCTGCTGTATCAAATGCAAAAGTGTCTGGGTCTGGAAGGATTCGAATTTGTGACGCCAAGTCTACATTATGACAAAATCTGTCATGCATGGCTAGCAAAAAGCCCCATTTCTTCGTTTCTTTGCAAGAGAGGGGGTTTGTCATGCGGATTAGGCATTGGGATAAGTGCTCAAAGTCTGTGATGCTGAAGCGTGCATGCCAGAGGATCTTGGTCAGGTAAAAACTGCATGACAGATCTCGGATTCTTCCGGACCCAGACATTTTTGCAATCCATATGCTGTTGCACACGCAGACGTCGTTGATCAGGGTGCCGTGGTTGGAGCAGGAGGTTGCTGTAGTTGCCCTGCTAGCGAGATCATTCGCGTTGCTGTTTTTAGCAGTTTGTGTTGCTTGTTTTGCCGTTGTTGTTGTGTGGTACAGGTCGATGGCACGGGGCAGGACGGGAAGCAGGAACACGTGAATGAAGAGGAGACGCGTTATCTTAGTCTCCCGCTTCAACTTCAGGCTGCCGTGCAACAGCGGCATGGTAGACGCTGCGACCTCCACCCAACGCGGCCGTCGTGGGGACGACCACGTGGGAGACGGTGGGACGGATTTAAGTCATTTCCGGCTGAGTAGTTTGGTTGCAATTCGATTGATGAGAGGTAGCTGCTCACAGATCTCTCCAATAAACACTCGGACAGCATCAATGTTCACGCTTCAAGCACGACGTATTGGGCGCGAATAGCATCTCAGCAACAACGCTTTGTCTCCATAGACACCGCTAACAGAGCCTTTCTCCCTCTAAGAGAGCTGAGAGCGTCGTCATGATGAACATACTGACACGGACGCATTGTCTTTGGGTTGCCGGAGGTGGGGGGTCGCCCGACTCCAACACCTTAACCCTGTCAGAAAGTCACACAGAGTAGGGGACAAACCGAAAGCGGGACCGAATCCCGTCTACACTGTCGAAAAGGTGCCGCTCGGTCGCCGGCGGGCATATTTTTCGCCCGAGCGCAACTGGCAGCGAGCAGACACGCAGGGACAGAGAGATGGGGAGGCAAAACAGGCCGCCTCCCCAACCAACACAACCTGCACGGCCACACCTTCAAGGACCCGCCTGCCGGCCCAGTCGCTCGGGCCGTTGCGGAGCGTGGGGCCAGGCCGTGCGTGATCAGATACAGAGGCGACCCAAAGTCACCGGGGCCCGCCCTGCGGGCGCGCGCCCACGCTGACAACGAACCGGGCACAGATAGGGGCGACACAACACCAGGCCACAACCCAAGCGCGGGCCGGGCGGGCCCCTGCTGCTCGCGACGGGGCAGGACAGGGCGCCGGCCGGAAGCAGGGCAGTCGGGGTCTTGCATTTTTCCACCGACCGCAAGACCCACACGGCCAGAAAATAAAACCCGAAAGAGCCTCCATTCTCGCGTAGTCCGCCTCGACTAAGAGGACCTCGCCCCGGAACTCTTCGACGTGGCCCACTTCCTCAATACGCTCGCGCCCGCTTCACGACCGCCGGCGCTTCCTGCTCGTGCGTCGTCACCCACACGCCTTGGCACAAGGTTTCCATAAGATTCCCGAAGTAGGGCAGCGCCGCGCGAGAGAATGATCGAAAGCGGCCCGCTTGGCCTGGGCTCGCTACTCTGGCAGACCGAGTGCACGCGCGTCGGCCTTCCTTGCGCCCGCGCCCCGCAACCGGGTTGGGGGCGAATCGGGCCGGACAACCCGCCCGCCCCGGCCGTGCGTCCCTCCTCCGGCAGGCCCACCGACAGGATCTTACGGACGAAAGAGGCACGGGCGTCGCAATCTTCCTCTTTGATCAACTCGAGATGGCGCCGCTCCCGGAGCCAGGCGATGGCCGATCTCTCCACGTCCTCGCGGGGCTGTGACCCCTTGGAATGGGCGGGAGACACAGCGCCGACCGTAGCAAGCGAGAGCGAGGCTGTGGCCCCTGTGCCTGCACATGACGCGGGGCGTGCGATCGGAGTCAGATACTTGCCCGCCTCCAGCCCTCTTGGTCCCGGCGCGGTCGGTCGCGCCGCCCGTAAATATGCAGCGGATCAGCTGCGGCCGGGAGAGCTCACCCGCCCCGAACGCCTCACCGACGGCCTTGGCCTTTCCAGTAGCGCAAAACACGCCGGGCCCCACTCTGCAGCGCCCAAGGCCGGCCGGGCCTCCTGCACAGTCGCGCAGCTGCTCATGCTTGCGCCCGCCTTGTCCTCGCTCCCTGCTGGATTGCGGCGCAAGGGGCTCCATTGACATCTCCCTGGCTTGTGCAACCCAAGCGGGCGGGCGAGGGGGCAAAGAAGGCCCCGGGGAACCCCTGCGACACGACCTCGGCCACTCTTGGCGCCCCCCATTATCTTGAAAAAAACCCGAGGCCCAGCGCGTTGGTCCGCAGCGCGGGCGTCGTGCTGGGGTTGTGGGCGCTTGCGCAAAAGCGCTCGCTGCGGAGTGCGGCTGGTAACATTCAAGGCCATGCGTCGGGACATTGCCAACAGAATCGCCGCGCGCCCGCCGCCACCAAACAAGGCGAAACAAACCCGAGGGAGCCCCCCCCCCCGGTTGGCCCCTTTCCTTCTTACTTTCCGAGCGCCATCGGCGCGACCTGCCCCACATTCTTGCCGATCACCGCGCGACCACTCCGCGTTTTGCCGGCGAGGGCTTGGCGGCCGTTTTTGGTTTTCGGCAAAGCCTCGACCAAAGCGGCCCACCCTGCCCATCGACAAAAAAGACCGCCGCCGGGCGTGCGGGCTGCCACGTGCATTCTTCTTGAGACACGGCCACGGGGTCCCCAGCCTCAAAAGCATGCAACCAAGCAAGGAGGCCCCCCAAGGCCTGCCCCGAAATTGACGCGCGCCCACGGACATGCTCTTCATCCGATAATATCGCATCGCCTCTCCGGGTTTACCAGAATCGCTGCCCTATCTCGTCGCGCTCGGGGAATTCAGCGCCCGCGGAGTCATCGCCCCAACGGCAAAGCGCCCGGCGCCTTGCATAGGGCGGCTCCAGCGCCTGGCGCAGGTAAGACGACGCCAGCGCCTCGGGGAGTTAAATGAATCATCCGCCACGCACCGCTCTCGAACGCATTCACCTCTACTTCCAACACAGGTTTATTAGTTTCCGAACTGCAACATCTTGTCGCCCCCTCGTGTTTAGGAGCACTCCTCGTCATCTTCATCAAATTCAAATCTTACAAAACAAATTTTTTCGTACAAAAATCGCGCGATGAAGTCACTGCTCCAGCAGTGTCTTTGCCATGTGTTTCAGTCTTTCCTTCCAGCAACAGGTTTTATTAAGAGCGTGGTCTGGGCCTACTTGCTCTTCAAAGACGAATCGGTATCGTCGCGGTCTGGATCTGATCATGCTAGCTTACGATATCATACATGCGGTGAAGCAACATCAGCAAAAGTTTGTCAATTTCAATCGACTTAATTTAGCACTTCTCGACGTTCACAATCGGAAATATTTTCTAATTTTTCCTTTCCTCTACTTCTTCATCAAATCGTCCACAAAATCGAACGCCTTGTCCCCTTTCTCCAAGACGCTTGGCTGGTCGTCGATCCCCCGTGCCGCCATGTCCAATGCCGCAAAGCGATCTGATTTCGCAAGTAAGTTGAGTTTGTCATGCAGATGAAACCATACGTGAAAATCAAAATTTGTCTTGCAGATGAAACAGACCACGCCCAGGAGCAAGACTTGACTGTGTTAAACTTAAAGTATGCACTTATACCATTTGCGATTCCCGCTCCTCCACCCGGTGTGATCCGATTCCCGCCCGTAGTGCCAATATTACCCCCGATCGCTCCAAACGCCCCATCCACAGTTCCCCTAGGTTGTATTTCCGGCGACGACAGACCCAGCAAAGGCGACGACGGACCCCCCGCCGCGTTTGGGAGTGGATTTGCGATGCTAGAAACGGCATTGGAGTTTTCGTTCGGCGACGGTAACCGGAGAATCGCATTGCCAGCAAGCGGGTTGCTCATCGTGGTCAACAAGGGCGATGCTCCTGACTGCGCACCACCTGCTGCTCCGGGGGAAGACATGAGGCTCAGCAAATCGTTTTCCGCTTCCACTGATTGGGAAACAGACGAATCGTTCGGCGAGTGCCCGGAACTTACCGTCACTGTACTATTCCTTTTCTTCTCCTGCAGCGCTGCGATCTTCTGCGTTCTGGTTGGTTTTGCTGTCGATTTTGCGTTATTTTTCGAAGATGACGAACTCGAAGCAGCTGCTTTCGAATCGATTGTTGGCGTCGGGACTTTTACTTTGATTTTGCTCATCTCTGCAGTAGTTGTTCCTGTGGCGGACGAAGTGGAAGTTGCTGTTGAGAAAAGGTCTTCTACACCAACGCCACTTGGTGAGGAAGGCAGAAGATTCGTTTTTGGCGGTTGTTGCAGCGATTCGATCAAACTGGGCTCGATAAAGTCGTCGAGTTTCATCGGAGGCGGCTTCGGGCTTTCCTCGCCGCCCAAGAGGTTTGTTGTTGTGACGGTTTTTGTGGTGGGTCCTGCGTCTGAAGCAGACGCACCTGCTTCGCCAGCGGATGGGCGTGGGACACCGCGCTTCAGATTTAGAACCTGAAATAAAGAGGTTTTGAATTCAGTGACTAAGTCTTTCTCAGAACAACCTCTACAGTAAATATCGGATTTTCCTTGTGAAAATAAGTCCCAGATGCAACTGCAAGCACGCAAAACTGCGCGGCAGCCTTGTTGTTAAAAAATACCTCCATCGCAATTTCCCTAGTCTGGTCCATCTCCGCCAAACCTTCGATTACTGGCTCTGCATCTCGCAGCACCGCCTTGAAAATGGACTTCGACTCGTAAAACAACTGCTTCACGCCGTAGAGCAACCGCAGCCGCGTCCGCCAGTCGTCATCCCCGCTGTAGAACGACAGATTCTGAATGATCTCCGCTACAACCGTGGAATTCGATTTCAGCTTCACACACTGTTCGCAAAACTGCTTCAACTCCGCATTGCTCGGTTTGTTGCTCGTGAGGGATTTGATTTCCAACAAGTTTTGCACAATTTTTTTCGCTTCTTCCTCGCGATTCGCCTGCTTTTCTTTATTCGTAGGGGAGGGAGAGGTGGATGTCCGGGATGGGGGCTGGAAAGCGGTTGATGTTGACGGGTTGGCGTAGTTGGGGTCGTCGTGTGCATCAAAAACATCTACTGCTTCGCCTTTTACCCCTGAGTCCTGGTCTTCTGGTGGTAAATACGGCATGGGCGACTTGTCGTCCTCATTTTCGTTATTTTCCGCGGAAGAAGACGCAGAGCTGGAACTACTGCCTTGAACAGTCCCCGATCCGGAAGAAGCCTGCTCTTTTTTCACCGTGAGAGGTGGACCACTAGCGGGCTCCGGCACCACGTCATCCGTCGGAGACTGCAGCGACAATAGGTCGACCTCAGGACGAGTGCGTGCGGGGGCACTTTTGAGTAGGTCCTGTCGTGGTATGCAAGATCTGTTTTACAAAAGCTGATTTGATCATTGCTAGTGCTAAAATTTTTGCATAAAGCATTCTAATAAATTGTGCCGTGCACGAATGTTTCGGCTTCGTTACTCTGTCAGGTATCATTGTACTTACCTGCTCCTTACTGCCCCCGAGAGTTTCCGCTTCCTCTTCCTCTTCAGCCCCGCCCAGCAAGTCCACACTCTTGTTACGTTTCCCCAGCAATTGGTCTGGAGAAGCACTACTGTCCTCTTCGCCACTTGGTTCCGCAGTCGTTGTAACTACCTTCGACCAGGGCACACCCACTTGCTGCTTTGATTCCGGTTTTGATGATGCATTTGTTCCGCTTTTGTCAACGCCGGATGTTGAACCGCCACCAGCTTCCTTACTTTCACCTCCCTCTGCAACTTCCCCACCCGCGTCTGTAGTTTTGCTTTCCTTCCCGCGCTATGGATTGCAAAAGTGTCTGGGTCTGGAAGGTTGGAACTTGTGATGCTAGCTTTCGACTCTAAAAAAATCTGTATTGCATGACCAGCAAGAGGAGTCTAGTTTGTGCTACGCGGGGGGGGCATTTGTCGTGCGGAGTAGTCATCAGTATGCCCTCTAAAAATCTGTGACGCTAGGGCGTGCATCACAGACATCCTGGGTCATGCAAAATATGCATGACAAACCCGGCAACATTCCAGACCCAGACATTTTTGCATTTGATACGTGCAGCGTTTCCGTCGTTTTCTTCTGAATGGTTTCGGACACCGAGCTCCAGATGTCGCCGACCCAAGCCCCGACTTTGTTGGAGTATTCACTGATGGCAACGTGGACTTGCTGGGCCGTTTCGGTGATCTTCGAAGACGCAGCGCTGGTGGACGCGGAAGCACCATCTGCGGGTGGATTTGTCGTCGTCGACTGGTCGGATGAATTGTCTGGCCCGCTGTTGCTTGCACTTCTTGCCGTAGTTGTGTCGCCATGACCAGCTGTCGGATTACTTCTTTCTGCAGTAGAGCCTGTAGATCGAAAGCTCTTTGGGAAATCCGGATCGTCTGTGAATGATGGAAATTCGACTTTCACGTAGTTACTCTCATCCGAGCTACTGGGGAGATTTTCTCCGGAGGAAGGTTTGTCTTGTTGGTCAGCGGAAGGTTGGTCTGTTTTGTCATTGCTGTCTTGCTGGCCGTTGTTTGCCGCCGTTGAGGAGGACGAACCACCGCCGAAACCCGTGATGCGCGCTTTGATTGCGTCGGCGTCAAGCGGTGTGGCGCTGGAGCTCATTATTTCTCGCTTTGGTTAAAAACAAAGATACTGAAGCAGTGTTGGGCCCATGAGGCTCGCGCTTATTTGCGTGTCTGCGTTGTCATGAGACCGGGTTTGGTGGTCACATCAATCCCTATCTTCAACAATACGCCGCTGACAAACAAACCGAGCTTCTGAATCACCACAACAACTCTTGACTACACTGCCACTGGTCAGGGATGTTGCTCGCCAACACCCACCCGCTGGGATACATCGGTCGGACACGCAGGCGAAGGTAGGAGTGTGGAACACGGTCAACCAGTCTTCCATCCGCGAAGGCGCGGCACCACCCGGGAGAGGAGCTACCAGGGGAGAACACACACAGACACCGCACGCCGACGGCTACACCCGCTGCGGGCGCATCCATCGCCCTGGCAGGCACCGAAAAAATAAAAGGCAAGGAAATTTTGCCACGCGCAGTCTGTCAGCCAACGCAGAGGCCACCAGCGAAAAACGGATCGCCGGGCTAACATCGCCGGCGCCCTCACGGGCGATGCAACACACGGCCGCGGGCCCATGAAAGGAAGGGCGCATGGGCCACGGCGCGTTTGTCTATCAGTGAATAGCTTTGAATGCCCGCGGGCGTCCCCGGCAGGGCGGCCGAGCGACCGACGAACCACCGGGAGACAGAGGGGCGGGCGGGCCGGGGGGCGGGGCGGGCTGCGGGCGGCCCTACCTGCCGAAAAACAGAGCGGGGCATCAGGGGGCGCCCCAGGCAGGCGCGCCGCGCCAGGCCTCGCCCCGGAAGGTAGCGAGGGCGCGCGTGCGCGCGGGCCGGCGCCCGCGACGCGCAGCCTCTCGCCAACTGCTACGCCGAGACAAACGGGCCCACCGAGGCCGGAAGCGAGGGCAAGAGGACAGGGGCGAGCCCGCTCCGCCTTGTTCTTATCATTTTTACATGAAAACCAAGAAGGGGCCCGCGCGCGCCCAAACCACGGGAGCGCAGGACCGGGGCAGCCGCCCTGCTGCCATGGTGCTGCTCGCCCCCCCAATCCTGCCGGGGGGGCGCTAATGGGCGCGCGACGCAAATGGGGCCCGGCCAGCCTGCCTGACTGGATCCGCGGCGCAAATTCGTCGCGCGGCTTCAGTCGCTACGTGGGCGGCGGCAGGCGCGCCGGAAGCGGCCCCCCTCTACGGAAGCAAGAGCCGAGAGCGCCGGGCTTGCCGCCTGCGTGCGGGCCCATATCCTCTTCTACGTAAATACGGCGCGGCGCGCGCGCCCGTTGGGTCTCGGGTGGCGATAGAAGTAGCAGGAGGACGCCGGGGCATCAAATGCATGCGTGTGCTGCACTGGCGGCGGCGCCTCTGGATGCAATTTCGCAACGAGTTGCAACGCACAACGCCCCTCCTCCGCATTTTCGACGCGCCGACCCAAGTTCGCTAGCGAGCCCCCTCAGGGGCGGCCGGAATCGTTGCGCGAGCGGGGCCGATTCTGGCTGGGCTGCGTCGGTCCCTCCTGTTTCCGCGTTTGGCCATCCGCCTGGAACCCGATTCCCGCCCTCGTCCAAACCGAGAGGGCGCACGAGCGGAGCAGAAACCCAACCACAGTGGGGTGCTTCTCCAACCTGTCGGAGACGGGCGGCCTCCACCCCCCGCGCAGGCCGCGGCTCGCGGCCTAAAGGGCCCGCGCAGGCGCCAAACCGACGCCGACCAACCACAGACCATCAGACCCCGCGCTGCTTGCTACCGGGCTCGCCCCGCCCTTCCGGGTAGGGCGGCGGGGGGTACTCGGCGGCGGAGCTGAATGGGCTCAGCACTTTTGGCATTTTGAGACCGTGCCACATTGGTGGCATCCATGCCGCGCGAGGTCGGCCATGCAGCCTGCGGCGCTGCTCGGATTCGTTCGGAAGGAGCCCGGCAAAGAAAAAGCGAACCAGCTTCCTCGCCCTCGCTTTCCCCTTGTTTTTCTGCGCGATCCACGAGTCGAAACCGCTCGCAGCCGGCCCGCGGGCGCCGCGGGGGCGCTGTGTGTTCTGTGCTACGCACGGGCTGGGCCACGGGTTAGCTTGCTTCTCCCTTGCCAAGCCCGGCCGGCGTGCATTGCCCCACTCTAGAAAAAAATCCCCCCCCGCCCGGCCTCCCCGCCTGCGCCGGCGCGGTCCCGGGCATCTAGAAGACCGGCCGCGGGCTCAACTCTTTCGCGGGCGGCTCCTCTTCCACGTCGGCAAACTTGCCGAACTTGCAGCCGTGGCGCGGGGCTTCCTCTTTCGCTCGCCCGCCGCGCCACCAGCTACGACGCCAACACGCGCAAGGCGCGCCCCTTGGCCTTCAATCTGCGCGGCGTTTGGTGGTGGGAGATGGAGTCGCCAAGGCAAGTTTAGAAACGCGCGCGAAAGAAGTTACAACCAAGACCAAGAAGATCGAACACAGCGCGACTAGGAAGAAAAATATGCTCGCCATCACTACCGTCGCAGGGAAGTTGGCTTTTCTGACTTCACATTACTTTACGTTTCTTTCGAGTTCGAGGAGATGCACGGCTACACTGTAGTTCGAAGTTCTATGTCATGTAGCTCTTTCACACACACAATGCTTTCAGCTTTGCAAGTCTATGTATCATGAGTGCCGTTAACGTTATCATCAAACTCAAAAGTGCATTCCTCCCATGGGATTGTGTTTTTTGTGAAACTTCGCAGCGCCGGGATTCGGCTTTTCAATCGCGTACTTCCTTGGATCCTGCCCGAAATTCGTTGCGAACGCGGCCATGTGGTTTGTGCTACTCCCGCCTGCTGTCACATTACCACCGCTCTTAATACCGTCAGGAATTCCAGGAATCCCGCCACCTAGCCGCATGTTGTCCACCACACCACTATTTTGCTGGTTTCCCGTCTGCATTTGCTGCGCAGCAATGTTCGCCGCATTATCACCGCCTGCTGCAGGACCTTGTCTTGGCTGTGGTGCGCCTCTTCTCCTAAACGGGTTCCCGCGTTGAACTTTCAATGCGGGGGGTTGGGCGTACTGATCGTTGAAATTTACTGAAATTTGAACCTCGTCTTGTTGCCTCTGTCCGGATCGATTGGTTACATCAACTGCTCCTTGGCGGGCTTCTACTCCTGCACCTTGATGAAGATCATGTTGGAAGCCGATTACACTTGGCGTCGGTTCCTCTTTCTCCGATCCAAGATTTGTTTGCTGGTTTTGGAAGTACAGCGCAGCCTGCTCCTGGTGGTTGAACCCAGATTGGTTGTTCAGATTCTGATTTTCTTTATCAGCAATGGTGGAGGCGCCATAGCTGAAGCCACTGCTCGTAGCGGAAACAGAGGCCTGTGGCACTACGACTCCAGGCTGTAATTCTTCAGCAAAGAACCCTCCTTGTTCCTCTGCTTCCTCCCCTTGCTCTGCCCGCTCGTTTGCGTGGTCCATTATGAACTCCATTTCCTCTTGTTCCCGTCTCTGTTCCTCCCGATCCCGTTTCCGCTGCTCCCGGAGCCGGTCCATTTCGTTCAGGGTGTGTTTCTGCAGGTCAATCTGCGTCTGGTTGTCGTTGTCGAAGGTCAAATGCACGGGGTCTTGAAACTGACTCCGCCCCGCGGGAGGGGTGAGATACTCTGCGGGGGCTGAAATTTATTGTTTTGTCAGTCAAATAAGAATAAACATACCACTGATCTCGACGAAGGTAGCCGCAATGTGAAAACAAAGGAAACACGACAAGAACTGTGTATAATGTGCTCACAGAGGGAGGTACAACTACTTAACCAATGACAATACTGGTTTTCTTGTATACCGTCAATGCCTCGCTGTCCCGGTGGTGTGTACGCAAACTGGTTTGGTATCCCGGGTGGCAGCGCGACATTATTCATTCCCGCCACCGCCTGTCCGCTATCCGTTGCCCCGGCCATCGCTTGCCGATGCCGTTCCTCCCGCGCGTCGCGCATCAGATCCTTCTGTCTTCTCTCCCGCGCGAACTTCAGCATCTGCCGCTCTTTCGGGTTCAGCGGGTCCTTCGGCCTAGCCGTGAAGTCCTTCGGGCGAACCTCACCCCGGCACAGCTTCGGCATCACGTCCGGCGCGATTTTCTCCAGCGTCCCACAAGCCCGTTCTTTCGTGCAAGCGGTCAACTCCAACAGCATATCGGGGTCCGTCTGCGCGATTTGCAGTCTTTTTATCCGCTTCAACGCGTCGGAGAAGAACAAAACCTCACCCTTCTTCGTGTCGTATACGATGTGGTGCCGGAACACGGATAACGACAAGTGGAAATTTCTCACGTAGTCTAAGGGTTCGCAGGGCAGCGTGAACTTCTTCACGACGGCATCTAGCGTCCTCTCCTTGTAGCAGTGGACCAATTTTGCCGCGGTCGCGATCGCCAGTTTCGCAACGTGCAAATGCGGGTTGTAATCGCAACCACAGAGCACCGCGAAAATCCGGAACATTTCTGGGGACCAATATTTCAACAAAGCGATGTCGAATTTCAAATTCGGAACCGGGTTGATTACTTTCGGCTTTTTCGATGGTTTTTGCTGTTTCGGTGGTAGTTCCTTGTCGTTGTCTTTCTTCACCACGACCGAGTTTTTCTTGCCTGATTTACAATTTGGCTGCTTCGGTTCCTTCTTCGGTTTTGGTTCCTTTTTCTTTTTTCCACGGCCTTTCTTGCCTTTTTTCGCGTCCTCCTCGGCGTTTATCAGGTCGAAAACACTACTGGTCGTCGTATTGAGAGCGGACGAAGGAGGGTTGTCTTGCTGCTCGGCATTGACAAGAGTATCGTCTTGTGCTGGTGCTACTTGATCTCCACCTTCTTCATCCGAATCTTCGAGCTCGATGACTTCCTGATCGTCGTTTTTTTCCACTTCTGAGGTCGTCGTAGTGGTCCTCTTGCTACTAGTCTGGTGCAACAACTCTGCAGCCGCCCCCGCAGAGCTTGAAGAGTTGTTCTTTGCGCTGTCCTGCGTCTCTTGCTCGTCTCGCGGTTGTAATTTATCCACGTTGCTAGAAGAGGAAGCCGAGGAGCTGCTAGACGAGGATCCTGTCGCTTTCGTGATGTTCACTACGTCGTCTTTCTCTATCTCCTGCGAGCTGCAGAGGTCAATCACTTCGCTATCAGGCGGTGCCTCTTGCTTGATTTTCACGACAGCAGGTACAGGTACAGCAGGAGCGGGTGCTGGGTTCTTCAAAGCGTGGCTTTTCTTTTCCCTCTCCCGCATTTCCTCTTCGTAGTCACTTATGCTGTACAAATTTCCCGTACATGTACACGATGCATCACAAATTTCACCAATTGGGAGTGTAAAACTTGTCACGCTAAACTAGGAAAGAAGACAAGTTTTGCCATGCAGAGACCGCATTTGTACGTGTACGGGAAATTTACTGTGGATATCACTGCACTCGATGTCATCGAAACCGGTCGCTGGTTGTTTTGGTGTGGGTTTTGCCGTGTTTCGTGTTGAACCATCGGTCTTTTGGTTATTTTCTGTAGCAGAGATGATCACCTCCTCTGCGTCTGCGCTATTCCCAAGCAGATCATCCGTTTCGTGAAGAACAAGTTTGGAAGGATCGCTCTCGGCTACAGCTGCCAGTCCATCAGCTGTAAAAGTCTTCGCGCCTGCAGTCCCGCTAACATCCGCACCGTTTTCCTTTGCTGCTCCTGCACTAGTGGTGCCATTTTCTGGCAGCTCTTGTTCACCAATATCCTCCTTCGCCTTAACCCAGGTTCCGTCTATCACTTTCTCGATAATTCTCTCCTCTTTATCAAATGCAAATACGTCTGGGTCTGGGAACTTGTGATGCTAATTTATCAATTCTGGGGACACTGCAATAGGCAGCCACGCATGACAAGCTTCTTGGCTCCTTCGCGTTTCGCTTTCTGCATGAGAAACTTCATTTTTGCAAGACTTGCAAGAGGCTCTTTTCATCCTGCTCACGCATTACAAGTCCAAGAGTTATGTGAGACAAGCACGACAAATTTCCACTCGTCCAGACCCAGACATATTTGCAATGCATACTCTTTCAGCTGCTCATATTCCGCCACCACGTCAAATGCGGGCTCCTTTTCTTTCGGCGGCTTCTTCGATATTCTTTTCTTGGCCGCTGGTTTCGATCCTTTGTTGCCTTTTTTCGCTCTGCCTTCCCCCGCAGCTCCCTCTTCGTCATCGTCTTGCGGTTCTTCTGCAGCTGCTTCGTCGTCGTCCTCATCGTCAAATAATGCATCCAACTCGTCGTCCAAATCGAGTTGATCTGTCACTTTCTCTTTAACCGGCGGAGCCGCTGCGACAGTAGTTTTTCCTTCCGCGTTCTGGTTCTGGTTTTCCTCTTCTGTGCTGCTGTTGTTCTTGCCGTGGTTCCCACCAGCTGTGCCGTCACCGTCTGCCACTGCCGTTACACCAGCACCGCCACCTCTCGTCCCGAACAGCTTCTGCACGGATTTCGCCGTCCCCTCTGGTACTTCCCGATTATTCCCTTTGCCAAGAATCGTGTCCATCTCGAAGAGATCACCCACCCCGTATTTATCCATCTTACACAACACCCGCGGGCAACCGTAGACGAAGAGATCGCTATCTTCGGAAATGACCGCGTGTAGAAAGCCGGTTCGGCACATGTAGGCGAGTTGTGCATCCGCTTCGTACGGTGCGACGATGAAATCCACTTTGAGTTCCCGTTATGAAATGCAAAAGCATCGTACTTGTACTAGTAGAAATTGCATTACAAATTGACTTAGCATTACCTACAAATTGAATTTGTAATGCGGATTTGCCTTATCAAAAAGATTTGTAATGCATAAACGCAATTAGTACGATACTTTTGCACAGGATACCCGTAGAGCAGCGATGATCCGCTCTATCATGTCCACGGTAATTCTGATCCCCTGCTGCGCGAACTTGTTGGTGGCGGTGTCGAACCTGATAAAAGGTCTTTCGCATGAAAAATGGCGTTCGAATAAAATGAAAACACATCTGACTGAAGTCTGGAAAGCACCAGAGCATCTCTGCAAGACAGACTTGCTGGTGACACCGATAACTTACAGTTTGCAAAACCACAACCTCCTAGTCTTACCTGGCCGCGTCCCCGGGCAGATTTCTCGCGTTTTCCAACACTTTCTCCCTGGCTTCATTTCGCACCTTCTTCCGAATGTCGGACTCCTCCTGTTTCGCCGGTAAATCGCAGCCGTCGAACACGATGAAAGGGATGCAGCCGTTGAAGAGTAAGCAGAACACCATGTCGACGAAGAATTTCACAAATCGGTCCGTGTCAATTCCGACGATCAATTCATACGCACAGGAAACTGCCCCTCTGTGCATCCAGCACATCTATCCCGTGCAAAAGCATCGCACTCGTATTGCAATCATGCATTACAAATCTTGTCCTTAAGGTAAATCAGCATATACAAATTCTATTTCTCATGCTGAGGAAATTATTTGTAATGCATTTATACGAGTACGTGTACGATACTTTTGCACTGCATAACATCGCGTCCACGCCGATTCTTTTTTTTCGCCAAGACTCGTCAATTTTGTACTGCGTTTGCGCCAACGGACGCAAAAGCTTGTGGAGCTGCTTGATACCCATGTTGGTGGCTTTTCCTTTTCCTGGTGGTGGTTTTGCAATCAAAGTTAAGGTGTAAAAGCTCAAAATAGACTGTTAAGAAACAATACGCGTTTCCGTTGTACTCATACTGCACACATCAAAGGTCGTAATTGAAACTGTTGATAGTCACTACTTGCACGACAGCTACTACGTCGAAATCGTGAATATGTTGTAAATGTAGCAACCAATGGTCAGCGGACCTATAATCTGAAGGAGCTCTAGCATTTCAAACGAAAAGCAAAAAAACGCTACAGAAACGACTTAATGTCGGGACACGAGCGCCAAGTAGTGACAGTGACAAGTTCATCTCCGCTTGCTCTTCAGCAGAATCAGGGTAACGAACCAAACGACCAGCCAACTTTGACACCAGCAGTTTTGAGATATACGAGAAAAACTTTCTACTCAACCTTGTTTCCGACATCCTAGATGATTCAACACGTTAAGCCAATAATCTGCACGGCTCTTCTGCATCTCTCTAAGCGCACAACATGTTCTTCCGATGCCGTCATGATGAGGCCGCTTCCCTTTCTTCGCTACTTGTGTGTGAACAACAGTCATCATGTTTTCACTCGCATGTTTCTTGTCCACAACGGATATAGTTCGAGTTTATTTTTGGTGGAAACGTACTGGAGATGATTATATTTCGGTGAATATTGACGACGATAAGCCGTCGCAAAAGTGCAAAATTTCATTCAAGATGGACTTACCACATATTACGAACGGACTAACTCTCCGCTCTTCCTGACATTACGCCACCGAAGATCTTCATCACGAGCTAATCGCCCTATTGGCGGACAATTCTCTATTCAACGGAGGCACCATGGTCGACGCGCGGGTGAAATAGCACTGGTTATTCGGTCGGTTTTGTCGCTTGTATCTGGAAGCACCACTTGCTGAGGCGACTCCAGATGCCGCACTGGTCCCGCTCGGGAGTTGTAGCTCCGGAGGTTGTTCTTCGGAGTGGTAATTTCTTGGCGAGGCAAAATCACTCTCGTCAATTTCCATTTCAAACTCTGTGCCAGCCAGAGCACATGCATCTTCAATTTTGTCGCGGCTCGAAGAAGTCGTAGGTGGAGTGTTTCTCTTACGCAACAGCAATTGCTGCTCTACTGCGGCTGCGCCACCACCGCTCTGCTGGCGCTGCATCCAATTTGTCGGCGACAGGCTTGGCACAACCATTTGCAGACCATTGCTCCCGTGGGTGTGCTGCTCGAATAAACCACCGCTATTGGTCATGCTGTTTGTGGTTGAGGTTGACCCCATAGCTACTTCACCAGACGCAGTTCCTCGAGATGCCCCGTGTTTTGGCGAAGATGCCCCCCCGGCGTTCATCTCTAGCTCCATTAATCTCCGACTCGACAAGCTGTTTCCGAACTTCTTGCAAATCTTCAAAAACACCCGATTGCGTTTGTTCTTGAAATAGAACACGACGCACACCCCGATGATGGAAATCCCGAAGACGAAGATTAATGAAATCACCAAGCCAAACATCCCATCGGTATCTTCCAAACCGGACTTCAAATTCATCCCGAAAATGCCGGAAATTAAAGCTCCAAAGCCAAAGACAATGGAGACAATGTCGAGCGAAACTTCCATCTTGAGCAGCTGGTTCCGTCTTGAATCTATCCATTGCGAAAGCATCGCTGTCGTAAGTAATTGCAGTACTGATGTGCATAACAGATGTGCTTTGCGTACATGATTCTGCATGAGAAACTTTGTTTAGTTTTGCTTCTGGGAAAAGCTGCCATGCAATTACTACTAGCGCGATCAGTTTGCAATGCGTATCGTCCATCGAAGCCTCGAGAAATTGGTTCGTCTCCTGGATGTTCAGCTGCAGGTCTTCTAATTGAACGCAGAGCTCGGAGATTTGGAGCAGGTAGTACCGACAGAGATCCTCGAGCTGGGTGAGGGGAGAGACGGCAGGTTGTTCTTGTGCAGCGGCTCCTGCTGGGTCGAGATGAAAATCGGGTTGAACGTTATTGCTCAGTGCGGGAATTACAAGCTGTGATGGCGGCGGCGGTATTAACATGTGGCCGTGCCTTTTAAACACTGTAGTCGGGGTCGGCAGTGCTGACGTCGCAGCTCCAGCAATAACCGAATTCCTACTAGGCACGACGATTCCTCCTGGTGGCAACACGCCACCAGCCGCTCCAAACGACACTGACGAAGCGCTTTCTCGGCCGCCGACCGGAAAGTTTGTCGCACCGGTCGCAACTCCTTGGTGTAAATGCACCGTTCCACCGTGGCTGTGCAAATACGAAGATCCAGCACTGCCAGTACCACCTATGCCGACCACCACACTGTGGGCCGCGTGACTCTCCTCCAAGTAATATCCCACAGAAAAAAGCTGGCAGGGCATATTTGCAATGCAAAAATAAATACACAGAAAAATCTGTCATGGGCGACCTCGTAGCATGCTGTTTAGAATACGCAATACAGATTTTTTTGTGTATTTATTTTTGCATTACAAACGTGACCTGCCAGCTTTTCTCTGTGGGATAAGTAAAACAGCTGCGTTTTGATTTTCTGCAACCGGGTTCCAAAGTCCGCAACGGCGGATTTTACCGGGAATAGTCGCAAAATGCTGTCCTCATTCCCGCTCTGGATCACGTCGGCAAGACCGTTCGTCGTTTTCTCGCTAATTTCTTCCAATTTCGTTCGCTCGATTTTGACTGTGGCGCACAGAAGCGCTTCCACAACCAGTCGGAAGAATGGCGTGGAGTTCGACGTGCTGGAGTTCGGGGTAGGGAAACAGGATTGCTCGTCTTCGAATGCATTGCAACGGCCGGCGTAGCTATCATTTTGGTCGGCTGTCGCACCACTGGGAAGCAACACATCTTCGGTTCCGGCTGAAAAGGAGCACCCGTTCTTGTTGTTTGACATCGACAAAAGCAGTTGTAGTTCCCGGAAGAATTCCTGAAACAATTCGTCCTGCACGCCGAGAAACAAAACCCGTTCTTTCTCCAGCACACACCTGGCAAACCCTGTGCTCACGCAGAGATATTGCTGGTTTTGGTTTTCATCGTTGCTGTACTGCAACAGAAAATTGTCATTCCCCGTCGCGTCCAGAAGAGATCTGAGATCTCGCCAAAACGCCTGCTGGTTCAAGTTTTGGCTAGCTCTCGATGGGGGTAATTTTTGTTGCTGGGTCTTGTTCTGCGGTCGAGAAGAGGACGATGATGATGAAGTAGCGGTCCCTCTCGTCGACGTTTTTTGGATCTTCTGCTGATCCCGCAAGTGACTGTGCTCGTGCTGTGGTGGCGGCGGTGGCGGGTCTTTGGACGGGGGGAGCGGAAGGTCCGACAACAAATTTGGTGACGAAATTAGAAGGAAATGCGCGCTGCCGTGGGTTGTGTTGATGTTACAGTTTCCTTACCGACCATGCGCTATCCATCCAGCACGAGGTGGTGCCACTGCTCCTGTTTCATCTCTCTCTGCAATTGTCATGCTGCAAATCCTCATAGCCATAGGCCAATATCAATATGTAGTTGGAATGACTAGGAGAAGTGACCATGAATAGTAGGCTCCAACCTGTAAGTGTAACAACCTCCCGGCAAACGCAAATATCATGCCGTCATACTTCTCTAGCGGTGCTGATGCGACGACCGTCCGGTTCGGAGAGCTCCATATCGCCTTCAGCGTCTCCACTCGGATCTCCACCTGCTCCTGGCGAAGGACAAGCCACGTCGCTGGCCTCCCCCGCAAGGAGATCCCCACTCGCTGCCCCAACTTCCGAGACAGACAAGTTCGTTGCTTCGTCTTCCGTTGGTGAGCAGGAGGCGGTGGTGGTTGCGCAGGTCGGCGACGACGAAGATGTGCCAGCTGTGTTTCTCGTGTCGGACGACGACGAATCCCTGGTCACAACTGTAGTCGGATCTTCGCATCGTCCAGACGATGGAGTTGTCCAAATTTCGAAGATTTGCTTCAATGGTAGAAGCCCGAAATTTTCGACCTTTCCTGTGTAGTCCAGCGCGATGCTGGAAATCCGGATTCTCTCGTCATGTCCAACGCGGTCGTACAGGTCTTTCAGAAGATTTAAGGACGGGGCTCTAGTATTACTGTCAGCTGCTGTGCCCGAGATCACAAAGGCGGGTGAAGTAGTTCTTGGGACGGAGATGGAAATGTCTTGGCGAGGACGTCGTTGGCCTTGGCAAAGAGATTCTTCGTCTGCAAGAAACAACGTGGAGGCGGTCTGCTGCAGTCCTGCGCCTGGCGCTGGTGCTGCGCGGTCCAGCAGAGGTGAGCAGGAACGAGCCATCTTAACCTTCGCAAAAAAAAATTGTGAATCGCGAAGCAGGTGAAGATGATGATGAGCGTGGTCCTGAACTGCAGCAAAAAAATTTGTGAAGGAGATGATGAGTGTGCTGCTATTCTATAGTTTGGATAAGTACTCACGCTGGCTGGCGCATTTGTCAACTCATCTCCTCTCGTCCCTCACCAACACAGACACAGCCGCGCTGTCGTTGTTTTCTTGTGCAAAATACTAATCTGAGAGGGCGCCCTGTTTTCCTTCTCCTACCACCGTGAACAACCACAGCAAAAGTGCTGTCTGAGGGAGCGCGGAGCCCCAGGTGCTGCGAGCGTGAGTCCGCTGGCACGCGCGTCTGATTCCTGGCCAACCTGCTCTCGGAACAATGAATGGTCGTCTCCCTTTTTCCCCCGCAGTCAAATAGATACTGTTACTGGTGACGCGGCGGCACAAACCAGCTAGCGCCTGCCCATCCAACGTGAGCAGTAGGCGACGGCCGGGCGCGGGCCCCCGGCCAACTCTGAATACACAGCCCATCGCCCCAAACTAACACACGGGGACAAAAGCCACAATGAAGGGGCAGGCGCGCGGACGGAGAAGGCGACGCCGGCCAGGCACATCGCAGGCACGCAAGAAGCGCCCGGCGCCCGCGTGCGCGCAACAAAAAAGCCGCCCGGCCGCCCGCGAACCGCTCGGGCGCGCGCGCGGCTTCGCCATGTGTGAAGGGCAGCCGGCCGGCGGGCGGGCCCGGAAGACCCCCGGCGCGGGAAGGACCAAATCAGCCCCCCCCCCCCCGATGGATCCACCGGGCCGGGGGCATCCGAAGTAACTAACCGGCCGCCGCACCGGCGGGCCGGCGCCGGCTTCTGCGCAGGGGGCAAGCACCCCGGGCCCCGCCCTCCTTCGTTCGGGCGGGCCGGGGCAGCCAACCTGGTCCAGAACTCTGCCGCGGCCTTCCACCAGTGCCGCAGCACGAAGCTGGCGCCAGTATGTATCTTCGCGCGCGGCGGGCGCCCCAATGACGACAGGGGTGCTCGTCTCTCCCGTGCTCTTCTGGTCGCCTCGGCGCGGCCGCGTCGATAACCAACCCGACCGGGCGCCACGGTGAAGGGCGGGGCGCGCGTTATCCAATGCCTCCGCGTCGCGCGCTCAATCGGATGGGCGGCCTTTCGCCATTGTAACGCAGGAAATCCGCGCACTGCGGCAAAACCCCCGCCCCCTTGCCGGCTTCCTTGCCAGCCCCTCCCGGCGCCCGGCGCCATTTGCGAGCGGGCGCCCGCCCGCGTAGTGAGTTGCGACGCCACCACGCCACGGCAGCAGCTGGATCTCTCTCGCCCCACTTCGTCAGCCCCAAAAGCTAGCTTGGCGGCCCGGCGGCTTTGAGCCCGGCGGGCGTGTGGGCACACCATCGGCCGGGGCAAAGACAGAGACGGAGGGACACGCGCCCAACGTCCATCACGCGCAGGCCCCCAGCGTCGCCCCTCTTCCTTGGCGCCCCAAGCTGATAGCGGGCAAACGGCGCGGCCTTCCGCTGGAGCCAGTCGATGTAGTTGGCGTGGTCGGGGGGGCAGAGACTTCCGAGGCACCTACGTTGATGCTAATTTCGAGGCAGGCCCGGCTCGAGCGAATGCATCACATGACGCATCGCAATGCATGGCAAACAAGACGGGACACGCAGAGCATGGCGACGGCTTGCGAACTGTCCCCGCATGATGCTCACGCGACGCAAAACCTGCCGCAAGATTGCGCGCCGAAAGCGGCTCGCCGGTTTTGGGAGACCTCACGGGCGCGCCCCGCTTGTGGTTCCTGGGCGCGCCCGCCATGCGGGCGGCCGGCGTTATCCCCCTCGGCATGCCTTTGACTTGCAGGAACAAGAGGGCGGCGACGCCAATGTAGCAGCTTTCGCAGCACCGCCGTGCTTGCGCGTGCTCCTACTCAAAAAAGACGGCGCTAGCCTCGGGTCCCTCAACAACGAACCAACACGCGCCAGCGAGAATCAATATCAGAACACGAGTGCGCCATGGCGTGTCTAACGGGTGCGAAACCCGAAGGAAAAGGGCAGGGACGCGCAGAGCCCATCTCTGTGGCTAGTGCTTATTTTAAAAACCGTTTATACACTTACTAACGCAAACTAAATATAATATAGAGCGGCCCAGCTCAAACATCATCTGAGGCCGACTTATTCTTTTTTCTTTGAGAATGCGAGCTGAGTCTCAGTGCTGGACGCAACAGCTCCTTCTAGTACTTCAATTTCAATAAAGCGAAAGAACTTGATTTTGACGCCCGGCCGTGCATCTGTCGAGAAGCATCACAACTGCGACGGCCCTAAAACTTTCGGCATCGGGACGACGGAGTACGGCACTCTCACGGTGTCGGACGAGTAGGTTTCCATCCGGTTAAACCCTCGACTGCTAAATCCTCCAAAACCTCCATAGTCCTCCGGTTTGTTCCCCAACATTGCTTCTACAGCAGCATCTTCCACCGCGGTCATGCCCTTTGCAACCGCGATTGCGCCAAGATTATCGATTATCTGAGAAAGTTGCATCTAATTTCAAGTAGAAGTAGTAGTGCCCATGCAATGATCTTTAGCAGTTTCCGCATTACAAACGAATGCGCCTGTGAGTATGTTGACACCACGCACAATCCTTGCATGTCGTTTCGACTGATGGCAACTTAAAGACGCAGACGACCTAGCTAGAAGATAACCAACACAAACCATTTACCTGCTGCTCGTTCGTCGCCCCCAGTAAAGTCGTTGTCGCGTTTCCATTCCGAATGCTCCAGGCTAAGGCCAATTGCCCGACCGAGCAGCCCAACTCTTCTTCTGCGTACTTGGCTAACTTCTCCACCTTCTCCATCGTACCGTCCTTCACCCAGGTTTGCACTTTCTTCTCCACAAACTCGTACCCCGGAGTACTGGCTCGGGACCCCTTCGGGATGTTCCCCTTCAGGTACTTGCCGGTTAGGAGACCTGACGCTAGCGGGGACCACGTCGTCGTTCCCATGTGGTACGGCGCGCGGAAGAGGGGGAAGTACTCCTTTTCAAACCTCTCGCGCTGGAACATGTTGTAGTGCGGTTGTTCGAAACAGGGAGGCTCGAGCCCGTACCTGGGATGGGATGAGATTTGGATTTTTTGCGTAATACGGAGTAAATCTAGTACAAGTACTTCAAAATCCTGAGTGTTGTGCTTTGTCGTGGATCAGGAACTGGATGAGCTTCTCACTCTAAGGTAAAGATAAAGTAAGTTGAAGCTTAAATTAATATTTACATTGCTTGACTTCCGGGTTCTGGTAACGCATACCCCCGGCGACAGGTGACCTTGACAGGTGACCATGACAGGTGACCTTGACAGGTGACCTTGACAGGTGACCTTGACAGGTGACCTTGACAGGTGACCTGGACAGGTGACCTGGACAGGTGACCTGGACAGGTGGGCGCGACAGGTGTTGGCGACAGTCGAACGCCCTTGCCCCACTAGCGTTGCGCGCACTAAGCGACCACGCGCGCGCCTGGTGTGAGGCAACCCGATGCCGAACTTCCTGCCCCCACTAGTGCCTCGTGCACTAAGCCACTATGCGCGCGCCTGGTGTGAGGCGAGGGGCGGACGCTGTCCGCCCCGATGCCGAACACCCTTCCCCCACTAGTGCTTCGCGCACTAAGCCACTATGCGCGCGCCTGGTGTGAGGCGAGGGGCGGACGCTGTCCGCCCCGATGCCGAACACCCTTCCCCCACTAGCGCCACTAGGGATGGGCACAAGGCCCCAGCGTGGGGACCCTGTCCCCACGCGTGGACCTTGTTTGTAATGCTGATTTACCTTGAGAAGGAGATTTGTAATGCATAAATGCAATTACTTTATAAGTACATTTTCGCAATCCAGTAGGCCTCCGTGTACTGTTGCGCGCTCCACTCGCTCGTTCCCCAGTAGTGCGCCTGGCTATCCTGTGCAAAAGTATCGTACTCGTACTGATTGCAAATATGCATGACAAAAGTTTTTCCTAACGGAAAACCGCATTACAAATTCCTCCAGCACCTCCCTTCTTGCCAAAATTTGTGATGCAATTCATACTATTACGATGCTTTAGCTTTTCTTTGCAATGCATATTGCCCACTTCGCACCAAATCTGTCATGCTCCTCACCACCGTTTCCGTCGGGGTCAAGTGGTCTGGTCGGTGGCAGAACACCATGTCGACGTAGTCGATTTGTAACCTTTTCAACGACGCTGCTAGCCCCTCGCGCAGATGTTTCCGGCTCAACCCCCGCTGGTTTGGCCCCGGGCCGCCCCAGAAGATCTTCGTGGTGATGATTAAGTCGTGCCTCTTCCAGCTGTCCGGATCCTCCTCCTGCAGCTCCTTCAAAGCCTGGCCGAACACCAGCTCCGCCGCGCCCTGGGGGTTTCCATACGTTTCCGCGTGGTCGAACAGGTTGATGCCGGCCTTGCGGCAGATTTTGCAAATCGACTTCGCCATGTCAATCCCCTGCCGGTCTTTCAAGTCGGGTTTCACGCCGTACGTCGCCCAGAAACCGAAGCTGAGGACGGACACCTGGAGACCGGTGTTGCCCATCATGCGCATCGGCATGGAGGACGGATCCACTGGGGTGGAGAGCAGTTGCGCAATGCGAGATTTGACGGCGCTCATTCTGTGATGGGGTTTGCAGGTAACGCTCAATCTCAAGCACTCTATCTTGGGTCTCGTGGCAACAAATAATACAAGGGTCCTCTAAGTCTGCCTCCTATTCTTGACACACAGCGAGATCTCGGCATGGGTTTTTCAGATCGGCAGGGATGATATGCATATGCCTGTGAGTTTAAACATCGTGGCATTGTATCCATCCGCGCTTTGATTTGACATGAGGCCGCAACCAACTACAAATGCCACGACGACTGCTCAAGCCCAACGAGACACAAAAATGCTATGACACGTTCCAGCGCTGGCGCCGCGGGGGAACACTTACGAATTGCGCGGTTTATATGCACGCGCCAGCCCCCCCCTTCAGCTCAAGGTCTCACACAAGAGTACTTCTAGGCCCGAGCGATTCACGGCAATCGGGCCAGTAGTCTTACCATTGTGCGGCTGAGTGTGTGAGATGATTCCGACCAAGCCACTTCTGCTTCTGCTTAGAGACACAGCCAATCCCTAACCCTTGCTATGGGGTCGTCAACGTTGTATTTGCCTCAGACCGTAAAAAAAATTCTGCGCGCATTTTTTCGCGGCGCAAAGCTAGTAAACCTGTGCACGCTAGTGAGGGGCTGACTTGAACGCGGTTGGTTTTAGCTAGCTTGTCAGCAGCAGTGCTCTAGTAGGTAAGTGAGTATTGACGCGAAGGGGGGTGGGGCGCTGGGGGTTCTTCTGTGGCTGATGTTTTCACCTAGAAAACGCCGGGCGCGCGCAATATTTTGCTCCGCTTCCCCGATTGCTCTCTCCGTGCAGGTATTTGCCGCTATGGCCTGGATCAGCGTGTGAGGCTGGCGCCCCGAGAGATGTCTACACAGGCCCTGGCCTCGTCGTCTCTAGCGGGCACCACGCATATATGTTGGCCGCGAAGGCCTTTCCGGAGCCCTTCCAAAAAGGGGGGGCCGGAGGGGTGCCCGGAACCCTAAAAAAAAGCCTATTGATTTTTCTTCGAATCACGATGGTGCTACCCCTCCCCAAAAGGGGTCCCGGAACCCCTCTGGGAACCCTTCCCGAAAGGCTCTCGGGCTTTTCGCATTTTGACGAAAAAGCCGCAAAGGCAAAAAGCGCGCGCGCCTGCCGGTACACGCGCGCACAGTTGCGCCAACTTAGAAACAAGGGAAGGCGCAGCCGCGGCCGGTTCCGTTTGCGCCCTCGACTCCGACCGACTTGCACAGATTGAGGCCCATTGTCTAGCGGCTGGACTGCAAGAGGACCTGCTGCAGCACCTCCAAGCTGCAGGGGCACTCCGAGGCAACTCCGTGGAGCAGCAGCGCCGGATAGCTCCGTCTTTAGCCACTGAGAAGGGCTGCGAAGAAGCTAACTAGGTCATTAGGTGTGCAACACAGTGGGGGGCTATACGTGTGCAACATGATGGATATCAAATACAAAAAAAGGCGCGCGGAAAATTTTTTACAGCTTGAGGCAAATACAAGTTTGACGACGCCATACTTGCGCCATTGTTGACACTACACTGGGCACATTTTGCAGCGCGCGTCAAAGGCAGTGCTTGCGCAAACGCCGCACGGCGCGTGCCCGCGGCCGGCGCCCGCGGCCCGGCATGCAAACAAATACGACGGGGGAGGGCCGCGCGGGCGGGCGCGCGCGGCGGGGCCGGCGGCTCGCAAATTAATCTAGCCCGCCGGCGGGCCGGCCGGCCCAGGGGCGGAAATGCCGGGCGCTACGGCGCGCGCCCAATGAAATCGCTGCCACAAAACACAAGGCGGGGCGGAGTCCACGCGCAGCCCGCCCGCCGCCTGGCCAGCCGGAACACCCCCCGGGCCTGTCATTCCGCGGGGCGAGGCCGGGCAAGAACGCGAAGGAACGCGCGCCGCCCGGCCCGAGAGCGGGGGCATTTGGCGCAGTCAGGCCATTCTTGACCAAGAGCATCCATCGCCGGAGCGAGACAGCGGCGGACGCGGTCGGGCGCCTCTGGGTTGTTCTTCGGGGGTGCGTAAGGCGGTAAACCGCGCCACGCTATTGCCGCGCCGCTAGGGCCCACCGTTTTCGTTTTTCCCAAAACGGCGGGCGCGGGGGGGCAGCGGCCCTAGCAAGCTTGGCACCCGCCGACCTTACGTTACTACCGGGGAACCCGGCCAATGCCCGGCGGGCGGCCCTGCAGCTTGCATGCTGCGCGGGGTGGCCGGCGCTCGCTCGCATGCCCGCCCGGGGTGGGGGGGTGTGGGCGCGCTCGCAAAACAGCCGGCCTACCCTGCCTCGCCCAACCGGGCCGCCCGAGCGAAGAAAGCCGCCGCACGACGGACGGTCGGACGATGAACGCCCGGCCCACTACGCCTTCCGAATTTCGCCCGGGCCCAACCGCCCCCGCCCGCCTTGGCGGCGCGCGGGACCCTCTCACTCCCGGCGAGCCAGCAAACCACCCAACCAACCAGGCCGGCAGAACACGGCGGCAATGCAGGGCATCAGGGCGGACGGGGCCGCCCGACACAAAGGCCAAGAGCGCGCGCCGCGTTCTGCTCGTCTGAAATCGACGCGAACCGTCCCACCATATGGACAGCTATCCGCAGCGTTTGTTCCGCGGTGCCGTTTTTGAAGTCCGCGGCGCTGCGGCTGCGGGCTGCGAACGAGCGGCCCGAGGCGGAGCGCCAGCCCCCTCATGCGCGACCGACGCCCGCCAAATAGGTCGCGAAAAAAGCCCAGGACTGAGGCTGCAACTTGCAAGCGAATTCAAAAGCGCAACCCTCCGCGCCGCTCGGGATGAAATAGCAACCACCTGGGGCGCAGGCAATGAGCTCGCTCTCGTGTTTTGCGTCGGTTCTTCTCGGATGCCTTGCGCAGATCGCTGGCCAGCGTCCAGACCTCGGAACGCTGCACCTCAGGCACACACGCCGCCGCGGCACATCCGCAGCGCCCGGCTTCAGGCACATCCTGCCACAGCCGGAAACACACACACGCCGCCAACCAGGCGAACGCAACGACCGGCGAACGCAACGACGCATCGCCCGGGCATCTAAAACAGGAAGCGCGCGGAAACTATACGCCCTTCTCTCCTTTCGCATCGACCGTCGAAACGTGCGCGCATGCACCAGACGGAAGCCGAACACACAGCACCGCGCAACGTGCTGCAGAAGACGAGTCACGCCCTCACTCAGTCATCATGGCGCGCGATACAACCAAACAGAGGTACGACTGCTTGGCCTCTGTTTTGGGCTCCTTTACCAAGATTTGGCGTAGTCTGGTTCTTTTCTTTATCAGCGAAGGTACAGGTCGTGGGAGCGGGGCCACGGGAAGCAATTGCTGAGGTTCGCGCTATGATAACCCTGTTTTCAGTCTGTCCTCATAGTCGTCGCATCCCTATCTAGTGTTGCATTCAGTCAAATTAATAAGGCGAGTTGCAGCCAGGCAGCTCATTCTCATTCACCCTGTAGCCACAATGAGGAAGAGGAACTGTGAGCAGCTATAGGTAGCTCGTCAAGAAGATGAAAGTAATCACAATCCACCAGAGACAGAGTGGGGGTTTTAGTATAGCTTTAGCACGAACAGGACAAAAACTTCCACATGATGTTGCTTCAACTAACACCCTCCATCTCCCCACAGACGCGCTTGAAAAATGTTTTTCCGAATCGCGTGCGCAGGCAAAAAAACCAACCTCCACCACTGAAGGTTCACTCCGCATCCAGAAACGCCTGCTCACCGCAACTACACAAACTCCTCCAACATGGACACAATATCCTGCTCGTCGATCTTCCGAATGTCCTTCACCACGGGTTGGTTCATTTCCTTCGCGTGTAGTTTGTCCTCCAACTTCACGGACCACGGAATCGCGTTCTGCAGCCCCTGCTTTCGGTTCGCGTACTCATCCAAAACCGCGATCCTGTTCGGAATACACTTCTTCTTGTTGTTGGGGTTTTTCGTCGTGGAAGTCGTGGCAGATGAACTGCTTGTTCCCCCTGCACTGCTCTCCGTGATGTTCAGCCGGTCCAAATCGTGCGCGAGGTCGGAATCGGACTCGTCGTCCATCGCGTCTAACTCATCCTCCGCATTCCCCGCCCGTCTGCTTAACTTCGTCTTTCTCTTTTCCTATGCATTACAAAAGCATCGTACTAGTAGAAATTGCAATACAAATTGGCTCAGCATTACAAATTGAATTTCTGATGCTGTTTTACCTTCGGAAAAATATTTGTCATGCATAATTGCAACTACGTCGAGTACGATACTTTTGCACTGCATATTTCGGCTTTTTTCTCAATCTCCTTTTTCGTGGTGTTCTGGAATTGCTCCTCCTCCTCTGGATCGCAGGCTTTTCATATCAGAGCGCACAACTCCCCCTCCCCCGCATTTGTGTTGCATGAACAGCAAGACAAACACCAGCACACGTGGAGCCTGTGCATGACAAATTCAACATGTGCCTAGTGTAGTACCGTCTGGGTTCCTTCCGAAATCTGTCATGCATAATAGCGATACAAGGGAAGCACTTGAATGTGGAATTTTGCATGACAAATGAGGGGAAGGGGAGTTCGAGTTTTGCACTCTCATATTCCATCGGTACTTCATCGGGCAGATGTGCTCCTGGCAGTTTTGAAACGGGGACAGCCCCCACATCGTGAAGGAGTCGGTGAGAGGAATGTCCCGCGGTCGACGCTTATCCTGTGCAAAAGTATCGCACTCGTATAAAAAATGCCAGACTAGCATGACAAATCTGGTTTCTTAGGTAATTTAGCATGACAAATTCAATTTTTGATGCTGAGCGAATTCGTAATGCAATGTATACTACTAGTACGACGCTTTTGCAGTGAATAACGCTTCTCGCAGCAGTCGATGAGCTCCCCGTTCACGTAGGCCACGGCGAGGCGGTCCGCGTAGGTGACACTGATGTGGTAGTTTTTACGATGTGTTGCATCGACGCAGGCAGTAACACCAGTAAATGCGACCTACGTGCGCCACGAAAACACTTTGTCATGTGATAACCATCGATCCATTGCAAAGACGATTATGTCATGCAAAAGCAAATGGAAAGAACACCCCTAATACCTCTCCGGCTCTTTGGAGTAAAACGCCATCTGCTTGTAGAGCCACCCGTCCAACGCCTCCACCTTGAACAAGTCCACCCACGCCTGCGCCTCCACGTTGTCTCTTGGTGGTAGAAACGGTCTTTCTATCACCACCGGAATAAACCGTTTGAAAGCTTCTAGTATCGGAAGTTTTGCGGCGTTCATGTCGTACAGCTTCTTTTATGCTGTGCAAAAGTATCGCGCTCGTACTACTTAATTGCAAATATGCATGACAAATCTCCCCCCTAAGGTAAAACAGCATCACAAATTCCACTTTTGTTCTTGCCAAAATTTGTAATGCAATTTATACTAGTACGTTACTTTTGCAATGCATATCTTTTCTATCAAGACGTCCTGGATCTCCGCCCTACTCCTGGAACACAGGGAAACAAAGGGGACCATGCACTGCACGCGGTAGAAGGGTTTTCGGAACTTGTTATGCACCTTATCCGTGTCGGAAATCGGCCAGACGAGCAGGCCGAGGAAGAAGCAGATATACACCGCGAAAGTAATGGCACTATTGGTAATTGCAGTCATAGATTGCAAATCTTTATCAATCTTAACGTAGATCCGCATGACAAATTTCAACTTCCATGCTGAGGAAATTTGTAATGCAATTACCGGTAATAGCACCCTACTTTTGTGATGCGTAACAGAGGATGGCGAAGCTTTTCCAGGTGCCGTCCGCGAGATTTCGGTAGAGCTTCAGCTGAATCCAGGAGCTGAACCACAGATTATCGTAGTTGTTCTGCCCCATTTTCTTATTTGTTATGTGCGCTTAGTCGACGTTATCGTAGGGTGCAGAAGTTCGGTACCGCCGAACAATCGGCGGTGTGTAGTCGCGTTCCTGTCCACCTCTTTCTGGATCGATATTTACAGCGATGTTGATGCTGCAAGCCGGATTTCACCTCCCCTGAAAACTACAGCGGCGCCGGAAAAAGATTGCGGTCGACCACCGGTCCTGATGGTAACCAGCGGGTGGGGGCTCGTTAGCGGCCGGAGCTGGCTGCTGCGCCCCTGCTGCTGCCTTTCGTCTAGGTGAGGTATCTGCTGTTAGAGAGGATGAAATTGCTGGGGAAGGCGGTTCGTCGATGTTGTATACGCGAAGTTGCTTGAGATTGTACGCTGTTTTCCTGCGGCGCTTGATCTTATTCCGAATGGAGCTGTGGCAAGATAATTCCGTGGAGAGGCTGAGATATGAGAGCTCCCCGAAAGAGGATGCCGTCATGGTGAGTTGTACGAATTGATTTTATAGGAGGAGGGTCACAAACCTAACCCTTAGGTCCGCACCGGACTTACGGACCACCTTATATCAAACGGGCCGGGGGCCTAATTCCATTTCAAACCAACTTCAAACTCATTTCAAACATTTTCGAAATTGCGCTTTTCAGGTTAGAGTGAGCGGCCTGCTTGGGCTCTCCGAAGCCCTCACCGAAGGCGCCAAAGGGGCCCGCTTTGGAACGCAGGAGAGCTCAATCTTCAGCCAGCAAACAATCCTGCCACACAATTATAGAGCCCTCCCTAGGCTAAATTGGAACGACATACCGCCACGAATGTCCCCAGTCAAAGAACCCGAATTCCAGTGCCTGCGCCCCCCGCGGCCCTGCGTAAGAAATACATAATTCCCCAAAATAGAAACTGCCACCCCTCTTGCATGCCGGCAGAAAGGGTCCCCGGGGCTCTCGTCGCGGGGGCCTTCATGCCTCTACCTTCGAAGGAAACACCTCCACCGGGGCCCCGCCTGTTGTTGCACATGCCACACACAGCGGCGCAACGCGACAGATGTGCCCGTGCCTGGCTGCCTCCTAGCAGACCCATCAGACCCCAATGCGCGAGCAGCCCAGGCCCAACGACCACAACAAGCAACCGGGGGGCAACCCGACAGGTAGAGCTCAGCGCCCGGGCTACAGCAGACGTTGATCTCCATTCAAGTCAGGTGGCCAGCATTCGCCGGCGCGAAGCGCCGGCCCCAGCAGAAGCGGGGACGACCTCACAAAAAGACGACTGCAGTCCGGCGTTTGAAGTTGGTTCGAAAAATCCAATCCGCCGTTTGAAGTTGGTCCGAAAAACCCAATCCGGCGTTTGAAGTCGGTCCGAAAAGTCCAATCCGCCGTTTGAAGTTGACCGGAAAAACCCAATCCGCAGTCTGAACCAAATTCAGTCCAAAAAAGTCTGGGCCTGGATTCTAACATGGCGGATTTTTTTGGACTGTTTTTGGACTGTTTTTGGATTGACCTGGATTGCTGCCGGATTGTCTGTCGGACTGATCTGGACTGCCTGCTTTCGCAGTGCGGGTCTTCGGCTGCTAGAAAGAGCAACCGCCGCCGCCTGCGCTCGCTCGGCGTCCCAATGGCAGCCAACAGGCGCGCCGCCTCTTGTGCCTTTGGAGGGGCGGAGGGTCGCAAGATTAGGCTTCTCCGACTGCGCTTTCCGCTTGCAGCAGCAGCAACATTAAGACCAAGCGCAGAAGCCAGGGGGAGTTGGCTTGGACGTTCGCAAGACACTACTTGCCCCTCCTCCCTCGGCGGTCCGCCTCACGCCAAAAGCTGGCGCGCATTTATATGGCGCAGGGGATGAAGGCAAGGCTCTGCTGTGCCTTGGCCGTGCTGTCGCCTACTCGGCCACCCTGGACGGAGCGGCGCTCGCCCTCATGGCTAAGCATGGAGAAAATGAACCGCATTAACAACGCGGCGCCCATCATTGATTTGTCTGCTTCCATTGGAGGAGGCTGAGATATGAGTAGAGCTCCCCGAAAGAGGATGCCGTCATGGTGAGTTGTACAAATTGATTTTGTAGTTGTTCGATCACAGAGCGGGGGCAAACATGATTTCTTGTGCTTTTTGCAAACTACAAGCGGGACATCAAGAACACGATTGACGGGATACATAAAACAAAGTAAAGGTAGTTGATAAACAGGAGATTTGGGGATGAGGGTCGACGATCCAGGGTAAGTATGATGAACGGTGATCCGGCGAGAATTGAATAATACAACTTGCAACTATATAGCTCGTGCACATGACCAGAAGCCAGAGCCAACAAGCTAAAGAGAATCGATTTTGATCCGCTCCCCCCGGAAAATGATCCTCAGAAACGCTCGCAGAGACTTCTCACGAATACGAAATCTGAAAGTTGATCGTTTTGCAGTTTACAAGCCGAGTCGAGTTCATTTGTGAAGATAACCAGGCAAGCACTAGATGTAGATATCGAACCACCACAGGATCAGGAACGTGCAATAAACCCAGATCGCGAAGGAAAAATCGACGAACCAAAACAGCGTAATCTTGATTTTGATACGCGAAGATGCAGTTGTAGCTACTCACTTAGCAACTACACAAGAAGTCGAAACTAGTCTCGTGGTTTCTAATCGTTCACTTTGCTCCTTCTTGTTCCGTGTCATCAGCAAATAAAGCTATAGTAAATTCATCAGGGACATTTATTCGTGAAACATCAGGCCGTGTGCGATTTGGTTTTTACCATTTCGTTTCAAAAAGTTACTCGCAACCACCACGGCTTGGGCTTCTTCCTTTCTACCGTTTGCGCGCGTTCATTTCTCCAGTTTCTAACTCTATGCTTCCGCTGTCTGCAGATAAAAATGCGAAGTACATTCATCGAAGTTAATCTTAATGTTAACATTCCCATTCCACCAACTATTGCTTCATCGTGTAATACCGCTGGATTAAATTGAACCCCTGGCCTATCGTGAGAAAAAAGTGTTTCACTGTGATGATTTTGCAAGATCTGCATCACAAGTTTGCTACACGTGACAACGAAACTTTGCCATGCGCGCTTCCCAAGTCAAAACACGCTTGAAAATCCTACGTCTTGCATGTGTAGCAAGACAGACAGCGTTGTGTTTCATTTCCTGCATCACAAGTTCACAGTGAAACAGTTTTTTCTTGCAATATGGTCGACCAAATTGACCGTCCCAGATCGCGGATTTGTTAAAGGAAACGCATTCGGAGCTAGCTTGTTCACGGACGACTTCTTTTCCGCCAAAACCGCGTGCATGCCCATCAACGCGTTTTCGGTTCGCCAATTCGGGCACATCTTTTTTAGCCGAGCCGGCATAAAATCCGTGGACAGAATTGATGGCGGGTAGACGTACCTGAATCATTCATAATTTGGATTTAGGAAAAATGAAAAGAAAAAGATTTTTTGATTTGTGATGCAAGATAGCACAACATCAAGTAGCTGCAAGCAATTCTTTGTACCAGCATCTGACTTTCTCTAAGTTCTTCAACATGTTCTCCGCCTGCTTCTGCGTAAACTGCCTAGAATATGTCGCCAGATCGCGCGTGACCTTTCCTTCCGGCCATTTTACGAACCAATTGATGGACTCCGTGACGGGTGCGACTTTCTGCTGTGCGGTTTTCCCATCGACGTTCATCTGGGAAAACAGCGGGAGTTGGTTCACCTTGCTTGCCAAGAATTGCTGATACGGGATCTCAAAACTGTTTTTGATGAAGATTGGAATACAGCCCGCGAAGAGGGACCTGGACACGTCGACCGGAGGATTGGTCAAGTAGCAGAACTGGGATTTTCGGGTCTCTAGAAGAAGCTCCGCTTTGTCGCTCTGATGTGGTAGTGGTAGATGTCTTTTTGCATAGTTCAGTGGGTCTTGTTTGATATTTCTATAGTATGTGGGAGCTCTTCTAGAAGATGAGGCTAGTAGAGTTGACTTTGTGATGCAAGAAATCTGTGTACAAAAATGCTGACTCTGTGTCTGTCACGACACCTCAAGTGGTGGAGCAATAGAATACGCAAGATGAGACAGATGTTGAAGCAGGAGAAGTTCCAACTGCAATTACTCATACCGGTCTCGCCTCGGGAATTTTCATGTCGCCGAACGATTCCCTTCCCTCCGTCGGTTTTCCTGCTTTTTCCCAAGTCGTCATCCACTCTAGTAGGCCCGTCTGGCCGAACTCCGTTATTGCCGAAGAATCTGCTCTATGCACTGTAAATGTATCGTAAGTACTAGTACAAATCGCAATACAAATTGACTCAGCATTACAAATTAAATCTGTAATGCGGATTTACCTAACCAACTAGATTTGTAATGCATAACTGCGATTACTACGAGTACGATATTACTTTTGCACAGGATATGCTCTGCCGCCAGCCGCACCTGCAAAAGAGGCCCCAACGAAGGGGCGCCCGGTCCAGGTGAACCGGAGCGCGTCGTCCTGGTCCAGACGGAGCATAGCGCTTGGAATGGGAACGTCTGCGGGAGCGCGGGAGAGCTGATGTGTCATTACATGAAGAGTAGGTACTAGTGCAAAAACGAAGTACTTACATCCTGCAAGTGCAACGTACTAGAGCAAATTTTTACACTTGCTTTGTGAAAAAATAAAGTACTACTTTATTTTTTCACAAGATGAAAGTGAAACACAACCACTTATGTTACCGCGAACTGCTCCACTAACAGCCCCAAGCTTTCTCGGCCCGGAATCATGATGTCTTTTGAAAAGGAGAAGTGGCTCCCGCCTTCCGTGAAAAGCAATATGGACTCGCTGACAACCTCCTTCGCGATCCTTTCCAGCGGAAAGCCGGAAGCTAACTTCCCCGTCAGCGCAAACACGTGGTCACGGCCGTTGGATCTTTTGAAGTAAGGTAGTAACTCCTTATCTTCCACAAATTGTTTGAAGTCCTCGACAAATTTCGCCTCCGATACTTCATGCTCCTTGTCTGCTCGTAAAACTTCCCACTCGCAGGCGGAATACTGCGGCACGAAGAATATGACAGCCCACAACTCCCCCTCCCCTTCATTTGTCATGCAAAAGCCCAAATCCAGTTGCTACCTTCCTTGTGGCGCCGTGTGCATGACAAATTACTGATGAAATCGAAACAGTACTAGAATCGGCGCATGAACTTGTCATCCACAGGGTCCACCTGTACTGGTGTTTGTGATGCTGTTGATGCCAACACACAAATGGGCGGGAGGGGGACTTGTGCACTTCCATAAAGAAGAAGTCCGCTTCATTGGGGTCCTCCGTTCGGCAGTTCGGACAGGCGAGAAACCAGTGGTGCAGATCGACCTCCGCGCCGGTCTGGTCTATGCAGTGCAAAAGCATCGACTTCGGATCAACGTTACTACCGGTTTGATGTGATGCAGAGGAGCGCAATAACTAAAGTACGAGTAAGGCAAGGGTAAGAAAACAGATCTGTCATGTCAAACTGCAACTTGCACGGCTTGGCACGCTTCTTGTTCTTTTGCACTGCATATGCTCCAATTGCCTACAATACGAGCCGCCGGATCGCATGAAAGCATTGCTGCTCGGGGTTGTGTCGTACACAAAAACCTTGAAGCTAGACTGCAGTGTGGGCAGCGTGATGTTCTGGCTTCCACTCGATCCATCCGCTGCGGAAACCTCCCAAGTGTTCGCGAAATCGGGGGTTGGGGTGTTAGGGTTTAGAGAGTCCGTCGGCCACACGTTGTACGCATTCCCGATGGGAACGCGTGTGCCAGTGCCCTCGTCAAGAATTGTCCTCTCCTTTATCCAGATGAAAAAACGTGACCCATTTCCATCCATGTTATTTTGCATGACAAACACTGCGTGCATTTGATGCATATTCTTTTGCATGACAAATTGATGCATGGCGGTGGGTCATCCTTTTTTGTGGATATCCTTTCCAAGCTCGGAGACGAACAGCTGCTCCTGTCGCGCTATCATCTGCCCCGTAATCGGCCAGTGGTACGTGTCCTCATCCGCCGGAATGGGAGAGAGTTCGGTTAGTGCGGCGTCTTTCTCCGAAAGGTTGTTGAAGCTGTATTTTGAATGGGACTGGGTAGGTGCTGGATAAGTCGAGTCAGAAGAAAAAAGTTTGTGTCTTATCAACTTGCAGCACTTGGTTTTTGTAAAGAAACCAGATCGCCGCGTGTCACACCCTATAAGTTTCTGCGAGGTGCGATTGAAAAAAAGATTGCTACTTACTTTCAAAAGTAGAAACAGGTCGTGATTCAACTTTTCTTCACTTTGCGGTCGGTGATATGAAAAAATACTAGTTTTTTGTGACAAAATATGCGCTCAAGCGTGGATGCTGTACAAGTTGAAAAATTTCGATATCAAAAATGCAGCATACCACCGTGAAAAAAAAAATTTAGTGACACACTTTGTTCGAGGGTTTGATTTTTACAATTTAGTGACACAATTTGTTCGAGGGTTTGATTCTTACACCAGATTGTGCAAATAATTCCTGCACTTCTACCACGTCGGTAACCAACGGAGGCACTTGATACGATGAATAGCAAGCATCGCAAAACCCTTAGTACCGACTTATCGTCCCCGCGGGCATCTGTCTCACCAGGGACTCCAAAATGCGATAGACTTGAAACCCGGCCTCCAAATCGAGCAGCGCGAACCACTTGTACCGGGCTAGGTAGTAAAAAAACGTGACCACGCCGAGGTAGCATCGCGATATTTGGGAACCCGACACGCCGGCCACGTATTCGCCGGTGCCCGGCTGCGGCTCCAGCGTGAATTGGACAAACTTGGAAAAATAACCCCTGATATCCCATGCGAAATAAGCATATCGCACTGGTACTAATTGCAGTAGAATTACAACAGCACTGCATTTTTTCCCAGTCAGTCTCATATTGGTACCTGACCCAGCATGACAAGCTGCGTTGATTTATTTTCAAGATTGTTGGCGAACTCTGTAACGCAATTCGTACTTGTGCGACGCTTTTTGCACTGCCTACCTAGACTGGTCCAGCATTTCCGCCCCGTACATGCGCTTCCAGTCCGAATGCGCGGTGAACGCCGGGCCGAGGCGCTCTTCCGCCTCTTTGTACATGTTATCGCAGGCAAAAACGGTCTCAGTGATCTCAACTTGTAATGCGGACATTCTTTGAGACAGTTTCTTGTCGTGCTCGACATGCAAGGGAGGCGTCCTTCATGTGTGTTTTTCTGTGTCTGACGCATGACAGGTTTCGCCTGTCATGCTGCCCGACTTTGGTGTCTCATATATTAATTCAAATTCTGTGCAGGCTCGAGACTGAGAAACTTTTTTCCCGCAATACATGTTTGCCTGGATGTAATCGTCCGGCAAAGTGAGCATGTGCCGCAATTCCTTCCACATTGGGTCGTCGTGGTCGCATTTTGGGTCCTCTTTCAGCCATTTGTAAACTTGCTCCGCCGCCGGATCTGCTGCGGGGGGCGGGTCCAGGGCTAGGGAAGGAGGAGCAAAAATGCTGGTGGTGAGGAGCAAAACGAGAGGCGAGAAGAGGGCTGGAGCGAGTGGTTTCATTTTGATACTCTTTTGTGGTTCTACTATGGAAAAAATGCGGTCGGAAGCAACAAGGGTGAAAAATGGTTCCGAAACTACAACGGGCGGGGAATGCTAGGAACGCGTAACTATCTTTCTACTTATGAATCAAAAAGCACTAAAATCCAAGGCTGAGCCTTACCTTCGCCAAACATATCGTTCGCGAAGGGAACTAGAAACACACCTACTTGCTGGCCACACAACACAAGATCAAGACCACCAGGCTAGAATTTTATGACGGGCGAACTTCACCAAACATTGGCTCGAGCTCGACGAACACTAAGCACGAGGCTACGCCGCATCAGCAGGCACTGCCTGGTGCGCCTTGCATGTTCGCGCATTGTACTTGTAGCGATGATCACAAGGACACAGAGCCACACTCGCACCGCCATGGTGAAGCTTGCCTCCGACAACCAATAAGTAATGCCAACTGCGCCGCCGAGGCCGAGGGACAACGCCGGCCCAACAAAAAGAAGCGGCGCCAACCGACCCACCCGCAGGCACGCAAGGCCAATCGCCCCGGCCGCCCCCGCTCTGGAAGGATCCGGTCGAACGACTTTTGGACGGCCAGGCGGCATACGCAAGGGCACTCCGCGCGGGCGCCACCCGCCGTCCGACCAAGGGGCGGGCGAGGCGCGCGCCCAACCTTCCAGGGCCACCGACCACACAACAGCCAGGCAACTGCCACGGCCTACCTACCACCGGGGCAACAGACTGACTGGCCGGGCGGGCCGGCCGGCCGCCCCACCGCGAAGGTGACACACAGAAAGAAAAACAGAGACCCAGCATGGGGGTGCCTGGCCTTACTTTCCAGAGAGTGGTCGTATTTTGGCCGGGCCCTGTCCTGGTCGAGCGTCCTTGGGCCCCGGCCGATCTGCTTCGGGTTCGTGCCGTGCCCGGCCGGCCATATGGAACCCCGGCCCAACCCGGCCGCGCCCCCCCGCGCGGCGCGATAAATCGGCGCCCCACCCAATGGGCTGCTTGCAAGCAAGGACGGAACGAAGGCAGGGGGGCGGGCCGGCAAGGGCCCACAGATGAAGCCTGCGCATTGTCACACAGATGAAGCCACGACGCGCGAAATAGCCCGAGGCGCGCGCTTTCGTCGGTGCGGTCTCTCTTGGATAAGTGCGGCGGCTCTGAGGGACTTCAGGCGGAAGACTTCGCTGCCATAGTTTATGAGCAGGCTGCCCAGTGCGACTTCCCTCCTAAGCCTGTGCAAGCTGGGGCCGGGGCACCCTAGCGCGCCATCCCCCGGGGCTCCACAGCTGCCCCCGCCCCTGGCCGCCCAACAAGGGGGGGGGGGCGCCGCGCGCCCCACGCAGGCAGGGCCTGGCTCACTGGCGTGCGCGCGGCGGCCGGGCGCAGCCCAGAGGGGGCAGCCTCGCACCCCGCGCCAGTGGGGGCACGCAACCAACGCCCTGCAGGGGCGCCCGCTCCCCGGTTTCGGACATCTTCCCCGCGAACCGGCCGAAGCTGGTCACCCTTACAGGCGGGCCGGCTGGGCGTCGCGTAACGCGGGGAACTGAGCGCGCAGCGCTCCACGTTGGCACCAAGAGCGCGGCCACCCGGCGCCACCCTTCTCGTCCTTGCTGTGTTAGGCGCCAGGGGATTTCGTTCCAGTCGGGTCTAATAAAGGCGCGAGCAACTACATGCATCAGAGCCTGCTATCAAAGAAAACGGCCCAAAAGCGCCTGGGTTTGTGCGACGTTTTAGAACAACCAGTCGTCTTCCATGTGCAGACTCGCAATCTTGCTTTTCGTGCAGTAGAGGTGCGGCCCTCGTCAATCTACTTTTTCTTTTGCTCGGATAGGTCGCAACAAAAACAAGTCGAGTCGTCTGAAATGTTGTCGCGTTTGTCTGTTCGCCAATGAAGCTGACAGCAAGAGGGCTTCACTTTGGTTTCAAAAGAGTAGTGATGAGCGAGTTCCGAGCATTACAAGACTAGAGGGAAGGTTCGGAACTAGAGAGCTGCGTAGTCGTGAAAAATTCAAATAAAGCTAAAAGCAATACATTCATTTTCGTACCGCAAGTACAACGGGCACACAAAACAAAAATCAAGATGGAAAAGTGAAATTCGACAAGCTTGAAGAAAATTCTTTAATTATTCATGCCGTGAGAGCGAGTGCAAGACGAGTACATTGAAACACTAGTCCATACACTAGAAAACAAATCTTTATTCTTGGAAACAGAGAAAAAGAAAATGCTTGTCGCGTTTTGTCGTAGGAGTGCGCCGCTTTTTAGTCGTAGTCGTGATGCTATCCATGGGCGTGGAACTGTAGCCACTGATTTAGTTCTCCAACGAAATAGAAGTAATTACAGGGGGAAAGCAAAGAGGTGCATTTTATCTGCGTGACGAAGATCATCAACAGTCACTCCCACTCGGCCTCCGGGGGGAGACACAAGCGATTGCGACGGTAGCTGTCGTTCACTAGGTTAAAACCAAGCCACAAGAACTTCTCCAGTGTGAAGTGCGCAGTTCTAATTTTACATTCGATTTTCGACTGCGACTTTCGCTACATTCGGAGTTCTTGGTTTCAACGTCTAGTTGTACAACTCTAGCCCTTCTCACAACCCGTCCTCCGAGAACCGCATCTCCCGTGGTTGTTTATTTCTCTGGTTGCTTCGGTTGGAAGACGGGACTGGTTCTCCTCCCTTTGGTATCCTGTGGAAAAGTATCGTATTCGTAGTAATTGCATAAATGCATTCCAAGTTTCTTCCTCAAGGTGAATCAGCATTACAAATTCAATTTGTAATGCTGGGCTAATTTGTAATGCAATTTATACTAGTACGATGCTTTTGCATTGCATATTTGGCGTCAGCCCGCTCGGCGTGTTCATCATCGTCGACGGCATCAACCCGCCTGGCTGATTCGCACCAGCACCACCGTAGATACCACCCGTAGAAGTCCCCCGCTTGTTTTTGTTCTGCCAGATGCAGACGCCAACCAGCAAGAAAACCGCGAAGGAAACCAGGGCGACGAAAAAGTTCCAGAGCGACCTGGTGCTGATGAGCGGGACAGACGGCCAGTGGTTGGAGGAAGAGGTTGTAGATCTTCTCTTGTCGCTACTTGTACTACCGGTAGAAGCGATGTCAATATCGTCCTCCAGTGGCGCGCCGATTTGGTCGTGGAACGGCGACGGCTTTTGCTCCTCTTGGGGTCGTTCTTGATCAGCTGGTGAAGCCCCGACCTCGTCTGGTTGGAGGGACGTGGCGGCCGTCTTCGTCTTCCCGTGTCTTTTCTTTGAGACATTCTTCACGGTCTTCGTCGCACTGCTCTTCGTGTTGGTCACCACCGGAGCATCCGTCGTCGGCAGAGAGTCCTGCGCCAATTCCTTCTCGTGCGGCTTCGGCGTCCAGTCCTTCGGGGCGAATTCCAAACCCCCCTCCGTGGCGAAGTACCAACCCCACGTGATTTCGTCCGGGAGGCCGAGGTGTCGGGCTTTCGGATGGTCCGCGAAGTTGAAGGGCTTGTCGTTTCCAACAACGGATGGCCCGTTGATCGCCAACACGTTCATGTCCGTGACCATCTGACTGGAAACCACCTTGGAATCGCAGCACCCCACGAGATGCTTCATGCCGAACTCGTTCAAGTCCGGGCGGGAGCAGATGGCCTGGCCGTACCCGATGTGTTGTTATGAATCGCAAAAGCATCGCGCTAGTAGAAATTGCATATACAAATTTTCTCAGCATGAAAAATTGAATTTGTCATGCTGTTTTACCTTGGAAAGCAAATTTGTCACGCATGACTGCAATTAGTACGAGTGCGATATTTTTGCAGTGCATAGTTGTTCCTCCCCGTTGATGATTTCCGTTTCCTTTGCCCGGCGCATCAGCTGCTTCATGTCCTATCATATGTAAAAACGTCCCCACCCGATACTAGTCAAGATGGGAATCTAGCAACACAGATCTCTAAGTTTTGGGCGCTGCGCATGACAAGTTTCCCGCTGCAGTGTAGTGCTGGTTGGCAAGGGAAGCCGCATGAGAAAGCCGCTTTCTCATCGTGTTTACAGCATTACAAAATCCCAAATACGATTGGAAACGCCTGTCATGGGGATGCGCATCGCAAATGTTCCGGTCGTGGCAAATCTGCATGACAACTCTGGGGCGGGGACGTTTTTACTCAGGATATGTCCTCGACAGAATTCACGTTCTTCTGCTGCTCCGCGAACACCCGGTAGCGGGGGTAGCGGATGTAGGTCTGCGGGTCGGGGGTTTGGCCGACGGCTTTTTGGGAAGAATCGAAGAAGGGTTCGTTGAAGCTGGCCCAGAAGGTTTGGTCTTGGAGGGTCGAGGTCATGTCGCGCCACTCCGAGGAGACGGGCGAGGTTTCCAGCACCATGAAGGTGAACGGAGCGAGGTGGGCTGAGAGGATTGATTTAGAGGATTTGGGTCGTTTGCTTGACAATAAGCATCAGAAATAAAAACTCGTAACCAGAGACAGAGCAAAAAAAAAAGAAACGTTGTCATGCGCGAACGTACATAAGACCGTAGTTCTGTCATGCACCATTAGCACATCAATTATACCTGGATCCGGCCGGTTCCGAAACAGTTCGTAGTCCAACAACATCCACTGCGAATTGTAGGCACCCGTCAAGATCGTGTTTTTCGGGTTCGAAAAGTGTCGCATCCATTCAAAGCCGTTCTTCGCCAATCTGGTCGCGACCATGATGTGCACGTAATCCGGCACGTGCTTCTTCTCCCGGTTGACGTAAGCCGCCGTGCCCCAGTCCGGTCCAGACCCCCCGAGCGAGGTTTCCGCAATCCCCAATTGCGTCTCCTTCGTGATCATGAAGTCATCGGTAGAAGAAATGGCCCCCGGGTAGGAGGAAAAGGAGATCTGCTTCGCCTCGACCTCGCAGAAGGGGAAATCGTACACTTTCCACACACGGTTCATCTCGCTGAAATCTTCCCAGGAGGAATGTCAAATGCAAATATGTCTGGGTCTGGAAGATTGCTAGATTTGTCATGCATGTTTTGTAATGGCCCATGATGCCTGTAATGCATGGTCCAGCATCTTCACAGGTTTTTCGATGGCTTCCTGATGCCTCTTCCGCATGCGAAATGCCTTCGCCGCGTAGCACAAACTGGGCTCCTCCTACTGGTCACGCAATACAGATTTTTTCAGAATCCAAAGACAGCATCACAGGTTGCAACCATCCAGACGCAGACACATTTGCAATGCATACGGAATGCCCGAGGTAGATGTCATTGAATCTTCCCTGGTCATCCTTGAGCAGTTTCGCGAGCGCGGAACAGCGACCCGGACGGTCTTCTCCCCGGGGGAAAAGCGGGTTTTGCAGTTGGGTGGAGGGCTGAAGTAGAGATTTGAAAGTACTTTGTATTGCGGACAACTGAAGCAGTAGCAGCAGCACTAGCAAGAATAAGAAACATCGCGCGAATTGCATTGCATGATAGGGGTCGGGTGTTCATCTGGTGCTTCTACAGCAACATTGCAACATATCACTTTACAAACGACTCTTCAAGAACAACGACCTGTCATGCAAAAGAAACAGTAAATCTAAAAAATTATACCTGTTCGACAAAAGAACTCCCGCTTCTTGCGTACAATGCCTGCAAGTACTCCCCAATCGCACCGTCCGCGTTTAACCGCAGCAAGTCGCCCATCCGCAATTTCGGCTGTCCCTCCGGTACGACAGCGTTGTACCCGTTCAGAATGCCGTGCAGTTGCATGTGGATCAGGTAGGCCTGGTGGTTGTACCTGATAGTGATAGTAGTTTTCATGTGCAACTTCTTATATCTTATGTTCAAATTTGAATCAGAATCCTCGCAACTAGCACTCAACTCCCAATGGTGCACGACATCTTCCGCCCGTGATTCGAGATCGAGATTAGGCAGATAAAAATTTTGCAAAAACGTATCAACAAAAATCCAAAAAAGTACTTGCATTTCGCCTTTGTCTCCTCGTCCGCGTCTCTCAACGCGTCCACCGAGCAATCGTTTTGCGCCACATACGCGTCCTGCTGGGTCATGACTGCCAGTACCTCCTCACTCTTGTGCAAATCGTCCAAAATCCCGCTTTCCGCCTCCGTGTTGTACTGAAACTGCGCAATCTGCTCCATCATCAGCGCGCCCTCCAAGTACCCCGCGGCATACGCCTTCGTCATGTCCAGGGGCTTGGAGCCGACCAAATCGGTTTCGTCGCACTCGTCGGTTTTCACGGTTAAGTGGCTCCACCCGGTTTCCATCGCTTTGGGGTTGAAGCTCGCTTGTGCGAGAGGTTGGGACCCGGGGACCTTGGTGCTGGAAATCTCGATCGCATTATTGGCGGATTGGTGCGCGTACAGGGTGGTGGGGGTCTGTTTTGAAACGTGTTTGATGTTGGCTTAGGCTTTTTCTTTTTGTCATGCAAGTGCTTCACAATAACTTGCGTCAAGCTCCATAGTATCTGTAACTGTATCCACTGTGCGAAAAAAAGAGGAAAAATTGAACCGAAATCTTCATCTGTATCAACAGTACCGTGATTTGCGCTGGTCTTGTCCAGGTTGACGTGACTGCTGGAAAGGATGATGCTGCAGAAGTTCCCGCCCCGGTGATTGCCTCGAGGGCGAGGAAAACTAAGGTTGCGAAGGTTGTTATCAAATGCAAATATGTCTGGGCCTGGAATAAACTTGTGATGCTAAAATGTGCATGATGGAAACACTTCCGAATGTAGCCCAGCATGACAACTTTTCGGAGCGCTTTCTCATAGGCAGTCCGCATGAGAAACTACGTTTTTTCGTGACAAAAATGCGTACGGCTTTTGTCGGTTATGCAATACAGATTTTCCAGGAATGTAAAGCTAGCATTACAAGTTCCAACTTTCCAGACCCAGACATTTTTGCAATCCATAGTTGTTTTCATGGTTTGATTGTTTTTTTTTTTTGAAGATGGAGGTAATGGTGAATTTTTTGATGCGAAAATGTATGGTTTTACATTTACAGAACAGTGCTTCTGAAGAGCTCTATTAAATTGGAAAGCTCAGCTCGTAGAAGCTCAAAAATGAAAGCACAAGAAGTACAAGTAGTACAGTGGAGTTCCTTCAGAAGACGACAAAAATGGTTTTTGGGGAAACAATTTTTGACAGGGGGGTGTCGCTTCAGGTCGCTGCTTTGTGGTAGAAGAAGAAGAGATAGTCATGTAGTGCGTGGTCGTAGCTATACATTTTCGATTTGTTGCATACTTACATACCGGCTCATTAAATTGCTTATGCTTGTTTCACATATCGAGCTTATCGACAAATAGTTTCAGCGAAATTTCTTCTGACTCCAGTTTGATAGTCATCTCTGTCTACTCGCTGACCGCAACTCGTTTGACGTCGTGATGTCGAGTCTAGTGCTTCTTCGTACGATTTCCGAAGTCCTCTGGTCTCGACCGACACGAGCGAGGTTGATTTGAATTTGTACGACGAGACAGGGTGGACGACGCCGAGCGTTTATTGTCTAGTCGAGGACGTTCTACTACCGAGATGGAGCTTGAAGGCGAACGAAAAATGAAACACCGACTGATGGTGACTGTTATTGCCGGCGCACGATGAATAAGTTGTAGCCGTGGTATATGCATAAATCTACTATGTGCGGCGCTTTTTATTTTGTTCCTAGGAGCGACCGATTGTTCTTGATTTGAAGCATGGACCGATGAAAGATAAGTAGTAGAAGACACGCCAGGTTTGCTGCAACTACTGATGGCAAGAACGATATTAGCAACGATAAAAGGAAAATCGAAAGAGCTGCGCGAAAAAAGCACCCAATCACCCGCACAAGGTGACCGTGATGCCCTACTTGTTCCTGTATCAAAGAAGCGATACTCAAGCACTACATAAACGCTCTTCAGTACTTTGTAAGCAAGAAAACCAACTACACCTGCCGAACAATCAATTCATCATTTACAACTGCTCTGGGACGCGACGTCCAGCAACAGACGCGGCCCCCTTGACCGGGGAAAGGCTGGAATTTTTTGCCGATTCGGGCGAAAAAAGACGGGCGTCCGCCCTGATCAAAGCGCGCAAAGTCAAAAATGTCTCAGCTTCCTTCGAAAAACCTACGTCTCCTGGTTTTATAGGAGCTTGGCGCTGAAGATTTACCTTTACGACCATTCTCAAATCTGTAAAATGCAAACTTAGTTGGTCTTTTTTGGAAGAGAAAACTTAGATGCAACGCGATCCCTGGTATGGTCATGACAGTGAAAAACAAAAACCAGTACACAGACAGTGAAAAGCAAAAAACTGAAACAACACATAGACACCATCTGGAACGAAAGAAGAAGTGTGTTCGTGTTTTGCAAAAATTGCTAGTTACTTACAGTGCCTCCTATGGCTTTGCCATTTCTTAGTTAGTTATCCACTTCTGTACGACCAGGGGCTCCGTTCCTGGAGGAAGGTCCTCGCTTCCATACAAAAAGTCGAGGGCCAATTGTTCCCCCAACATTACCCAATCCCTGTCGGTGGACAGCATCAATTGCTTGCTTTGGTTATACTTGAAAAACGTTTCCAAGCGGCCCTGCAGCCAAACGAGTAGACTCTTCTGCGCTCTCTGTCGGACATTTGGCGCTTTCCCGGGTTTGGTCCGTGCGTCCAGGACATCTAGGTGCTTTTCGATCCGGCGACACTGTTCTTCAAGCAGATTCTGGATGTCCGCCTGCCAGGATCTCCCACGCTTCTGCCCACCAACACGAATCGCGTTCATGTCGTTCTTCAGCCCGCGCAGAAGCTGCAAGCCCAATACATTACGCGCTGCGACGGCCTTCAGCTTCCCATTAACAAAAACAGAGATGCGCTCAACCTCTTCCGCCTTTTCTTCTTTCAGCAGTCTCTCTTCTGTGACAAGTTGCAACTCTTGCCGAAGCTTCGCCAACTTCGCCAGACTTCTCTGCACCTCCGGGCCCGCCCTCGACTTGCAGCAGGGCAACGCCCCCAACAAACCGGCCCGGCACGGCTGCTGGCACTTCGCATCTTCCTCCGCCGCCTCAGCCATTAACATCCTCTCTTTTGCGAATACGTCATACAGCTCCCTGCGAGCGGCACGAGCGACACTATTTCTTCGCCAGATCAAAATCAGTTCTGCGGGATGGACATCAGTAGATTCAAGTCCGGCCAACTCAGAAGAGTCCTTCCGAAAAATATCCACCTTTTTGGCTATCTTTTCAAATTTTGGCGAGTTCATTTCCCGGCGCCCTCTTCGATTATCGGGTAGCGCCTCTCCGGTGGCGGCTGCGCTTACGCCTGTGCAAGCGCGCTAAGCCAGGCTGTTCCATTTCTGCCCCGAGCCCGGGGTAGAAACGCAAGCCAAGCGCCCCATTGTAAGAAAAAAACCAAGAACCAAGCGCACCCCCCAACCCTATGCATGAGGCCATGGACCCTGGGTGCGCCCCTGCTTGCACAGGTAATGGAAGGCTTATCAAAATCCATCACACAACGGAGAGCAGAGTAAGATAACAAGAGCAACCTCTTTGGACTGACACCTCAGCAAACAGGTAGTCAAAACTTGAAAAGATGTTTCCTTTTGCGTTGTTGCGGTTGTGGTCGAAATTTGAAATCGACATCTTTTCAAAGTTTGAAGAGCTGTGGGCGCCCACTTATCAAAATTTGAAAAGATGCCGAAAGAGCATCAGTCTTTTCAAACTTTGATAGCTTCCAAACCTGAAAAGATGAGCCCTGTGTGTGGCTGCATCTTTTCAACTTATTTCTCGGACGATTGGCGATTGCTTGCATTCTCCAGTGCCTGTTCTTCCTTCACCTTCTGCATTTTGTGGAGATGTGCCTCGCAACACATACAGCGCCCCGCCAAGAGCCCGCAAAACCAAAAACGCGCCCCGGAAATAGATGCGCCAAGCAGTCTTGCAAGTTAGGATCTGCGGGCGGGCTGGTCGGGCCCGCGCTGCGAAAGGTTGCCAAATTTCGACAAGATGCTGAAGAAGGCATCTCTTCAAATTTTAACAGCTGCTGCCAGGCAGGAGTTGTTTTCTTGTTCGGCCGCGGACGCGACTTCGGTTTTGGGGTTTTGCGATGGGCTGTATGTATGCAAATGCAACGAAATGGCGGCAGACCGATAGGGGGAATTTTGAAAAGATGGGCGTAGAGATGGATTTTTTAGGGCATAGGCATCGGAATCAGGCTCCCCCACGTCAGCAAGATCCTTTTCGTCGCCATCCTTGCCGAGTGGCTCTCCCCTCGCAGCTCGCTGAGAATACGCCTCGAAAAGCGTTTCTTCATATTGCGCTTGGTCTTTTTTCCACTCCTTTTCCCAGCGGTCCCTAATCAAGCTCATGACGCGATTGAGGTCGTAGGACCTAAGATGCTCTATCGAGAATTTCACCAAATCCTCTGCCGCATCCACACCCGCCAAGAGCGCCATCTGGTGCACGCGCCAGTCGTGAAGCTGACTCTCCGGCGAGGCTTTATGCTGCAGCATTTCTTCCAGTTGTTTCGCTGAGGCCGTTTCAGTGCTCGCGATGAAGTTGCGCAACACTGTAGCCGCTCTTTCCCCACTTCGGCCACTAACACCAAGTTGCAGAAGGGGGGTGAGATATGTGAACACATACCGACTCGCTTGGGGCGAACCACACTTCGTCGCGATGCTTTCGAGCTCGTCTGGGGCCGCCGGCGCTCCCGTTCTTGAAAGGGCACTTGAGGATCTCTCGGTCATCTTCCCGTCATCTGCTCTTAAACTTTCGGGCTCAAACTGGCACAGCGCCACCAGGTACGGCCGCAACTCCTCGAAGCGCTGGCTCGACGGAGGTTGTGCCGCTGCTTGTTGATGACCCGGCGCAGATGAACCTTTGTGCCGCTTCATCTGTAGTTCCGCCCGCCGCATCGCCGCGGCCCTCGCCATGTCCATCGGAGTGGCTAATAACATCCCGAAAGCACTTGCACTGCCGACTGGATTCACAATGTCGTCCCCCAGCTGCTCAAGCCTCTCGGCCTGGTTTCGTTTCCTCTCCTTTTCGAACAGTTTTTCCAGCAATTCGTCCGTTTCGCCCGCTTCTCTGGCCAGAAGCGCAGCTTGAGCCCACACCTGCGCGCCACCTCTCTTAGCTGCTTGCGTCTTCTTGCGTCTAGCGAGAACACCACGACCCGACGAAGCACGACGCCCCTGCCGTTGGTTAGCCGAGTCGCTCATCGACCCGCCCGTCGAGTAGGAAGATGCTGGTGACCCAACATCGCTCTCACTCTGGCCGTTATCTTCGCCCGCACCCGCGGTCAGCAGGTCGAATCGGCTCGACTGCTGGTTGTGGCCCCCGCTACTGCCGCTGCCAGCTATGCTCGCCTGACGCTGCGCCGCTTGCTGCTTCTGCTTAACATACGGGCGAATTTGTTCGCGGAAGAGGTCCCTCGCCTGCTTGACACGCGACAACGTCTTTTCTATCATCGGCATGAGAGGTTCCTCTCCTGCTTCCGTGACGCCGACGTCCTCGCTTCCGCAGAAAACTTTCTCTGCTTCGCTGTGCCCTCTGTACTGCTTCTTTGCTTCTTCGCTTGCTGCTCGGAGGTGGCCGTACAGAGTCTCGGTGCACTTGCGATTCCAAAAATTTTGTCGCGCCCGTAAGCAGCGGCTACCCGCGAAGAAAGCCTGAATAATGGACTGGCCCTTGGGGAACCCAAAGGCCGGCCAGAAAAGCGTCTCCATCCTCAAATCGGTCTCTGCGGTGATGGGACCTCCGCGATCCAATTGCTCAATAAGCCGTTGCACAACATTATGTTCGTCGTGCAAGTTGCTCCGGATCTTCCCCGCAAGCAGTCCCAGAACATCCTTCTGCTGTTTCAAGCTGTAGCGCTCGTTTCCCGTGGTCTTCGAGCGCGTTCCCGCAGGTTCCTCGGAAAAAGGGATTTCTCGGGCAGCAGGAACCGTATTCATCATCTTTCGCAGCGCCCCGTCCCAACTTTCGCTCCCATTGTGACACTCAATTTGGACCAGTGCCGCGTCGTGGTAGCACCTAACTTTTTTCTGTAACACCTCTTTCAGATTCTGTATCTCTTCTTTCGTCAATACCGCTTTTTGTGCATTCAGATTCACTTTTTTCTCGCCGCCGCCCCGGCCCTTTCGACCTCCTCGTGCAGCTTCACCAACACCAGAAAAGAAAACACTCTGCGCAAGAACAAATGTCAGACGAAACGCGGATGCATTCGTCATGCTCGCCATGATTTCAACACTTTATAAATATGTTAGTGATTTTGAAGTAGTTGGATATCTTCGCATATAAAGCACTTGGACCAGTAGTTGTTGTACTGTCAAATTTTAAGACGTACAAAATAAATTGTTCAGTTGTTGATGGCTTCAGACGAAGATATACACCTGGTGCTTCAAACTTTTTTCAAAATTCCAAGTGCTTCGCGAAATAAAGAAAATTCGAAATAGTACCACCTTGGTATTTTCGGTTTTGAAAATGGAATCCCCGAAATAAGGAGGCCTCTAAATCTAAAGAAGTAATGATGAAAGCTCTTCACAAAAAGTTCAGGTGGACAGCATAGGGACCAGCGCTGCAATAATTATTCCGCTGAACAAATAAAAATGTCTTCATATCAAGTTCTTGCTTCCTGCTTCTTCTTCATGAGATCGTCGATAGCAGTGGTACATAAATGCTATTTTTTACCGATTGTTTATTTTCCCGATACAATATACCGAGATGGGCAAGTGCTGTTCAACTCCCTTAATAAATCATTTATTAAGGGAGTAATAACAAACTGTAGACCAAACCGATACAACAACCTCAATGACAAAACCAACAGACACTCGCCTGCGGCCATGAAGAGCAGGAGTGCGCCAAAAACCGATCATGATCTTTGTTGTACGAAATATAATTATTCCTCTGTGGAATCAATTGAAAAGTAAGTACTATGCTAGAAGAACAAAAATCCACATGCACATCCAGATGGTTTTTTCATCAGAAAGGAGCGACGTTGTGTAGTTCGTAGCTCTCGTAGTTTTCTTGGAAATAATGTCGTACTTCGCTGGAGCCTGTTTCATCCCGGTTGTAGTGTTGCTCCTCACTTTTCCTCCTCTTCGTCTTCAATCCCCAGCGACTGATTGGTCTCCTTGCGATTCCTCCCTTATGCGAGGAGAGATTCAGCTCACCGGCGCACACTATGTAGTTGTTATGCAAGACACAGAACTACAACAAGCGGAAGTACAAGCATCCATACTTTTATTTCATGCAATGGAATAAAATAACGCATGGAAAACTCATCAAATACTCAAAGTTTCGGTACATAATCGCGGTGAGTTGTTGAATCTCATTCTCATAGCATCAACTTATCCCGTTGCCGCAAATTTCTTTTTACCTTTTCCTTATTCTCGAGAATCTTTTTCCTCTTCTCCGCTATGGATTGCAAAAGTGTCTGGGTCTGGAAGAATTGGAACTTGTCATGCGATTTCTGGAACAGGCAAAAATTTGTGTTGCATAAGCACCAAAAGCTTCCCAGTTCTTGCTACGCAAATGAGGAATTTCTCATGCGGGACAGACATCAGGAGGCCTGCGCAAAACCTGTAATGCTTTTGCGTGCAGTTGTAGAGACCAGTTGCGTGATCCAGAAGATGCATGACAAGCCTAGCAATTTTGTTCCAGACCCAGACACTTTTGCGGTTGATATCCGCAGGAGAACTACCAACGTCTCGATCAGACTCCCCACTCGAGGACGTCAAAATCCCGCCACGTATGGGATTCTCAAACGTTACATTCTCAACTGTTACATGATTTGTCATGCAAATCTACCATGAACCACCAGACAATCAAGCCACCTCGCATGACAAATCCCCGAAGGGCTAAACAGCGCCTAAATCTGTGCCGGATTTATGATGCGAGAGTTGCAAGCTTGCCCCTTTCACTGTTGCGGTTCTTGCATCACAAATTCATGTAACAGTTCAGAATGTAACGTTTGAGAACGCCATACCACGTGACTTGTCGGAATTGATCGACAGTCTTGTCATCTCCGTCGCGACAAGGCGTTTAGTATTTTTGTTGTTTTTCACCCCAGAAGAGGAAGACGAGTCCTCGGCAAGTTCGTCGGAGAGGACCTCGTTATGATCTTTGTGGCCCCTGTTGTAGTCGCCATTTCTATCCGGACCCGCATGATCCCTGGTACTGCTCTCCCCTGCTCTTTCCGCACCAATATGTAGGCTGAAGGCTGACCTAGAGCTGCTGAAGATTTTCGTGATTTGCGCTGCTTCTCTCAGCTTCCTCTTCATCAGGGCGGCGGTGGAATTTGCCTTCAGGCTTTTTCCCTTCTTCACACCGTCCTGGAGATCCTCCTCGTCAGAACTGCTCCCATACTCGTAAATGACGTTCCCCTATCAGATGCAAATATGTCTGGGTTTGGAAGGATGCGAAGTTCGTCATGCACCACATTTTGCATGACTCCTGATGTCTGTGATTCATGCCCTAGCATCACAGATTTTGTGAGGCCTTCCTGATGCCTAGACCGCATGATAGATGCCCTCTTGATGCCGTGGCAAAAACTGGACCTCTTTTGCAGCTGTTCATGCAATACAGATTTTTGTAGAATCTAGATGCAGCATCACAAGTTGCATCCTTCCAGACATCCAAGGATATTTGCAATGCATATCCCCTGTTCGTCCCTCGCGTAGGTCTGCATGCTCATCCAGTTCAAATACCGCGGTAAATCGGTTCTCCGACTCGACGAGATTTTCTCCTTTAGCCGCGTGATCTGTGAGCAGCAAAGCAACACCACCAAGCTGTAGACCAGGAAGATGAAAAAGCAAACGAGGAAGATTATCGCCAACACGGAAAGCTCCGCCATAAAGATGTCTACGCCGGACCGGGTAGCGGTAAAAGTTCCGTAGCAGTCAATCCGGTTGGGGTAGGGATCCACGCCAGTTTCAACATGAATATCATCTGAAGACGATGATGTTGAACTCAGCCCGGTCATCGGCCGCCCAAAGAGATTTTCCACCTCTTGATCCGAAAAGTCCAAAATTCTGGTCAAAAACGCCGCGAAGGGAATCGGGTTCAACCGGATCAAATTCGGCCGGGCGCAGATCAGCTCGGACGTATCCACAGGAAAGTTCCAACCCGCACACGTACAAATGTAGTTGTTTCTGCATGACAAAACTTGCCTTCAACCTTGGTCAGCATGACAAGTTGGAAACTCTAAGTTAGCGAAATTCGTCATGCATTTTGTGTATGTGCGGAAATTTTGTATTGCATAGGACACATGATCGGTGTACAGGTACATATTTTCGAGCCACTGCAACCGCCACTGGTCGATGAAGTAGGTTTTTGTAGTAGTGGCAGTCCCCGAAGATGAAGAAGAAGAAGAAGTACTAGATGCGCTTGTTCCGCCTCCTCCTGCTGTATTCGTATTCCCACCACTCCCGCCACCCGCGTCAATTGCGATGGAGATCCCGCCCTGCATGGGGCTCGCCGCTACCTCGGGAAAAACTTTTCGCGCATCCCTGTCGTTCTCGTTGAACAGTTGCTCCGAAATAACGATCTTCGCTGGGCCGATCAGTAGCACCGGTTTGTTGTGCGTGTCGGAGTTTTGGATGTTAATCACCAACTTCGCAGAGTTCGACTTTTTGTTCGGTAAATCGCAGGTGTATTCCCCCGCCTTGCAGTAGTACCGGGGGTCGGTCTATCCAGGAAAAAACACCCATCCCCATCCAATTTGTATTTGTCATGCAAAACATGCATAATTTGCAGTGTTTGTCATGCAAAAAATGAATGGGGATGGGTGTTTCTACCTGAATACGGTCCATTTACTGTCCACACACACGGAGCTCAGCTGCTGCTCACCAACGCGGTTTGCAGTGCGCTCGAAAATGCCCTCGCCGACAGGTCCTGCACCAAACGCGCCGCCGCCTCCGCGGCCCCCCGGTCCTCTTTCGGAGGCACCTCCACCGGTTTGTATTCCGTCACGTCTGCGCTGTCCCCGAACATTCGTCTTCGGCACGGCCGCGCGGATGAAATGCTTGTCAAGCAGGGCGGTGATGGACCTTTATCAAATGTAAAAGTGTCTGGGTCTGGAAGAGTGCATGTTTGTCATGCTTGTCTGGCATGACTGTCATGCACGTCACCCAAGAGCGCCATTTTTCTGTCATGCAGAAACGCAGTTTGTCATTCAGAATTATAGGCAAGAACACCTAGAAGCTCAGAAACTTGTCATGCTGAGCCAGCACTTGCGGCCTCCTCATGATACGCCGCCCAGCATCACAAGTTTCCAGACCCAGACATTTTTACAATCCATAACCTTGGAGCATTAGCAATTTTTGCTGTACCGTTCGTCCCCGGCCGCTGGGAGGATGACGACGACGGCCCGGAAGCAGCTGCAGAATTGCGATCGTTCTTCGGAAGAGCCGTCTCGTCGGAGGAAGATGCAGCAGCAGCTCCTGCTCCACCACCTGCTCCGCTAGAACTCATATCCGCACTATTAGTACTTCTATCCGCCCCAATATGGGAGTGTCAGAATCGAAATCGACAAAATCGAAAAACTTGTAATGCATAAAATGTAGGGCACGCATGGCCTGTGTTGGGGAGCAGGCAAATGAGACCGATTGCAAGCCTGTTTAGAGGAGGGCGATGCGCTCCCAGAGTAGCATGACAGGAGCAGTCTTCTTTGTCTAAACAGCATGACAAACTGGATCTTGGTGCTCCCGAAATTTGTCATGCGCCACTTGAAAACTGAGGCTTCAACTGGTATCGATTTTGCGCATCACAAATTTTTCGATTTTGTCAATTTCGATTCTGACACTTGCATACCCGAATCTGCGGATCACAATCGCCTTGCCCAGGTAATTATGGATTGCAAAAGTGTCTGGGTCTGGAAGAATGCAACTTGTGATGCGCATTTCAGAACACAGAAAAATCTCTCATGCATAGGTAGCAAAAGCTGCCCACTTTCTGTCACCAAAGTGGGGGATTTGTCATGCGGATTCGGCATTGGGGAAGCTTCTCGAAACCTGTGATGCTAGAGCTTCCATGCCAGACCTTGTGTGTCATGCAAAAACAGCATGAATCTTCCAGACCCAGACATTTTTACATTTGATAGTAATTCAGAGGACAGCGGAGAGCCAGCATTTCCTCGAAAATTCCGTTCTGTTTGATCTTTTCCAATTGCAATCCATGCACCCAAATCTTTGACCACAGGGACAGATTCCTGAAGGGATGGTAAGCAGGGCTTGTAGTTGGAGTACTACTAGTACTTCCAGCGGCGGCCGTTGCAGCAGCCTGTTCTTTCACTGCGTCCAGCCCAGCGAGCGTTTTTACTTTCGATGAGAAAATGTTGATCAGATTGTAGTTGATGGTCAGTTCGTTCTCCTGTGAGAGTGCGCAACTCCTCCTCCCCCTCATTTGTATTGCATAAACAGCAATACCAGCGTCGGCAAGAATACAGGTTCTGCACGACAAATTCGGACAGGAGTGTAGTGCTATTTGGGCTGCCAGAACTTGTCATGCAACAAGTACCAAGAGCAGGAGAGGCGTAAATTAGGTATTCTGCATGACAAATGAGGGGGAGGGGGAGTTGTGCACTGTCATATCTCCCGATGGTAGAGCACTGTCCCATATTCCAGCAGTTTCAATGTTTGCTCGTCGCCGGAAAAAAAAGTTGAACTGTCCTCAGGTGAAAATGAATTTGAAATCATACTGGCGTTGAAATTCTTGTTCAGTTTCATGGCTGTGGCAATGTCCCCGCGGAACAAGTGCGGAAGGTGCCCACTGTCCTGCGCGTCGAGCTCCGGCGCCAAGCCGTAGGTGTCCGAAAAACCATATTTTTCTGAAAACGCGGCGCTCTCCTCATAGTAACCCTCGACGGCGTCTTGTAGAAGTGTGGTCGACCCACTATGGTCCTCTACAACTGCTGCTCCACCTGCTCGTCCGGACGAGGCACTGCTGCCTGGAGCAGTTTCGGCTAATATCTTCCCGCTGCTCTGCGTATAATACGGCGAGGACGCAAAGCTCTCCAACCCGCGAACGACGAACTCCTCCCCTAGCCCGGTTCTACAGCTGTACTGGGCCGCGTTGCACATGTACTTTTGCTTGTAAAACTCCTCCTTATAGCAGTTCATCCGATCGAGCGACAACTGCGGGCGGTACTCGTTATCGTGCGGGTCGATCGGGAAAAACAAAGAAGTTCGGACTGTCAACCTCTCCCCCTCCATGCCCCCGCAGAAAATTTCGCCGACCGTGCCGTCTTCCGTTGGATACATGTATTCCACGGACCGGCGAGATAACAGTCTGCTTTCCCGTATGCTGTGCAAAAGTATCGTACTCGTATTGCAATCGTGCACAGCAAATCTTTTCGTTATAGGTAAATCCGCATTATAAATTATTTCTTATGCTGAGAAAAAGAAAATTTGTGATGCATTTATACGAGTACGTATACTTTTGCAGTTCATATTCCGGAGAAATTCGTACTTCTCGTTCTTCCTTCTCGTCGTGCCAGCAGTACTAGATATGGAAGTGTCAGAATCGAAATTGGCAAAATCGAAAAACTTGTGATGCACAAAATCGATGTCAGTTGGAGCCTCAATTCCAAGTGGCGCATGACAAATTTGGGAAGCACCCAAATCCAGTCTGTCATGCTGTTTGGACAAAGAAGACTCCTCCTGTCATGCTGCTCGGGCAGCACATTGTATACCCCTAAACAGGCTTACAATCGGTCTCATTTGCCTGCCCCCCAATACAGGCCTTTGGTGTCCTACATTTTATGCATCACAAATTTTTCGATTTTGTCGATTTCGATCCTGACACATCCATACTAGAACCACCCGCAGTATTAGAGTTATCCCGCTTTATCGAAGATTCCGGCTTCTCCTCATCTGTGTAAGCGGTTCTCTGGTCCAAATCTTTGTATTCCGGCGGGATCCAGAGATCGAGAGAAAATGCCTGGGTTTGGACACCGGAAGCCTCGCCTAGTCCCGCGTGGTAGAGATGTGAGTAGCTCATGCCAACCACCATCCCCGGGGTCTTCTCCAGCGGATCAATCATCAAGTACAGCGCTTGGGGATTCATCAGCGCCTGCAGTGAGAGAATCTCCGTACAGATGTACATCCCCCGGCAGCCCCCGGATTTCCGTAAAGGGGTATTATGGTATGACAATTCTTGATCTTGGTCGAGGGGTTTCCGGACCTTATCGGGCTCGAAGTCCTGCTCTAGCAGGGTTGGGCTATCAATGTCGTCGGGCAGGAGTTGTTCTTTTTGTGCGGTGGTGAGACCACTGCTCGACGAGGGACGAACGTTTATTTCTTCCGCTTGGAGTTCTTGCTGTTGCTGGTTGCTGTTTACGCGAGGGCCTTGTTGCGCCGGTAGAACGCGGGTAGCACCCAGGGAAGACGAAGATTCGGTAGATTGACCGGTGTTTCCTCCGCGGCCGGCTCCAGTAGTTCCGCCCTTGGAGGGGGTGACGACCCTGTCTTGCTGCTGGCCCGCTCCTGCTTGAGACGAACTGGTACTTGCGCCACGACCTCCGCCGCCCGCGCCTTTTTGGAAAGTAGTTTGCCGGGAAGCATCTTCTGCCGTTGCGTCAGCTGCAGTGGCGGTTGCTGGGAGACGACTAGACGCTGCGGCTAGCAGAAACAAGCTGCTTGGGGAGGGAATGACCCCCCGTAGGGCAGAACCAGAGGAGCATCGAAAAGCACGGGCGTCCTTCATGCTGGAATCTTATTTTCCGGCTTTTATCTTCGTTATTTTAGGACAAGGAGCCGACTCTCGTTGTCGTTCCTTTTGCGGAGAAAACAAAGCGACAAGCGACTCTTAAATTGACTTCATCATGAGATGAAACCAAAAATGGTGGTGGATGTTGAATAAACACTCAACAAAGCCCCGCCATTCCAATCACGGGAACAACGCCATCAGCGAGCTCGAGCTCGGCCTGCCCCCGTCGCGCAGCCGTATTCATTTTAGCGGCGCCAGGGTAAGTAGTTCATTTATCATTACAGTTCTTCACACAACGCGCAAAGGTGATCATCAAAAGAGGTTCTTTAATCGAATTATTTCTCTATCCGTTCGGCCTTGCTTCCTGCTGCAGTTTCAAAACCAGCCAATCCATGCCCGCGTTTAATCCTTCGCCCGTCAACGCGCAGCAGGGAAGGATTTGCCAGTCGTGCGTTTTTATCTCGTTTAGGGATAAATTGTGCACCAAATCCGCAGCGGTCAAAGCGCCGGAGACGTCTTGCTTGTTCGCGAGAATGAGAACTGCTCGGACTGTATTACGGACTTGCGGGAGGTATCAAATGCAAAAATGTCTGGGTCTGGAAGAATGCGCGATTTGTCATGCAGCTTTTCCATGACCCATGAGGCCTGGAATGCAGGGTCTAGCATGACAGATTCTGCACGATCTCTCTCATGCCTATCCTGCATGAGAAACTCCCTCCCGACTTGATCAAAACAGGGCGACTTTTGGCAATCATGCAACACAGATTTGTGCATGCTTCAGATTTAGCATGACAAGTTGCATTCTTCCAGACCCAGACACTTTTACATTTGATAGGAGGATTAGGATGTTCATCAGCTCCATTTTTGCGGTCACCTAGTTATAGTTTTTGAGGGACGGATCCGGAATTTCTCATATGTACTGTGTGTGTTAGTTTTTCTGCATGAGAGAATAAGAAAGAAAGCTCTAACTCTACGACGGTGACGGAGCACACAATGCATGAGAAACCAGTACTAGAAAAAGCAATACTAGTGACTCCGTGTCATTCGAGTCGACAACGAAGATCACAGCGTCCGCGAAATTGTCTGACTGGAAATAGCTCGGCCAGAGGTCTCTGAGCTTCTCCTGGCCACCCAGATCCCAACACGTGAACGTCACGCCTTTGTACCTGGTGTTTCTTCGCAGTTTGTAAATTTGAAACACTGCAGCTGGTGCCTGTCGTGCACCACCTCGAGCACTGTCGAAAATCATGCGTCATCGGTATTTTCCAAGATTGGGTTGCGACGTATGCCTAGTGAATGGCTTCCTCGTAAGTAGTAAGAAAGTACTTTAGCTCCTCAATGTTGCATCCGATGGTGGGCTGTGTTACCACCGGTTGGTTCAACGCCAGGCGGTATAGAATCGTCGTTTTGCCGGCATTGTTCAGTCCTACGAGGACTATTCGGTAGGCTTGATCCGTCCCGTGGAAAAACTTCCGCCACAGACTGCTGATCGCGATGCCCATGGTAATGTCTTCTTCTTCTTGCCAACTCCGGCTCCCGTCGTTTTCCACTTCGGTGCTCTTCTATTGGCCGCTGTCGCTGTGCAAGAAATAGCTTGTTCGCAACACCCCGACGGCGCATGGTTGGATCAATATTGATGCTTCCTTCGACGCATCAGGAGTTGTGCTAATACACAGGAGAGAGGAAGAACAAGGACACCGAAAAGCTTTCTACCAAACGCAGATAAAGGGAAGATCGTCTACGTCTTCTTTGAGATTCATAACCGGCTTTTTTTGTTTCAAAAACATGAAGAACGAAGATAGATCTTTGCCAGTTCTGCGATCGATTCTTTGCATGCTTCCATTTCACAAAGACAGAGAGAGCAGCGAGCGCAAGAACCTCACCTGTTGCCCGTGCGCAAACCGGAAAAGCAAAAGTACGCACCACGAATGAAAACGAAAACCCTAGTCCGTCACGAACTAAAGTTGTTCAACACAGCAGAGCCAAGAAAGCGAATACATCGTATGGAAGAACACGGAGTAGCACGACTGTGCCAACAAAAGATGAAGTTGGACATGACCACAACCCACTGAGTTTTTGTTTCACCGTATCTATCATATAAATCTGTTCTTTTTGTACTTACTTATGTCTCTTCTGGTCGTTGGTACACAAGGAAATCGTTCGTCACAACTAGTACTTTTTGTTGAAAATCATGTAAAAATGGGGTCGTCCTCGATCTTGTAAAGACAAATAATAGCCTTGCTGTTTACTCTTCTTACGATTAAATCCTGAGATATTTTCGAAAACGAACCATAGCCCGTATGGTAATTCGCCTTCTGGTAGCTGATACTTAACAGGTACAGGAGGTCGCTTAATTTTTTGATAAGAGGAAGTGCGCGCCGCAGCTCCCCCTGTGCTGCGCCTGCGCAACACAAACCGGCAAGAACATTACTACCCTCACCGCCTGTAATCCTGATCGTAGTTTCTCTGCCTTCGATCGTCCCGTTCTCGGTGATGTCCACCTCGATTATTATCGTCCCGTCGGTAGTTGTTGTGATCTCGATCCCGCTGATTATGATACTGATCCCGACCACCTTGCTGGTGCTGTTGCCCTCCTCTGTCTCGGTCATTATTTCTCCCACCATAATTATTCCTGCCGTGATTATGATCGGAAGAGTTGTTGTAGTCCTGCTCCCCTCCTCCATCCATATTCTGCTCGAAATTCCCCATCCCAACGACCTGCGGAATATCCTCCTTCACCGGGTCTTTCTGCTCCACCAACTTCACACTGATCCGCTGCCCCCGCAGCCGCCACGCATTCAATCCGTTCGCCCTCGATTGGCTGTAATTTACCACCGCCTTCGCGGTTTCCCGGCTGTCGAACTTGATAAACGCGAACCCGTATGCATTGCAAAAATATCGTACTAGTAGAAATTGCATGACAAATTGACTTAGCATCACAAATCAAATTTGTAATGCAGATTTGCCTTAAGAAAAAAATTTGTAATGCATAAACGCAATTAATAGTACGAGTACGATTTACTTTTGCAGTGCATAACCCGCGACCCACTCCCGTCTTCGCGCCGATCGGAATGGAAATTTCCTCTATCCGGGCGAGCTCGGAGGTGCGCTGTTGGGGCTGGAGTTCACCTGGGGCGGGGAGCTGGTCATCCCTGTCGGAATTGGAGTTATTATTGTTCTCCGATAAATTCGGATCAACATTCGGATCCACCAAAACTCCACTCGCCTTGTCCTTCTGTTTTTTCATTTCTGCGTTCAACCCGTCTAAAAAGTCCGCAAACATGTCCCGAATCTGAAACTGCGTCACGTCCAATGGCAAATCCCGTAGCATTATGCATTACAAAAATGTCTGGGTGTGGAAGATTCCGAGATTTGTCATGCATATTTCTCATGACCCATGACGCCTGCAATGCATGACCTAGCATCACAGACTTTTAGAGGGTTTCCTGATGCGCCTTCCGCATGAGAAATGCACTGTCCGCGTAGCTCAAACTGGACCTGTCTTGCTGGTCATGCAACACAAATTTTCCTTAGAATCCAAAAACAGCATGACAAGTTGCAAGCTTCCAGACCCAGACATTTTTGCATTCGATAAGCATCACCGAATCCAAATCTTTCTGGCTCGCCTTTTGCATCCGGATGCCCTTGATGTTTTCGACGAAGATGTCTTTTTTCAGAAAATCCAGCAGCGGTATGATCGTCGCCTGTTTTTCTACCGCGAATTGGCACCCGTTGAGAATTATGCAACACAAAAGCATCGGACTTGCAGTGATTGCAGTATATGCATTACAAATCTCCATCCAAAAGTCAAACAGCATGACAAATCCTATTTCTCAGGCTGAGCAAATTTGTAATGCAATTGATACTACTAGTACGAAGATGCTTTTGCAATGCATAAAAATCGCCTTCTGCATCCCCAGTCGGATCGCTTTGCGCAACTCTTTCACTTCTTCTAAAACCTCTGTATCGCGGACAAACGCCGTCCACCCGTCGAACTGCACGTGGTTGTTCTCAAACTCGAAGGTGCGGGAAGCGAGGAGGACTGTGTTCACGTTCACAATGGTGTATCCACTGCAGAAGTATCGTACTCGCAGTCTGGCATGACAAATTTTACTTTCTACCTGATTCAGCATGACAAACTGCGTTTTTGCTTTTGCGGAAATTTGTCATGCGATTCCTACTAAGTACGACGCTTTTGCAATGCATATGGTGGTTTCCGACATTTGGAGCGGTTTGTTCTGGCCAAAGGACATGAGTTCGGAGTACATGGCGAAATAGGGAGAGGAAGACCTGTAGTAGATTTTGGTGTCTTTTGATGTCTTTTAAAATAGAGTGGAGGCGGAAGGGTACTTAGGAAGACAGCTGAGACGAGGACTGCGCATGGTGGTGGAGTCGTAAATGAACTGGGCGGTCTACTTCCCATTCATTCAAAAACGTCAGCACAAACGCAATAAACCTCATTTTCAATTTTAGTGAACTACTGTCACGGAACTACAGAAGCACAAGCTGCACTATACTTTTTCTTATAGCTCGTCTCTTCCGCGAACTTCTCCCCAAGCAACAACGGGTCGCAGTTGTTCCAGAAATTTCCGCACAATTCCTCCACGTACGTATCCCCAGACTCCTGCTTCGTCGCCTCCAATTTTCCCTCTTCCACCAACATTCGATGCGAAAATTTACTGTTCACCGATTGATTGCTCATCTTCAATTCCCCGTTCTGGTCGTTATAGAACCCACTCCCCCGGTATCCACAGAAAAAAAACCATCCACATCCATTTTTTGCGTGACAAACACATGCCTTGATGTGTGTTTTGCATGACAAATTGGATGTGAATGGGTTTTTTTCTGTGGATACCCGGTTCATCGCGAACTTCGGATTGTAGCCGAGACACAGAGCCAGTTTGAACAAAAGAAATTTGTCATCCGTGAACAGTTTGTTGGTCGTCCAAAAGGGGGAGATGAGTCTGTACGCGCAGTCTTCCCCGTTATACCCCCGTTCTTTCACCATCAAACCGAGATACGCTTTGACATTCTGGTCCGCGCCGCCGACTAACTCCTTCGCTAAACCGTGTTTTTCCAGGTACACATGCGCCCTCTATCCTGATTAAAAACGTCCCCACACCAGAGTCCAGATGGGATATCTGGTAGACAAATCCACTAGCTTTCGTTGTTTGGCATGACAAGTTTGTCCTCGTAGTGTAAACCTGTTTAGCCAGTTCAGAAGCATCACAGATCTAGCATAGCATGCTGATCCTAGCATCACAAATTCCAAAACACGAGTAGAAAATACTTCTCATAGAGCTCCGCATGATGAACTTTCTTGGCATACAGACATGCATGACAACTACGGAGTGGGGATGTTTTTACACGGGATACCCTTCTCGCCGCGTTCATTTTCTCCTCCGGCTTCAACTTCTGATCTTCCGTCAGGTAAATACAGTGCTTCCAACCCAAATACGCGTTCACCAGCGCCGCGTGGTCGGAGTTGAACCTGTCGCCTAAAAAGTTCCGCCCGCCGCGTGTTGTATCCATGCTCTCCTTCTTGATGTCGAACGGCGACTTTTGGCCCATGAAGCTCAACGCGCACAGAGTCGGTAACAACACCCCGAAAATTGCGCTGTAGCTCATCGCGAGAGTCGCGCAGGGGTGCTGCGGGACGTTCCCGAGCCACTGGCCTAGATCGGTCAGCTGGTACTTGTAACTTTGTCCGTCGTTCGTGACGGCGAGTTCGATGGCGCCGAGGTTCTCGAGCACTTCGATTCCAGATAGGACTCGGTCCTCCGGCGGGACGGACACCGTGCGCTTGAAAAACTCAATCGGGTCCCCGAGCTTCAGACACATTTCCTGGAGAATATGTTCCTCCAATGAGTTAGAGAGAATCTCGGGGAACTGGTGGTCTTTCATGGTCGTCAGCATGTACTCCGGGTAGAGGTGGATGCAAATCCCCTCTTGACAACGACCTGGGGAGGTGATTCTTTGACTTTGGATGGCGTTTTGTTAATAGCTGACCATCGAAATTTTAATCTTATTGTAGTGCGATGCCGTACTAAAAGTAATGAGTCCACCTTGAAAGAAATCTGTATTGCAAAATAAATCACATCAGTCTATACCTGCCCTCCCCTTCCTCTGTGTGTTATTCGCTTTTGAAACCAACTGCCCTTCCAAAACTCCCGTCATCCGCTGCGAGTCGTAAACCATCTCTTTCGCAATGCCCGTGTTTAGCACGTAGACAATGTCTATCCAGTGCAAAAGTATCGTACTCGTAGCAATTGCATTTATGCATTACAAATCCCTTTCTCAATGTAAATCAGCATTACAAATTCAAACTTGTAATGCTGGGCTAATTTGTGATGCAATTTATACTAGTACGATGCTTTTGCATTGCATAATGTCGCTGATCGTCACACTCGTTTCCGCAATGTTCGTCGACAGAATGATCTTCCGCCTTCCCGTATCAAATGCAAAAATGTCTGGGTCTGGAAGAGTGCCAGACTTGTCATGCAGGTTTTCCATGACCCATGACGCCTGTAATGCATAACCTGGTATCACAGATTTTTAGCGGGCATTCTGATGCCTATCCCGCATGAGAAATAAGTTCTCTCTCCATGTGGCACAAACTGGACCCCTCTTGCTGGTCACGCAATACAGATTTCTGTAGAATGCAGAGACACCAGCATCACAAGTTGCAATCTTCCAGACCCAGACATTTTTGAATTTGGTATCCCGGCGGCGCCGGGTCGAACACCTGGTGTTGCTCTTCGGGTATCAACTGCGAATGCAATGGCAAGATGTGGTACTTCCGTTTCTCATCGTCAATCAACCCCTCGTCGATCTCTGCTTTCCGCAAATCGTCGCCCACATCGGAAATGTCCTTCCACCCGGGCAGGAAAATCAAAATCGACCCCCGGCCGTTTTCGTTTTTAATCATCGATCTCGCGTCCGTGTCGATTTTCCGGACCATTTCGATGATTAATTTCCGTTTCTCGAAGTTGATGTACTTGTAGTCGTCGATCACCAAGGAGCGTAGCGTCTTTTCACTGTACTCCTTCTCGTCTTTTAGCGAGTATAATTTCTCGTCGATTTCCTGCAATTGCCGATTCGTCACCGCGGAGAGTTTGTCTGTGTTTGCCAAGACGCATCCCGTCCACTCCAACGCGTCCTCTAAGTAGTATTCCTTGATTGGAAAACAACGGCTATCAAATGCAAAAGTGTCTGGGTCTGGAAGAGTCAGAGTGCAAGTTTGTCATGCTTGTCTGGCATGACTCGAGAATCTGTGTTGCATAGGCACGAAAAGGCCCTCTTACCTGTCATGCACGAACGCAGTTTTCCATGCAGAATACGTAGGACATTGCAGCCAAAAAAATTGTCATGCGTAGCTGCGTATTGCATTGCGTCTATCATTTTTCCATTTTAGCATTACAAGTTTCCAGACCCAGGACAATTTGCAATCCATAACGGCCTTCAAAGGACAAAACCGAGTCGTAAGGCGGGACGGTGGAGTTGTCGTGTTTTCCGTGATATGCAGTGCAAAAGCAAGTACAACTATCGTGCTGCTAGTAGTGATTCTAGTATGAGAAATTTTCTCAGCGACGTGACAAATGGAATTTTTCATGGCAAATTGCTTAGGAAACCAGATTTGTGTTTGTCATGCATGGATCACGATTGCAATTACTTCTACAAGCACGATATTAGTTTTGCACTAGATACGTGAAGCATTTCCCCCGTGAATTTCGTCAGTCCCACGTCGTTTTCCTTCATCCGTAAAGGCCGGAAGAAGGGGACGAAGGTGGATCCCGCGAAGGTGGCGGTCATTAAAATTAATTTAAATCCCGGGTTCATCTCCCCCTTCATCAACTTGTCTTTGATCGTGGTCAGTAAAAACTCCGAGTGCACGTCCCGCTCATGCACTTCGTCGATCACCAAACATGCACACCTTCGCAACTTCGGGTCCTCGAATAACCGTCTCAGAACCACCGCAGTGGTGCAGAAGACGAGTCTTGTCGTGATGTCATCCGTTTTGTTGTGGTACCGGATTTGGTACCCGACTTCCCCGCCGACGATGGTGTGGCCGCGCTCCGTCGCGATTCGCTCTGAATTCGTGATAGCCGCTATTTTTCTCGGCTGGGTGACGATGACGTATTTGCCCTTGGGAACGACTTGGTGGTCGTCCATGAGAAATTGCGGAACCTAGTGTTTTGAATAAGTAAAAAGTTGGTGGGGATGAAATCAATGCGCCGGCTGCTCGCTCAGCAGCTCCTGTTGCACATTATGCGCGGATGATCATTTTCATTTGGAGATGGCGACGCTGCGTCTCCAGCATGACCACGGGGATCTTCTTTTTTCCGGTTCTTTTCCGTTTTCGCAATACAAATGTCCAATAACATCATCGCTCCTTTAATACCTGTGTCGTCTTTCCGCACCCGGTCTCGCCGCAAATGATCGTCACGCGGTTGTTTTTCACGTGGTTCAAAATTTGCTCCTTGTACTTCATCACAGGCAATGCTTCGGCCTTCTTGCTCAACCCAGAACGGAGCTGCTTCAAAGTTGGCTTTTCCCACTGGGTAATACGAAGGCCGCGATGGTGGTAGAAGCACTGATGTTGTTTTGGTTGGGACGAAATGTAAAGAAAAAGATTTCATTTGTCGATTCGGTGTGCGACCACGATTTCAGCATGACAAAACCTGAGTTATATTGGTTTCGACATCACATCAGCAACACAAATTTCAATTTCCATCAAACTCGCATGCTTCATCATCTTAGTCTTACCCTCTCCCCCAACTTAAAGATCTCCCAGTCTTGCCCTAGCACCTCCTCGTCCTCCGGCTCAGTGTCGTCGGATTTCGTCGATTTCGCGTCGTCATTATCGTCTTCGTTTTTGTCCCTCTTTATGTGGTCCTTCATTTCTCCAGTGAGATCCGAGGTCCGCTTTTTCATCGCACTTGTTTTTTTCGTCAATTCAGCGGCTGCATGATCTCCAGCTGGCTGTGCCGCTTTTGACGTCGGTAGGGATTTTCTTCGGCTCTCGGCTAGGTAAGAATCCGCGTCTTTCTCATCTTCAGACTTCGTGTCCTCCGGCACTGGAGGCTTCTTCGCCGGAACGGGAGGCGGCGGTGCGGGCGCAGTGGAGGTCTTGTTCTCTGTGTTTGTCGTGCCTGGTGCTGGCACTACGCTGCTATTCATCCCCTTGTGGTCCTTCGGCGGTGGCGGCGGAGCTTTCGCTCTTTTCGATTGGTTTTGCATTTCCTCCTCCAATGAGCTAATGCCGTCTTCTTTGCTATTGCTTCCTTCCTCCAGTAAATTTGGCTTCCCAGTTTTCGACGTAGTTCCAAGAGTAACCACATTGAGCTTCGAGTCACTGTTCGACGCACCAGCAGCAGCTACTTGTTCCCCAGATGTTGGCAACAGACCATTCAAATCATGATTCCCTGCTTCCTCCTCCGGACTAGAAGCGCTCGGCAGAGAGGGCGGTGGTGTCGGCTCCACTGGTAACCCGAGCATCGCCGCAATTGTCGGGTCGATCTTATCTTCCTCCTCCGCAATTTTCTTCCGCTTTATTTCCGCAGCAGCGTTATTTCCTGCGGACAACCCACCACCAGCTTTCGCCGCGAGCAACTCCGTCATGGTTTTCGGCGGTGGGGGTTTGGCTTTCGCGGTTTTGGAGGAAGTAGCAGCTTTTGATGTCCCGCCTTCTTTGTCCTTCTTTTCAGCTTTATCCGCTTTCGACTTGGTTTTCACTTTTTTTTTCTTCTTCGGCTTCGCTTTTATCGTCAATAGATCCGATAGTTTCATACTCGTTTTCGCGATCGGTGCGGTAGACGGGGCGACGGTCATGGTACACAGGTCCGTTGCGCCTAGTAAATCCAAATGCATCTTCTCCACCGCGGTTAAAGCCTCCGCTTCTTTCGGGATAGAGGATATTGGTGGAGCTACTGCAACTGGGGCGCCATATCCCGCTTTCATTTCTTCCTTCTCCCTCTCCTCCTCCTCCCTTATCTGCTGCACCTGATACTCATCCTCGGGCGGCAGAACCTCACTTGCTTTGTCCGCAAATTCTGGATTTGATAAGACTTGCAACTTCAGCATCTCCGCCCGGTTGACCTCCTCAATGACTTCCAACTCCCCAATCTCGTTCTCCTTTTCGAAGTATTGCTCCTCCCGCTTTTGCTTCTCCTCGGTGAATTTCGTTTCGAGATTTTTGATTTCCTCTTCCGCCTTCTCTTTCTCGCTGTCGGAGATATCCTCGAGGAAATCCATATCAGCAAAAGTGTCTAGTACGTCGTCCTGAGAGATTTCGTTTTTGTTCTCGTGGTCTTCAGATGCGGCTAGTGCTGCCATTGCGTCGTCGTCGTGGATATTTCTGCTCCTCTTGTTGCTGACGCTGTTTGATGTTGTTGCGCCAGGCATAGAACTGGATTTCGCCTTCCCACTCTGATTCTTATCCGGCAAGTACGGGACCAAGCCGGCGGAATTATTGTTCATCGTGCTGTTGCTTCCAAAATCCCCCGCCCTGTTCCTCTTGTGTGGCACGAATTCCGCGAATTCCAAGCCCCCCACAGGCCCGCCGAAGTGGTCGAATCCCATGTTTCGGTCCCGTGGGTGCCGGTTTGAGTTTGTGTTGTGGTCGAAAGAATTCGATGAGCCAAAGTTGTTCCTGTCTCGTGATGGGGACCGTCGGCTCATGTTCATCATACCATGTTGACCCCCGCCAGCACTGCGATAATTGTTGTTTTGCTGATGCCCCCCGCCTCCGAACCCCCCATGGTGTGGTCCTCCAAACTGCTGCCTTGTGACAGCGTTGCTGTCGAAGGCTGATCTTGACCTAGGATGGTCGAAATTATTGTTCCCGCCGCCCATACTATCCGGAGGTTGAAGACCACCGCCACCACCTCTACCGCGGAGTGGGATCAGGCCCCCTCGAGGTGGCTGATGCTGGAGATCATCGTTCGAATTTGACCGGGAGTTGAAGGCATCGTAGGAGTTGTTATTGGACTGTCCGTGGTGGCCCCCACCGCCACCATAATTGTGCCCGTTATTTCCACCCCCTCCTGCGTTCGGCCCTCTTGTGATCACCAAAGGCATATTGGAAGTCCTGTCGTGCTGACCTGGTAAAAACGTCCGCCGCATGTTGGTCGGGCGGTCGGTGGGGAGGGCGGCGTTGTGGTGGCTATTCCCTCCTCGGTTGCTGCTTCCCCAATCGTGCAAAGGGCGCAGTCGGGGCGCCCCGGCCTTGGAGGACGCACCCTGCACATTGTAATTGTCGCTATGGTGACCGCGCATTTTTTCTTGTGGGGTAGGGGTCGGGAGAAGTTGTATTAAGTGGTAGGAAGGACAATTTCGTTAGGTCAAATAAGGGTTGGAATTCGGATGAGGGCGGGAGAAAAAAAAGTTGTAAAAAAATTAAACATCGACAGCGTCGACGTCTAGTGGTGGAGTAAATGATAACTCCGTGAATCAAAAAATTTCTAAAGGCGTCGAGTGATACTCTACTACCTGCTTGCGCGGTCTACTGAGGACGCGTGTAGTGGTAGTTGCCTGTGCTGTGTCGCCGGTGTGAGTGTCAAATTACAACTTTCAACATCTAGTAAGTGAACAGACTAAACCTAGAAGGAACTTGTCGTTGCAAAAGGTGAATCAATGGTGCCATCGGATGATCATGTTCGAAATGTTTTTGACCCGGGTCAGGATCAGGATCATCCTACAACAAATGATGAAGATCAAAAATCATCTGCGTAGACCTCTACTCTTCATGTCGTGGTCGTGAATGAAACAAATACAAAAATTGCGGGGCTAATGAAACAACACGACGAGGACGAGACCTTCGGAGCACTGAACTGCGACCGCCAATTTTTGCTTCAGGATTCTTGCAATCGAAACAAACCAAGCAGCACAGGGGGATAGAGAACACCGCGCCGGAAGACGACCCAGATGACAGAAGCGTCTCCAAGCAGGATGAAAGCTTCATTGTTTGTCTTGTTTCAGTGCTACCCGTCACTTCCTTGTGTACTGTGACTCCGCCAGTAACAAGTCGCAGTACTAGTCTTGCTGCGTAACGACCATAGATGTTCTACTTGTTCACGGCCAGTACTACTAACAATCACAACAGTTGTACGTACTTCTCTCTTCATCAATCTTCCATCCCTCCGCCGACATCGTCCCGCATCCTGGTTCCAAAAATCCCCTCCCTGGCTCTCGCATTCGAATCTTCAAACACAGTGGGCGCGATTTCGCTTAACCAGTTCGGATCGATTGCCGTGACGTGTTGGATAAAGTGCTCTAACTGTCCACCTCCCTGTCCGCTTCCCGCGCTCGTCGTGTTACAGGACAGAAACACGACGCAATTTGGATACGTGCTGATCCCGTTCGCCGGGTCAAACAAAAAGGACTGCTGGTCAATTTTGAACTTTGTGAACGCAGTCCGCGAGCCCCCGATTTTGCTCGCGTTTCCGGCGGAGAAAACTGAGCTGTAGTTCCCCTCCTGCGTCTTCACACAGCAGTTCATGAACATTGACTTCGCGACGCACTTCTGCAACTCCTCCAACTGTCGTTTTTCCGGTGATAAGAGCGGTAGTTGTTTCGCGAGGGTAACGTTGTCAGAGACGGAGAGCTTCCGGAGCATGTCGCTGTACTTAACCTTCGCGTGCTTGTCCGGGAAGAGTTTGATATCAGCGAATAACAGTTCCGGGAGTAGTATCAAATGTAAAAATGTCTGGGTCTGGAAGAATGCAAGATTTGTGATGCATGCTTTCCATGACCCCTGAGGTCTGGAATGCGAGACCCAGCATGACAGATTTTTTGCCGGTATCTTGATGCCTGTCCGCATGACAAATGCCCTCTCCGCAGAGCAAAAACTGGACGCCTCTTGCTGCTCACGCAATACACTTTTTTTTAGAATCCAAAATCAGCATGACAAGTTGGATTCTTCCAGACCCAGACATTTTTACAGTTGATAAGTAGTTTTGTCACGACGAAACTCGTCAACTGTCTTCTCAACCTTGTTATGCTGCGCAAAAGTATCGCACTCGTAGTAATTGCAGATATGCATGACAAATCTTCCTCCTAAGGTGAAACAGCATTACAAATCCCACTTTTCTTCTTGCCAAAATTTGTAATGCAATTTATGCTAGTACGTTACTTTTGCAATGCATACTCGCAATCTGCATCAGGACTTGCTTCTTTAACAGATATTTGTTGCAAAACTCCGTGCTGTCCTTGTTCTTCTGGTTGCCGTATGGATTGGAAAGTTGTCTGGGTCTGGAAGGATGCAACTTGTGACGCTACCTTTGGACTCTACATAAAAGCTGTATTGCATGAATAGCACAAGAGGTGTCATTTGTGCTACGTGGAGAGGGCATTTCTCATGCGGTATGAGCATCAGAAAGCATTCGCAAAATCTCTGATGCTAGGGCCTGCATCACAGACCTCATGGGTCATGCAAAATCTGCATGACAAACCCCTGCATTCTTCCAGACCCCGACATATTTGCATTTGATATGCCGCTGGAGGTATTTTCTCCCCCGTGCTCATCCTCCCACTGGTAATAGACGTTTAGTAATGAGATCAAATCCCCTTCTTTCACCCCCAAAGACTGCTTGCAGGCGAGCAGCCTTGCTTTGGACTTGTGGGATTCTTGAAAAACGGAGTTTGATGTTGACGTAGCTTGGTGTAAGACCATCGCGAGAATGGTGAGGCAGTGCGGGAGTAAATTGTCCGATTCGGTGAGGATTCTGTCGAGTTCCTTTTTGGGTGTCGTCGTGGAGTTCAACAGTGCTTGTTTTTTCTTTTCAAACTCCTCTTTCTTCACTCTCGGGTTTTCCCGGTTTTTCTTTTGCTTTTTCTTCTTATCGTCGGTAGTGAGGAAATCCAGGCCTTGTTGGTCATTGTTTTCTTCATCCTCTGCATTAGCGTCGTCGGGATTCTTCAGAAATCCGTGCTTGTCGTATTTCCCGTCGGGTTCTTCAGCCGTACTACCGTCTGCATTCATTTTCTGACCTTCGATTGTAAACCGGCAAATCCTATCCGCCGACCAAAATTCCGCCTCGATCACAGCGAAGAGAAATTTCACCAAGTGTAAATTCGGCACAATCGCGAATACCTGGGCGGCGAGGATTCCCCACGGTTGGGTTAATCTCGCGTTGGCGTCGAGGAAATTGAGTTTGTGGAGAGTTTGTAGTGCGTACACTAAGCCCTCTTTCGTCGGCGGAGTGAGGAAGGGGAAGCTGTTTTGGTTGCTGTGCTGCTGATTGATGCTTCCTGTCATATTACGTTGCTCCAACTGCTTTTGCTGCGCTTGCTGCGTCTGACACACCTGGTCGATTCCGAACGATTTCAACCGCAGGAGGCTGGATGTGAAGTCCTCCCGGAGAATCGCGGGCGGGATTTTTTGGTTCGTCGATAAAGCACTTTCGTTTTCAAGTCCGTCTGGATTTTTCGGATTCTCCATAATTCCAGCACCATCTACATCGGTTTTAGCAATACCTCTCTGCTCCAGAAACTCCTCCTTCGTGCATAACCTGTAGCAGTACCCGCCTCCCTCCACTCTTCCCCCCCTGCCCGCCCGTTGGTCGCAGTTCGATTGGGCACAGGGGATGATCGTCTTGTACGTGATCGGAATATTCGTCCCTCCGGTGGTGAACATTTGCCGCATGGTTGGCGGTATGAACTGCAAAAGTATCGCACTCGTAGTAATTGCAGTCATGCATTACAAGTCTTTTTCTGAAGGTATATCCGCATTACCAATTTCACTTGTCATCATGCTGAGAAAATTTGTAATGCATTTATACGAGTACGATTCATTATCATTTGCAATTCATAGGCGGGAAGAAGCAGGGAAGTTTGACGAAACAACAGTCGATGACAAAGCGGATCCCGGGGATGGTGACCGCTGTTTCTGCTAGATTTGTGCTCACGATGATTTTTCGGATCTTCGTTGCGGAACTGTACCCTGACTCCTCATTATGAACCGCGAAGGCTTCCAACTGCTCGTCAAAGCTCATCCCCGCGTAGAGGCCGCAGACGCGGAGGAATTTTTTCTCATGTAGATTTGAACGTAGAGGATCACCACCACCGCGACGATTCCCTTCTCTGGAGTCCGACCTTCTTCTCCGTCCATGGTGGTCTCGGTTTCTTTCCCGCTCCTCCCGCGCAATTTCCTCCTCATAGAGGTCTTCTTTTGTCAAAACGTACTCGGAAAACTCTTCTTTCAACAGCTGCAAGCACACGTGCACCTCATCCGCCCCCGTGACAAAACACAAAATGTCGCCGTCTTTGGTTTTCTTGCCAGCAGCAGCGCCTGTGTTATCGTCAGTGCTAGATGGGAACAAAATCTCGTTACACACCTCCACAATCTTTTCCAAGTAGTTTCCGCACGGCTCCTCGAGATATTTCACCCGTACCGGAAAGCTCGTTCCTTCGCAGGAGAGGACCGTGTAGGAGAGAGGCTGCAGGGCGGTTGAAGCTGCTGCACTTGTCCCTTCTTGCTTCGCGGCGTGCAACCCTGTTCCTTTCTGCAACTCCTCATGCAACTTTTCCTTCCGCTTCGCGTCCTCCAATTCTTCTAGATTCCCGCTCCCCACATCGAACCCCGAGACTTTGTTCGACGCTTTTACTTTTCGCCGCTTTCTGATCGGCGCAGAGGAAGATGATGAAGTTGCAGCACCAGCACGAGGACTCCCTTGCGCCTGATTTCTTTCATCATCTCCCTCTTCTTCCGACACCAACTCCATCTCCTGCAGCATCTGGTCCTTTACCAACTCCTGGCTAATTCTTATCCCTTCGTTCCACTTCTCCAAATACCCGACAAACTCCGTCACGTCCAACGTCGCGGAGGTGATGATGATTTTCAAATCGTTTTTTCTCACCTTCTTGATCTTCACCAACATCCCAAGTAGCAAGTCCTGCGCCACCGTGCGCTCGTGCGCGTCGTCGAGGATGATCACGGAATAATTCAGTAAAAGCGGATCGTGGACCAGTTCCTGGAGGAGAATTTCATCTAGGAGGAACACAATCCCCGGGGACAGGTTCGACTCGTTTATTTCCGTTTCTACACTGGTTCCCTTCGGATTCCGCCAAGTGAAAGCGGTTTCGTTGCGGACCTTGTAGGCGACGGAGTCGGATTCGAAGAAGGATTTTTGGTCGAGCTGACTCTTATCACAATTATTTCTGCCTCGACTCGCCCCATACTCGTGCTCGGAAATCGCTTCCCGCTCCGCACCGACTCTTTCCGCAAGCTGCAACGCGGCTAACCGACGGCTGACGGTGACGGCGATGGATGGGAACTTCAAGGAATCATTTGTGCTGCTAAAACTCTTGCTGGAGGAGGACGTGCTGCCAGTTGTACTAGTATTATACCCCGCGTCGAGCAGAAACTGCGGCAGTTGCGTGCTTTTCCCGCACCCGGTGCTGCCGATGAGCAAAACCACATCGTTTTCCTCCACCGCGAGCAAGAATTCCTTCTTCTTCTCTTGAATCGGCAGCCGCGTAATTTGGCGCAAAATGGGTAAAGATGACGTCTCATCGAACTTCCAGGGGTGGATTGTGTCGGCGGAAGTGTTGTTGTTGGTTGTATCTCGGCTCTCTTGGAAATGGATGTCCTCCAGCTGTAAAAGCGGGTTTGTGGGACGGTCGTGCGAACGACGATCCCTCCTGTCACCGTCGCGTTCGCGCTGGTTGCGGTAATTGTCGTTATTTCGCCGAGGACCGCGGGGGCCTTCACGCTCCATTTTGAAATGATGATGTTCGAAGTTATTTACAACTAGTGATTCGTGCTACTAGTACTACTTGATGAAATTGGAACAGCGACACAAGAACTCATACGAGGCTTGATGTTGTCGTAAAAGTCGAGTCTTCTGTGTCAGGTTGGGGTCGTTGGAAACAACATTTAGGGCGGGGAAAAATAAAAAACAATGTTCAAAAAAAACTTCCCAGACATAGTGTTACTGTCGCTGGTCAAGAGCGTGAAGAAATCAAAAATTAAGTGGTTACCAAAAAATGTTGAGTCATCATCTCGAGGTACTAGAATACTAATCCATCGCTACAGAAACAAAACAGGTGGTAGGAGCAGTTTGATCATCCAAGTGCATTGCCACACGCAGCAGGTGCAGGGCTGCTGCGGCGGTTACAGCTTTTTGATCTTGTAGTGCAAGTTCACTAGTACCGGCGAAGCGCAGAAACAGATACTGTCGTCCTTCAGAGAAATAAGATCCGTCCAAATAAAGGTGGTGAGCTGTGGTAGTGAGGAGCGGCGAGATCGCGCTCGCCGCTGTTCGAACTCGAAATTTTTCAGCGTCATCAAGGGCAATAGTGGACTAGAAAAGCAAGAGTCAGCAGGAGAACTTTCCTGCAAAATTAGAACAAATTCACCACATCAGATTTGCCAAAAAGGCTAGTAGGCGGTTGCGGTTCTGCTTCTGGCGCGACAAACTCCAGCCCGCTGCATTAATGATGGGAAATCAATGTTTATTGGCGCACTATAGTCTTCCTATCGAATTATTTGAAACGCGGCGGAAACATCTGCTCATAACTAGTACCCATACAGGTACTACTGTGTTTCTTCTATCTGCTTCGTAGTTGTTCTCGTTCCTTCTGTTTGTTCATTATTTTTTCAATGTCTTTTTGCAGCGGCTCATTCTTCTCAAGCCGTTTTCGCCATTTTTCGTCGATTGGAACCTCCACGGCGGCCTCCTCACCAGTCGCATTCATTTCGCTCGCCCCTGGCGGACTACTCGCGGTCTTCGACAGACTGGCACTTTCGTCCTCGTCTTCCCCTAAGCTGCTGGAAAACGACAGTTCCCCGTTGGTCCCGTTATCTTCTTCCAGGAACATGTCCCGCTGTTCCCGCTCCTCACCATCTTCGTCGATCATGCGCAGTAGCTTTTCCTTCTGCTTCATGCATTGCAAAAGTATCGCACTAAGCAGCAACTGCATGACAAATTCGCATTCGTATGAAAAAAGCAACTTGTAATGCTGATTTTGATCCAGAAGGACGTTTGTCATGCAGGATTGCAATTACGTTTACGTCCGAGTACGCTACTTTTGCGACGCATATGTTTCGAGATGTCGTGTTTTTTCGCGTAGGGGTTCCGCCAGGTGTAGGCACCGGTGACGCGGTTTTTCCAGTAAAATCGGCCCTTTTTCTTCGTGGACTCCACTTTCTCCCACTCATCCGCCGTTACCAGCTCACTAACAACTTCGTGCCGGATCTTCGCCTTGCCCACGTCGTGGTGGAGAAAGAATTTCTATGAAAGTGCACAACTACCCCATCCCCCTCATTTGTCATGCAAAATTCCAAATCCACCCTTTGCCTGTTAATACTGTTTGCATGACAGATTCCGGAATAATCGAATTCCAAAACAGCACGACTACAAAAATCCTCTAGGAATTTGTCGTGCGAAAGCTGCATCTTTGCCCGAACTTGTGTTGCTGTTCATGCAACACGAATGAGGGGCAGGGGGAGTTGTGCACTCTCATAATTTTCCGTTCTTTTGCGACGTGTGCTCGCCCTTGGCCAGAGCCTCGCGTGCGATGGAGCCCCGCTTGGTCGCTTTCTCGTTGTACTGGTACCTGTAAAGTTGTGGTTGTTCTATTTTTTGGTGCATTTTATTTATTTCCCGCATGAAGTTGAAGAGCATCATGAGGATGAGCTGCAGGCTTTGATGGTATTTTAATTTTTACGCTGCCGTGGCAAAACGGCATGACATCAACATTTTGTCATGCCAACACCACAATTCAAAAAAACACGTATACATTCCGACATCCTTCCGCACCAAGTCCTTCCTTTTATCCAGCTCATCAGGCTGCAAGATTTCGATCTTCTTCGCCTATCCTCTGGAAAACAAGTACCGTACTCGTATTTCGCAGTCATGCAAGACAAATCTCTTTTCTGAAGCCAAATCCGCATGAGCAATCGCATTTGCCATGCTGAACCAATTTGTGATGCAACTAGAACTACCAATACGTAGTACGATACTTTTGCAATGCATATCACCTCCGTCTCCTTAAAGAAGCTCGCCAGGTATTTTTCCTCGTCCGTCATTTGCGACTCATCGGTGGACACAATCCTTTATCAATTGCAAATATGTCTGGGTCTGGAAGGTGGCAACTTCTCATGGTAAATCTGAAGCATGCAAAAATCTGCGTTGCATGAGTGCCAAAAGCTGTCCACTTTTGACCAAGTTGGAAGGGAGTTTGTCATGTAGGATAGGCATGACAGAGACCTCGCAGAGCCTGTCATGCTAAGTCCCGCATTCCAGAACTCATGGGTCATGGAAAATCTGCATGACAAGTTTACACTTTTACAGACCCAGACATTTCTGCACTTGATATCCTTTTTCCACCCACATACCGCACCGAACTCCGGCTCATTGACAACGCCAGCGGGTTGTATCACAGTGCACCACTCCCCCTCCCGCTCATTTGTCATGCAAAATACCCAGTCCAGCCTTTGCCTCTTGGCACTGTTTGCATGACAAGTTCGGGTAGCCCAAATAGCACTACAATCCAGTAGGAATTTGTCATGCAAAACCGGCACTCTACTTTGTATTGCCACATATGCAATACAAATAAGGGGAGGGGTGGTTGTGCACCGTCATAGGTTGTCTGCGTGGTCTCCTTGCTGCAGAAGCCTGTTTTGATGTTGTAGTACATCGCTGGTCGTGCCCAGCTGAAGCATCTCCGTTTCCGAAGCACTGGAGTCCGGCGTCGTTCTCGTCCGGAAGTGACTCCCCTCGATGGGTGGCGGGGGGACGGGCGCTATGCTAGTACTCGAACTCGATGTGTTGGTGCCTCCGGATGTACCTCCTCCGAGCGGTACAACTAAGCCCGTGGATCTTATCGTCTGATGCAGTCCCGCGCCGCCAGTTCTGGAAGAGGAGGAGCTCGAGGAAGTTGTTGCACCTCCAGGTGGGGAACCGGCTGGAAGGGAAAACGGTTGGTGAAGCTGGTCCGTGTAGTAGAGGTTATCGCCGCCTGCTACGCCTTCATCATCATCGTCTTCTGGGGGTAAAAGCCGCTCTTCTGTACTGGGTTTGTACCGAGCTTGTGGTCCTGCCGGGACAGCAGCAGAAGCAGAACCAGCTAAAGCCGGGAGGTTGTTGTTTTTCAGAATGCTCGGGCGGCTAGTGCCAGCTGATCCACTGTTTTGAAACGTTTGTTTATTCCTCGTATCCGTCTCCTTCACCGGACTGATTCCGGATTCGATCCGCTGCTGGTCTAGCGCGGCAGCGATGGACTTATTTTTCTCGGGTTTCGTAACTCTCCCACCTGTATGAATTGCAAAAGTATCGCACGGACTCGTATAAATGCATTCCAGAGCATGAGAAATAAAATTTGTAATGCTGATTTACCTTTAGAAAAAGTTTTGTATATGCATGATTGCAATACGAGTACGATACTTTTGCAAGGGATAACCTGTTGTCGCGTCTGATTTTCCGAATTGTTCCATCCCCGGCAGCATGGTAGCGGAAGAAGTGGACATCGGGAGGGAGATGTATGAAAGCCTCAGAATGGAAATTCTCATCAAAGTGGAAATAATTTGTGATGCATGAAATTCGACACCAAAAAGACTGTATTGCAGAGAACGCACTTGAGGCCGACTACTGTGCCTCTACGGCTTCAGAATTGGGCTGCTGATTAGCACGAGAGAAGGGCACCCCTTTGCCTAACTAGCATGACAAACCCGCTTTGAGTACCCGGGAAATTTGTCATGCGCCGATTAGAAATGGTGCTTCAACTGGAGTCGTTTTTTTGCATTACAAATTATGTTCACTTTGAGGATTTCCAACCTGAGGCTTTCATAAGATGTGGATCGGCCGTTGGTCTTCGATCGCGTGCTCCGCTGCGTAGTTCATCCCGATGCTGTTTGGACTCGAATCGAGAATGCTGATTCCTTATGCATTGCAAAAGTATCGCACTCGTATAAATGCATTACAAATTTCCTCAGCATGAGAAATGAAATTTGCAATGCTGATTTGCCTTAACAAAAAGATTTGCAATGCATGACTGCAATACGACGAGTACGATAGTTTTGCACATGATATTTCTGGCTGTATCTTATTGTTTCGCTGGTCTTCGGCATCTAACCGCGGTCGCCGCCAGAAGTCCGTCCAACCACGGATGTTGCCCTTTACCATCTTGGTGGTATGCAATACAAATTTTTTGCACTGCCGTGGTAGTAAATGTAAAAAATATAAAACGCATCACAAATCCTTTGATTTTCATGGGTCATCCAGGAAACAGGAAACACGCGGCCATTTGTAACGCGAAACAAAAAGAGGTGCATTGGTAGTTTTGTCACGCTGCGTCGACGAGATCGTCAACACCGTTTGATTTTGTACGTCTACAACGGCAAAGGCAAACTGTATATTCCGTGGATACTTGATTCGGTCATTGTACTCGCGCAAGGTCTCCATGCCGAGGATCTTCCGTTTCTTCGCGTATGAATTCGTGGCTTTCATCGGGGAAACCATACCCTGTTGAGAGTGGGAGAGTTTCGACTTTCTCATGCGTAGAAGCTATGTTGACAGAGGCAATTTCATCTCATGCTTACTAGAGACGTCAACTTGAGAAAATGTTGAACGAAAATCCAAGTATACTATACCCTGAGCCTCGTCAGAATGGCATGCGGCGACGGCTGTAGGTGCACTTTCCGCGACTTGTTCACTTTCTTGATCGCTCGTGGACTGATGTGCTCTTCATCGAGTGCCTGTACGTACAAGTGGGCTGGGTTTGTTGCTATTTTCGGGTGGGTTTGTCATGCAGCTAGATTCAATTTGTTATAATGAACATGAAATCTTCATGTGGGATTCGTATGTGTTGTCAAAAGAAACCTGCCCTTCTTTCTTACCTTGCTTTTCACCGAGTCCACCGGTATCGGCTCGCTTCCGACGATGTACCAGCAGATGTGGAAAGGAAAAAGATTTGCTTGTGGATGAACAATCTGTCATGCCTAAACCACAAGAGGCTAGTGCTACACTCGGAATTCCTACTAACCTACTAGCTTTGCTTCCTCGATCGCACAAGGAGACCTCCACAGAGAATGGTGGAGCGCCGTCCACACAACCGTGCTTAGTACATGACAACCTTTACAGACAAATTTTGCACCAAATACAAATCCTTTCAACATCCCATACCACGTTATCAAACAGCAGAACAAAATCCCACTGCAGATCAGCACCACGGTCACAAACACCGGCATTCCCTCGCTCTGGTGGCAGATAAACCGGTGGCTGTTAGGTTGGTACGCGTAGTGCCCGGTCGTTTTATGGTAGTGTCAGGATCGAAATCGACAAAGTTGAAATAATTTGTGATGCATAAAATGCAGCCCACAAAGAGCCTGTCTTGCAGACTAGGCAAGTGGGGGTGGGGCTGATTGTAAGCCTTATTTCGAGGGGTAGAAACTGAGCTACTAAAGTAGCATGACAAAAGGCGCCTTGCTTACCCAACCAGCATGACAAACTGGATTTCGGACCTACCCAAATTTGTCACGCAACACTTGGAAACTGGGTTACAACTGGCATCCATTTTATGCATCACAGACTATTTGTTCAGCTCTGTCGATTTCAATCCTGACACTCCCATACGTCTTTCCAGTTCGGTAGAAATTCGGCTGGAAGCAGTCGTCTTCCTTGAACTCGAAAATTTCGAACGCCGACTCGTCGTGCAGTTTGCACTGCTGGGTGGCGGGAAACCGTTGCAGGCGCACCTTGCCGTGGTTACACTCCAGCAGGCGGTAGCCCGAGTAAAACGCGTTTGCGTTTTCGTACAGCGGCCGGGTGGTGCCCAACGCTGGGTTGGACGCGGCGGAGGGGTCGGGGATAATCGGCGCTTATCACAGGAAAAAGTGTTAACGTCAACGGAAACGGAATTTGTGATGCAGTGACGCATAACACCACGTGCCCAATGAATTTGTCATGCATAGAATGCACATGAGGCAAAATTTGCCATGCGTGGCTGCATTCTGTGAAAATCATTAACGTATGCACTTGTTTGTTTGATAGCGTCGGCTGCGTGCTCATCTCCTCTTCGTAAGAAAGGCAGATCTGCTGCTGCCTATCAACTGTAAAAGTGTCTGGGTCTGGAAGAATGCATGTTTGTCATGCTTGTCTGGCATGACTCTTAAATCTGTCATGCACGTTACACAAGAGCTCCATTTTTCTGTGATGCAGGAACGCAGTTTGTCATGCAGAATACGCAACACCTACAAGCTCAGAAACTTGTCATGCTGAGCCAGCATTTGTGGCCTCATCATGAGACGCCACCCAGCATCACAAGTTTCCAGACCCAGACATTTTTACATTTGATACTGCCAGGTCTTGTACGAAAGCCGTTCGGTGAGCTCGAACTGCGGGGCGCAGGCCGTGCCTTCCGGGCCGTTGTAGGATTTTACCTCGGCGACGTCGAGGGCGAATGTTGAGAAGGTGGTCATCAACAGTAGGATGATGGTTGAGACATGATAGCGCAACACCATGGTCGCGGAAGTCGACCTCCGGAGCAGTAGTAGACGCAGAACTGCTGCTACCACGACTGGAAAACTGCAGAGACGCAACCCGGAGCAGTCACATCTTCGACTTGACTGGTTCACTATCGTGCTGCGGCCTCCAAGTGGCTTATTTCGACGTTCCCTAGCTGCAGAAATCCGGCGACGGGTGGGGCGGTAGAGGTATATTGATGTTGTAGTTGACATCTTCTTCATCTTCTTCAACATGCTCTTATTCGCATTAGACAGAGTAGCAAGCTTGTTACGATAGGAATAGCTCGTGAAACTTTCGAAATCATACATAAATAAATGCTCTAGCCCTACCAGTCTAAGTAAGAAATTGTACATGATGAGTTAATGACATAGGAGCCCGGCCGCGGTCGCGGTGCAGCCGCAGTGTAGTCTTCATGCTGGTTGTATACACTTTCGTCAGGTTTTCCGTGCATCCCTCAAGGTGCTCTCGTTCAAAACACCACCCACTCTGCTATTTTGCGACCACTTACTACGATTGTTCATCGTTGTTGATACAACCTCAAGAAAAACTGACAACTCGGAGAACTTCTAGCAAGGGTTCGAATGAAGTCAGAACTCCACGAAATAGAATGCTCAGCAAACGAAGTAGACGAATTTGAATCCGAGTGGAAGAACGGAAAAACGAAAAAAAGATTTGCGACCTTTGAAAACGAACAATGCCGAATGGGCGGGACGACGCAAGGTGGTCGTGCTGTTTTCAACAGTATTACCTCCAAAGTAAAGAACAATGCACTTATGTAGAACATGTTGATATTTCTACTCCCGGACTGTCTTGGTTTTCTTCATTCCGCCACTATCCGCTTCTCACCACAGGTCCTTATCGCTGCCAGAATTTCCTTCCAAAACATTTCAAAGTCCATCCGAAACGCTATAAACAAATTCTTCTCCCCCTCTTCCCGCGAATCAAAATCCACGACGGTTTGCCCCGCGGGGGAAAGGCGGCTGCTTTGCAACGAGCCTGGTCCGGTCGTGGTCACGTCCACGAACACGCGATGCTTTTCCACGAAGCCAAGGGATTGAGGAGAGGAGTAGTTGGGCAACGTTGGAGCTGCAGCAGGGCCGCTTTGTTGTTCCCCATCTCCATCCTCTCCATTTTGCCTTTGGCCTCGGTCATCATCCTCCCGTGCTACTTCATGCAGATTCAGGTACTTTTCCCTATCCTTCTCGTTCCGAAAAGCCTCGGGAAAGAGGACAAAAAAGACGGCAATCGGATCGTGTAAGGGGTACTGATTCTTCGCCGCATGTCCGTACCGCTCGAGATTCAGCAACACCTCCGGATTCCGCCAGTTCCCGTAGTTCTCGCCGGCTCGGCGCAGCAGCTGCCGCACGGTCCGAGCCAGATCGGGCTCCTGGTAGTTTTCTTGGGATGTTGAAAAAATCTGCGCAACTCGGGTCTCGAAGTCCGGGCCGGCGAGCGCTAGTGTCGTCAAATCCAGCGGCACCATCAACGCCGTCCGGATCTTTGCGCAGTAATATGCATTGCAAAAGCGTCGTAGTAGTACTAGTAGAAATTGCATCACTAATTTGGTCAGCATGAAAAATGGAATTTGTGATGCTTGTTAGCTTACAAAAATAGGTCTGTCATGCATGAATGCTGCCGTTACTACGAGTACGATACTTGTTTTGCAGAGGATATGTAGACCTCGATCACCATTTTGGCGGCTTCGGGAGGGTGTGGAGGGGGGGAAATGGTTGTGGTTTCAAAGGAAGCAGGACTAGATTTAGAATGAGAGTAAATTTGGCTTTCGTGGTCCAGCATGATTAGATCGGCACTATTGATACAGAGCAATCTTCTAGTTGTTTCATTCTGGAACCGCTGGTTGACGATGACCACGTTCTTGTCTGAAGTACTAATGCCAAGGCACAAGTGCAGCCCTTCTACTTTCTTTTTCGATGTGAAATCCCAGATTTTTGAAGTAACTCTGGCCCTTTCATGCACTTTCAAGTACGAAACCTGCGGTAGAAGTGATAGAAGAAAAACTACATCACAAGCTTTTCCCATTTCGTAAATCGCAGTGACAATTAAATTCCACCGCGGAGTTGATATTTCCCAAAGCAACCGCCCCGCCCATGAAAACGAAGCCGGCCAGGTGGCCGCAGATCTTGTCGCCATACAGGCTGAACAGGAGCGCGGTGTTCGTTAGCGGCCCGGTACATACCAGCCAGGAGGTGTGTCGCGGCGTGGACAGAATCGCATCTCGCATCGCTTCCACGGCGTGCTGGTGTTTGTGTATTTTTCGCAATTTTTTGCTTTTCACTACTAGAGGGCAAAACATGCGAATCTTGTGCAGCTCCAGCATTACTACAAGCAGCAAGCCAAGGTCAACGGTATCCATTCTCGTCCGGTCGTGGCGCTACAGTTGAAGAATCTTCTAGTAGTACATTGTCTGTACCTTGTTCTTCCCGCCGCCCAATTGCAGCTGCTCCTCTGAATTGTAATTCTCGAGCCGAATCTTTCCCAGCGTGTCGGTGCCATCTAGGCCGGTGTCCCCATGTATATGGTCGGCAAACTTCGGGTCCCGCAGTAACGGTCGACTCGCCCCGGGGTAGACAGGGTAGTCTTTTCCCTTTCCCGCCAGGTACAAAATCTTGCGCGCATTGGTCGTGGTTTTCGCCAGATTGACGTTTCCAGCCACAGTGCTGACGCCGAGGAGTTCGGTGTTAAAGGTAGTAGAAGTGTTGGCAACGGCGAGGATCAAGGCGATGGCGTTGTGTATCGACGTGGGAAATTGAAGATGAACCTTCAATGGATCGCTGAACATTTCCATTATCTTTACACACACGACATCGACCTCTACAAAAATTATGCCCTATTACACCCGCGACCAGCATCTGTAGCAGGAGCCGTAGTGCATTCATTATCATTGCACACTTTTGCTGCAGCTGTTTCTTTCCAAGTTGTCGTGCTGTGTGCGGCAATTTACAAATTGACATCCATGATAGCACTCTTATTTTCCCGTAACCTATCGTCCACACCCGGATCGCAATCGTACCAGAGGTACTTTTTCTTCGAACTTGGACCTGGCTGTGTTCCATTTTCTGCGCCAGGGCCACTGCCCGTCGAAGTAGACGATGTCATGGTTGCCGTACAACTAGCGGTGGCGCGAATCAGAGTGAGGCGAGATCGAGGGAACAAATAAAAACCGCAGCCCGCACTACGGTGTGTGTTTCCACCCCCAATTTTCCACGGGAACTCCTGGTGGTGCTGTCGAAAACAAGACCGGCTCAATGTGTAGTCACGAGCGAAGCAAGCATTTTTACCATGGTTGTACCCAATTTGACCAAGTAGCCCACGCAGTTCGGCGGGCCTGGTAGTACCGCCGCAGATCCGTCGACACCTCTGGGACGAGGACCGCTCAATGACACACTTTTAAATCCTGGACGAGGCGCTTGCTGTGCTAAGTGAAGCACTAAAAGCCACGGCTCTAATATTCAAAATATGAGTGCGGTCTGTTCTGCGGCGAAACGAAAAGCGAGCAGCGGAGGGAGCAACAAAAAGCATGCGTTTTCTGCGCTTCTTTGTCGACGTTGTGTGCGACCTACTGGGCGGACTCCATGCTCCATGGTTTATGTAGAATATGACGAGGTGACAACTGAAACTGTTAATGTCCTGTAGTACTGCAGATGAAGATCTGGAGCAAGTGGTTGAGGATCTCAAGATCCTTTTCCTTGTGCTGATCGTGCCGCTCATCTACCTCTCTCGTTGTGCTGCATTTTTGAGGACGCGCAGAGCTGTAGAAGCACGACCAAGGGCCGCTCCTGTACAACCGGGCGATTCGAACACATCGGCCACACTAAGCGACATGAAGATGTTGAAGTCGGGAAGATGCTGTAGATGAAGTAGATCATCAACGAAATCGCTGATCAAATCTTCAGCCTGTGTCTGTTTGTACGAAATTGTCGGCAGTAGAAGCACGTGGCGCCAGCAAGTTAACCGTGATGGTCATCCTCGGTTAACCAGGGTGAAGACGCGACCTGGTCTGTTGGTCACCAGCCTGAACAGCACACGGAAGCTTGTAGAGTTAGAGTCGTCCTCCGTTCTCGTCGTTCTACGTGCGCAAGCTTGTTAGATAGGACTGCCTTGCACGACCAGCGGCGGGCTTCCGTGATGATCAGCAGCTTGTCTACCAGCAGAGGTACTACCACGAGCGCTAGCCGTGCCTCCACTTTCGCCAATGCAGTCGTCGCTCCCCATGACTTCTACTTCATTCGTGTTCGACGTCCCACTCAAAATTTGTTGCAGCTGTCCATCATTCAGGATCCCGAAGGTTTTGGTCCGGTTTTCGCGACCGCTTGTTCTTGCAGCGCCTTGGCTTTTATCACCCGCAGGCGGGCGGGGCACGGCGACGGCCCGCTGTGGACCAGCACCTCGTACTCCCTCGTCCGCACCAGCAGCACTCGTTACTTCGGCCTCCGGAAAAACTCCAGTTGGACGACTCGCAAAGAGGACTGGAGCGCCCCCGTCGTCCTCACCAGTATACACGTAGCTCGTGTCCTCGTCGATTTCCTCGTTTTCGCCGGCCCATACCAATCTCAGCTCCTCCACCGAGAAACTTCTCTGTCCAAGCTATGCGAGTGAAATAAATCACCATCGAATTCTGATTCTCCCTCTCCGACTCTCAGGATATATATAAATATGGTAAAGAATAGCATGCTTACCCATACGGAACAAGAATCAAAGTGTTTCTCTACTTTCTGTTTACTTATATTCATTTTTCATCCACAAGATGAAGGTGCCGGGAAATACTGAATACCAAGGTGATTGTAACTCTCTGCACCGAAGCATACACTTTTCCAAGCGTCGAATTTTTGACTGTTCGTTGCCAAGGAGCGCGGGGCGATTTGGTAGGCTGCGGCTACTGATGCTCCGGGGGATGAGCCGGGGGCAGCATCTACCTGATCTTCGAACGGGTCCGGGACGGGCTGGAAGTAGATTGTGGAATTCTCTTTCACGATATCACAAGAAAAACAAGCGTTATTTCATCACAGATTGCAGTCATTCATCACAAATGTAGCTCATTACGAATGCTATGGATGACAAATTCTGGCATGTTTTGTGATGCATGGCTGCATCACAGAAGATTCCGTATAACGTTATACATTTTTTCCTGTGGTACACGATCTCGCGCAGTTTGCCCTTCCAGTAGTCGTGAATGTAGGTTTTTCGCATTGCTGTCAAGGTCACAGAGGGTGTCTTGATCATGGTCGAGTGGTCGGGAGGATGCATGTTGTAGTTTCTGGGAAACTTAACCTTCAGCTCATCCTGGTAGAATTTCTTCAGTATCCAACTGGGAAGAAAACTAGTAGCATATCACATGTGTAGATGTTGCAAAAGTGAATACTAGAAGTACACAATGAAGAACTCTTTCTTGCACCATCATGTCTCGAGCAGAAAAATGCTACATGGGGTATCCCAGGGCAGATCTTTCTGTTTTTCTGCTGCTTTCTGCATTTTCTTTTTCCAAATGTGGAGATATGCTAGCTTTTTTCTTCTGTGCGATATTTAGTGCTATATTTGCGAAGCCCTCCGCTTTCCCAAAATCGTTCGCCTCGTACAGCTCCTCCGCTTTGAATTATGCCCTGCAAGAGGATGAAAAGCATCGCAATAGTGGAAACTGCATGGCAAATTTTCCCAGCATGATGAAGTATTGAATTTGCAATGCGGATTTACGTCCAGAATAAGACCTGTAATGCATACCTGCAACTACAACGACAAGTACGATACTTTTGCAATGCATGAGAATCCGTTAGCAACGATTCCCATGATGGCGGCGTATTCTTCGCAGTGGTCCGATAATCTCCTCACATGTTCAAAATCGGCCATCCTTCCCGTACTACTTGTGAGGAACGGGCGCAGCAGTGTCATCACTTGCGTCGCCTCGGTACGGTTATTTTCCGCAATGGACGCAAGCAGGGATTTTTTCAGCGTCGCCCGCCTTTCGCCGTTCAAGACCGCCTCCAGCGCGAGCACATTCATGCACAGGTGCGCGTATCCCAGCAGGGCGTCCAGCATTCGGGGGTCGATTTCGGGAAAAAGATCTTGGATCGCCTTCACCGACAGGCGGCCATTAAACTCGACCAGAAACTCGTAGAGCGCATGGGCCTCTTTCGCGTGCTGCAGTGCGGTCTCCAGGTCCTTTTGGTCGAAGAGTTTAGCAGATTGTATTGCCGTTTGCCCGGCAGAAGATGACCCAGCACCCGAAGCTGGGGAAGATGCCCACCCGCCGGCGGCTCCAGACGCCGCGAATACAACTTCACCCATCCCTCCCTCCATTGCTGGCGGCCCGCCGCTGGCAGTGAAAGAGCTGCTAGAATATGTGGTGGATCCGGCAGCGACCTTCTGCACGGTGAAGTATCCTGTGCAAAAATATCGTACTCGTACCAATGCAAGTCTTGCATTACAAATCTCGTTTCCAAGGCAGTTCCGCATTACAAATTTTATTCTTCATGCTGAGGAAATTTGTAATGCATTTATACGAGTACGATACTTTTGCAGTTCATATGAAGCCACACACTGCGAGCTTCGCGGCTGCGATGGAGAGCCCCGTCATGATGATCTCGAAGTGGCAGATATCACAGGAAAAAGCGTTAGCGTCAACAGAACTTGTGAAGATGCAGGAACGCATCAGGGAGGAATGGCGCCTGAATTTGTATTGCATGGCATGCATTCTAGGCAAAATCTGTCATGCATAGCTGCAATCTCTGAAAACCGTTATACGTTAACACTTTTTTGTTTGATAGCAGATGTCCCGGAAATTCGTGAAGGTTTTCGGGTCGATGGGTTTGCGCTTGGTCGAAAACCCCGAGGCCCAACGAAGTATCCAAGTAGAAAAAAACCCACCGGGTTGCAATGCGGAGCGCAAATAAGCTCATCTTGATCAACTTGTCACGCCGTATGTCTATACAGCACCCTCTCTTCATTCATGATGCATGACCATGATTATGATATTATTTGCTGCTGGTGGCGCATGATGACCATTAGCTTTTTCCTGTCATGATGTGAAAGAAATATTGTAAGTAGGCTACTTCTCGTCTCCAACTGTCACTACACTGTATTTTTTTTCCTGATGGATACTGAGCAAGGGAACTCTGCTGATTTCCACGACAGCACCAGAGGAGGACGCGGTACTCGCGGTCTCCCTGTTTCTCCGGCCTGCCGATGTCGGAGATTCATCTGGATCCGGTAATGGACGGGGCGAGGGGACCACCTCACGCCGCTTACCTCGGCTTGACCCAAGATCTGCGATACTGGTTGAGGACACTTGATTGGTAGCTTCACACAGGTCCATCAAGAAGTATAGCGTTCTCAAACGTTTACATTGATCACAGTGACGATGATTTCTTGGTGATTTGTCATGCAGATGAACCTGCGTCACATTCCGCGCTGCACGAGCATGATCAAGCTACTCCGCATGCTAAGTTCTTTCCAGTGCGCTCAACAAGATGGAAATTCGCCGCGAATTTGTCATGCAGGAAGCGCAAGGTTTTGGTTTTCCCTGTTGCGGTTTGTGATCTTCAATGTAGGAACAACGTTTGAGAACGCCATAAGGAAAACAGGTCCTGGAGATACGCATGGCCGTGGAACGCGATTTGCTCTGCATTCAAAAGTATGCATTGCGAATATGATGTCTGAGCCTGGATCTGGAAGAATTTCTCATGCGGGGTAAGTAACTAGGCACTGATATGGAGCGTACTTCTCATCAAATAAACCTACGATGCTTTGCGAAGCCATCATCTATCTGTTCCAGGAAATGCATGACAGACAAAGTGGTCCTGGTCACTCTACTTCCAGACTTCTGGTGCCCAGGGCCAGACATAAAGAATAAAATTGTACTTGCATTTGATAGACAACGAAGCCTCCGGGTCACGCAGGGCCCGGACAAACTGCTTCCGGTTGGCCGAGGCCTTCAGCAGCGGCTGCTTGTTTCGAGCTGGAATGAAGTCATGAAAGGCGATCGCCGTGCTGGGCTCGGGAAACGGGACCGGGATGGGGTGAATTAAGTTGACCACGGGAGAAGCTGTGCCCGGGGTGGGGGTGGAGGTGGTCGCACTCGCACGACGACTAGCTGCTGACATGATGATGTCGCCAATGTATCAGTAAGAGGCTCGTATAATTAGTCAAAAAATTAGAAGAGACGTAGTAGTAGATCTAGATGTCTTTTCTTTGCGTGTTGCACGACAGTGATCACCGTGCGAAAATAAACCAAAGCGAGATCTCCTAAATTCAGTAAAAAAATATAAGTGCGTCGTTTTTCATTTCCCCGCCATTGTCGAGTAGTAGGAAAATCGAAACTACTGTTGCTCTGCCTTCTATATTTGATGTGCAATTCCATCTTCCCCGCCAACGTTCAACAGCAGCTGCTGCGGCCGTGCGATGCCAAACTGCAATCGAGCCGATTTTTTTCTCAATTCCTAATCTTCGTGAAGTCAGGATCGTAGCTGTACAAACCAGCGTTGTCATGCGACGCCCGTCGCGCAGGACCAAATCGTGACAGGCAAGAAGACCCAAGAACTGCTGCTCTGCAATACTGTTCAAACGACTCGACTCTCATTCACATTTGTCAAGATCTTAGAGCGGTGCATTCCGAGCACGACGTTGTGCTGTGTAAATAGCAGAAGCACGACGAAGACGAACTACTTCGCAGATGCAAGGCCACTAGAACTACTTCGAGGAAAATTCGGAAACTGCAAGGCCACTTCTAGGCCGCACACACGAAGGCCGAAGTTTAAAGACTTCTTCTGGTGTTGGTTCCTCCGTGTCAATCGAATCTTTTTGTTGCTGGTGCCATAGTATCTATTAATGGAAAATCGCGCTCAGTCGTACAGTAATTCGGGAATGCTAGAATTTTTTGATTTCGCTTACAGTCCAAATAATAAAATGGCAACGCAATATTTATTCATTTTTCTTCCTTTTTTTTTCTTGGTTTCGTTCCTTCGTGTTCTTCAAGCGCAGCTGTGATGTTCATGTTCGTGCTGAGCGCTGTATAAGCAATTTGACTTCGTCACCGTCATCTTCACCCACGGACTGGCGCTCTCCTGTGCGCCGCTCCGCTGCGTTGTAAATTTCATCGGTTGATCTTGATGACTTTGAAGACGGAGTAAAGTTGTCTACCTCGACGTTCAACGGAAGGAACGGACTGAAACAGAGGACTAGTGCATCTCGAGGATCACAAGTTCGAGTCAGATCGGAAACAATTTTCTCCGTCTCGGAAACTGAAGCCCCTACTTTTACAACGCTCATAGTCAAAAACAAAAAAATGCTAGGTGAGACAATAACAAACACAAAAATAAAAAGTAACTCTTTTATAAAGCAAGTTTCGTAGTAAAGGTCAAGTAGATAGTAGTATATTCTTCAATTCACAAGAGTAGGAAGTGTCAAGCCAACATTCAATTTCAAGTCTCAAAAATAATAGAAGCAATGACAAAACATGACGTGAAGCTACAGAAATACTAGGACAGATGAAAGATTAATGTACGTGGTGGTGCAGAGCCAGAGTTGTTGCAATTTTGAACCTCAATCAATATGATGTTATTTGAAAAAAGACCGCGTGAAGTTACAATTTGCGTGCTTAAAAATGTGAAAAGCTTTGCTCCTGTTTAAAGTGGAAAATGCGAGCTGTAGCGTTTCTCGAAAATGTAAACTCAAGAGCAATAGAAACGGATGGCGAGCAAGTGCGATGAAGCTGATTAAAGTCGTTGCAAGAAAATGGAGATGTTGTAATTGAACAAGTTGTGAAAAAAATACAATGAAAATGGTTCGCCTCGTCGACTGGCACTGGGAACTTCAACGAAAGAAAAGTAAAAAAACTCCAACCTCCCAAATGCTAGAGTTACAAATTTGTTCTGAAGAGCATCAAGCATCAGTTCGGTGCTGTTACTCAAACCGACAAAATTGAAAATTAGCGCTGGCAGCTCCTTTCGTGTGATTGCACTGGGCAGTTCGAAAAAAATCGCGCTCATGATCGTGAGGTCCGGAAAAAGTAGCTTAGTGGAAACAAATGCTCTGCTTTGGGCGGCAGCCCGTTATTTAAGCGTCTTTATTGTTCAACGCCGCGTGCTCCAGTTCATCTCTATGCACGCGAAACAAATAGAGAAAAAAAAAAAAACGTTGCGCTACATAGGTGCCCTCGACGTATCGTGAGTCCATGTAGGACGACCGCTGTCCGTAGTATGGACTTGGCTACAACCCCGCCCGAAGGTTCCAACTACAAGCACTATCCTCGCGAACGAGTTCTTGGTCAAGTACATCACGAAAAAGGCCTCTGTCTGGCAGAGACACTGCGACGACATGCCGGTAGCGGATTTGATGGAGGGCACTTTCCCGCCTTCCCGCTTCGACAGGCAAGGCAACGCCTTCGTCCCGCTTTCACAGTTAAGGAGCAACGGGCCCGTCGCCTTGGTGTTCACTCTCAGCACCTGGCTCTCCGCCGTCTTGCAGGAACGAGCGGGACCCGCCCCACGTGGGCTGCAGCCCTTGTCCTGGTGGCAAACTCGACACAACAGGAAAACCGCTGACGCTTGGACCGAAAGGACCTCCCGAAACTTGTGGCGTCGACGAAAAACCACTGCTGGCGCTGAGGCTGCTGTAGCTCCTTGTGGGGCCCGCCTGCGCTTGTCCCGGCGCCGAAAAGGCATAAGGAGAAGCTTGGGATGCAACAGACCGCGGCCGGGAAGCGAGCTGTGCAGGGGGCAGCGGTAACAAACTGGACCCGGGGTGCACCAATGAGCCACTGCTGCCGGGGGTCTGTGTTCCCGACGAAATAGGAATAGGGCCGACAACGGATGAATCACTTCGACGGCTCGCCCCGCCGAAGACGGTGCGCAAACTTGCTCCAGGCGCGGAACTGCGGCTCGACGAAGAACCACTGCTGGCGCTGGGGCCGAGGCTCCCACTGAAACCTGCTCCAGAACCAGTCATGAAAGTGCGGGCGAGAAGCTGGACGGGTTGTGAATTTGAAACCACACCACGCAGACGGGAGACGGCCCCCGGCCCCTATGGAAATTGCAAACACACTCGAGACAGACACCCCATCCGCTGCGCAAGCGCGGCCGGGTCGGCGCAAAGATATTCAAACGGGACGGAATTCTTGGGAGTTCTGCCCCCGTCTTTTTGGGGCCTGCTCTCCCCCTCTCCCAGTTCGACGAAAAACACAAATCATAGTAGCTCGGATTCTCGGCCCTTTTTGTGCCTGCCCGTCTGCAATTTTGGTGGGTGCCGAGCAGGGCGACCCGCTCTATAGAAGTGGGCGCCCACCCAGCGCCAACACCTACGAGGCGACGCGACAAAATGATGAGGCGCACTCCCGGTTTCAGTAGGTGCTGCTGCACCAGGTGCTACGGCGGTCGGGAAGGCGTCAAACAACCACCCCGGCACCGTGGCCATGGTCGCGCTGCCAGCGCTGGCGCTGTCAATGCATGAAATGCCAGTCGTAGTCGCATCCGACGTGGCCCTAAAATACATGTATGCAGCTAAGAGTCTCGGAGCCTTGTAGCAAGCTTCCGAAGCTTGCTACAAGGCTCCGAGACTCCAATGTTGCTACAAGGCTCACACACGAAGCTTAGCTTCGTAATATGACATTGGCTCTAATGTTGAATAAAGTACTTTCTTCTCGAAGATCCATCATGCCCCTGCAAATGTGGGTCCCACTCCCATGCCCAGGTGGGAGACAGACAACGAAACGAATAGCGGCACGAGAGAACATACGAAGGGGACGGCTGGGAAGCTCTACGCCGACGGCCAGGAGAGCGAGAGGAACATCTCGCTGCGCACTAGCAACAGAAGCTTCCAGTATGGCTACTTACAGAAAAAGACATACGCAAGCAACCCAGCGCGCGGCCCTACAAAGAAAACAAGGGAAGCGCTAGCGGGCTCGGCGGTTTGACCAGATACAAGGGGACACGCCCAACTACACTTTAAGTGGTGCGCGTATCCCCCTGTAGCGCTTCGCGCTTCATGATCCTCGCTAGACGAAAAACAGCGCTGGAGGGTCAAGTGAACATCATACGTTGGCGCCAGCCTATCGAACCAAAACCACGAGCAACAAGAGCAGAGGCAAACAGAGTCAGATCATGGGGGAAAGGCATCGGCGAGATGACGGCACCACGAGGGCAGTCAGAGTTTTTGGGGGCGGCCCAGTCGAAAAGAGGCAGATGGCCACCCGTCGAACAAAACGGGGCTGATACAATACGCACCAGAAAAAAACAACACATCGCAACCGCCGGCCCACAGTGGTGCCACGGCTGCCGAGGCGCCGCCGCTCCCTTACTCAGTGCCAGGTAGGACGGGGTCGGAGGGCCCGCGCCACCCCTTCGGGGGCTCTTAGTATGCTTACCCGGTGCCACAGCCCACACTACAAGCGCCTGGGCTGGCGCGGCTTTGCGGCAACTGACAGAAGGCAAGGAACACAACACAGTGCCCGGCTCGGCGAAACATCTTTCGGGCTACGGGGTCAGGCCCAGCCCCAGCCAATCCTTCCTACCACGATAAAAGGCGCACGCGCCGGGCCCTTGGATCCAGCCAGAACTGCAAAGCGCTGCCTTCTACTCCGAAACCCCCAACAAGCCGCCCCACTTTAGTGGATGTGGCGTGCTGTCCAGTAGATGAAAAAACGAACCCGCTCCATACGTTTTTTAGATAAATGCTCTGGATTTTCGGGTCGTTTTTGGGAATTGTATAATCGCCCGCCGAAAAAACGCGGCCCCATTTAGATCCTGGCACGCGAAGGGGTTTTCCAGACCTGGGACTCTCGTCTGTGTCCGCGCGCGCCTGTCGTAAGGAAAAGTCCCCCCTTCCCCGCCCATATTCTAAAGGCGGCCTCTCTTTCGCAATTTGCGTACGCAAGTCGCCTTGCATTGCTACCGGGCAAAAGACGCACGCGCGGCCTACTTTGCGAGCAATCTGTAGCGCTGCTTCGATTTCTGGCACCAGTCAGTGCAGTTGTGGGCTCCTCTAATCCTAAAGTCGCAACGCCTTGCCACGCCAGACAGGATTCGAATCCGCATCCCTTTCCTTCTGGCATGGCAATTTGATATAATTCGTGGGCGCAAATCATGCTACATAAGTCCCGCTTTGCGGTTGGGGACGGGGGGTTTTTCAGTTTCATAGCTTCGCGATGTATTTTGGCTGCGGCGCGTCCTTCCCTCTTGTCGTCTTCAACAGCTTGCTTGCTGCGAGGTAGGGTAGCCCCTTGCTCGAGAGCTCGATTGGATCAGAAATGTAATTTGTGTAGAACATCTCGTCGCCCAGGTTCTCCTTGGCAATCAGCAGGCTGGACCCGAAGTTGTTGCGTAAAGCCTCCGGCTCACCAAAAAGCTCAGCCAGCGTTCGCGCAGCCGCGTAAAGATCGAATGGCGGCCCGAACTGCGGCGTGTAGTCGTGGAGCGGCGTGGAGCGGAAGTCATGACCGTCGGCCCGATACCGTAAGACTGGGTTAAAGAAAACAGCGGTTCCGGCAATGTCGCGGCTCAGATCGATGCCAAACATGACCGGCATCTTGTCATCTTCGACGGCAACAAAAGAGGACAAGCCAAAATCAAAGAGCTTCACCTGTCGATACGTCGGATGCCCGCTGCTGATCACAAAGCCCATGTTCGACAATTTGATGTCGTTGTGCACAAAGCCGAGCGGGAAAAAGTCATCAAAAAAGTGTGCGTACAGGTTTTTCGCAAGATCTCCGGCGACAGACAAGGCCCCCTCAATTTGCTTGCTGCGTCGCTGTTCTTCGTCTTGGGACTCTTTCCCTTTGAGCTCAACCGCGATTTCCAGCTCTTCGACGAAAAATCCAAAAACCGTGTGAGTAGGGGTCAATGCGTATCCTACAGAAAAAAGGCCAAAAACGTAGCGCAACTGCAAAAAAAAATACAAGGCGAGTACAAGCTTCTTCGATAGTCTTCAACAAAAAATACAAAGAGGACTTTTCCGTCTTGTCTGCCTCACACTACTACACCCTCGACGCTCTCCTGTCGCAGGCATAGATTTTTCTGCCACTGCATTTTTGCATTGACATGAAATGCGACACGCTAGCTTTTTTCTGAAAGATACTTGGCCTGGTGAGACCACTTTCGCGTTCTGCAGTGCTGCGAGATGCTGGTCGTCGACATACTGCGACACCATAACTCGATGCACGTGAGCAACCGAATCGGGAACAGCCGCTGTTAGTACCAAGTTAAACACGATTTCCGTGAAGGCTTCGTCTCCACACACATGAGGTTGAGGCGCCTGCTTTTGTAAATGCTCGGGCAGCGCATCGACAAAGTGCGGACACGCAATCATCTTCACAACTTGACGCTGCCTCGTCCCGTCTTGCTTTTGGTTCTTCAGTTCATACGCAGCTCCAAAAGTGCCCGCCCCCAATCGCTTGCCCAATGTCGAGTAAATTTTGCTTCCCGCGGTCTGCATATTCAGCCCGGGGTAATAAATATATTGCCCCTCGAAATCCGCAACGGTCTTGGCGTTGGCGTTCTTGTATCCTTGTAACTGGCTCACTTGTAACTGGCTCAGCTGACCTTCGACAAGTACGGAGTCAAGTTTTGTGTCCCAGAAGTTCAAACGAGCTTCCTTGCCGGCGACCCCAGGAGGCAAGCCTACTGGCCCTTTTGCAGCTTCGGCGGTAATCTTTTCAAAGGTTTTCGGCCCCTTTTTTTCCATCGACCTCAGTGTGTCCTTCGTTTTCTGCTTCATCACCGTATACAACTCGTACTCGCCTTGCTTCTTTCCCACCGAGGCACTGTCGAACAAAGCCTGCGTAAACCACTTTGCCTGGCCTGACCCACGATCACCGGCATGCCAACTTGCAACCCCTCGGGGGGCGGGCGCCATCATGGCAAGGGGTAAGTGGCCCATGACCGCCGCTGGTGCTGATGCTCTTCCTTGAACAAACTGCCGAGGAACATTTGGCCCCGAATTCGAAGAACCGGACGGATGAGAGCCATAAGCTGGTGGATATCCAGGTAAAGCAGTAGTACTTGCTCGAACAAGTTGTCGCTGCGACCCATCCGACGTTGGCAGCTGCACAGGCATCGACACCGGACTCATTGTCCGTGGCGGGGCACTTCTGGGATCCAAGGGTTGAAAGGCTGCTGGATATCCATGTAGTACTAAACCACCAGCACTAGCCGACATTGACCGCTGCAGAACCGGAGGCGGACGTGCTCCCATGGGCGGGAGCGCCGCAGGCCAGCTCTCCAGTGTCGAAAATCCCGCGGCCCCAGCGGCCCCCGCGATGTCGCTTCGATCTTTAATATAGACCGCTCACCTGTGTTGCCAACTTCGATGAAAGTGTGGCGGCCTATTCCTTATAAGTGCGACCGATGAAGAGGAGCATTATACAGTGAGAGATGAAAAAGACTGCTTTTGTAGTACGACACGGCGCGGGGCGCGGGCGTGCCCGACTGTCGTCCAATTTCCCCCGGATCTCCTCAAAAGCCCGGACTATCAAGCATGCTCTAGAACGCCCGATATCATGCTGCTAGGGCGCACGGCGTGGGAGTTCGTGCACGAAAATCCGCTCGTTCTACTCAGGAAGAGAACCAGAGCGAGATATTGCAATGCATGAAAGTGGCCGAGAACATCAAACCTTACACCATCAAAACTACAAGTTGCGCACTTCTCCTGTTCGTCTACTAGTTCAAAAGGATGCCACAATACATGACCTTGTCAACAGCAAAGGTGGCTGACATACTCTTCGCAATCCTCCGCAGCACACCCGTTCCCGTGCTCGTGGTTGAGAGGCCCGTCAACTGTTGTGTTGTCTTGGTTATATCAATTTTGAGGTGTACAAAAAGAAGGTGATAGGGCTAGAGGAAATCATTGCTTTTTGATGCACGACCACGCTCCCGCACTGCTCCACTTGCAAGATGAATCTTGTTGCCAATCTGACTTGCACTGTCCTGTGTGCCACGACCGCTAACACTATTCGGATTTGAGAAACAATCACAAATGAAATACATACAATTCCAATTCTCACAAGCCCGAGGCCTCCCAGTAGTTGAGGAGCTCTGGCGCTAGATCGCTAACACCTAGGCACAAAGTGGGACTGGAACGTTTCGGGGCTACGACAGACGAGAAACGAGACTATCACTATTCCGTTTCGCCTGCCGCTACAAAATGCTTGAGCTTTGATCGATTTTCCTTCGTAAACCAACATGCACATGCTGTAGTTTTTTTAACTGTTACCTTCCGCAACGGGCAGCTTTCGATTTAGCGCCCCGGCGGCGTGATGATGGTCATCCAACACTGCAGCTTCCTCATTTATAGCAATTGAAAAGTAAGCCCAGCACCCGAACCCAGCCACATAAAAAAAAATAAATAAGACCTATCTTGTGTACTTATTAAAGCGGTCCAGTAAAGATAGCAATCAAAGCAGTTGCCCTGCGGGCCTCCGTCTCGCACGAAACTCCATAGAAGCAGGAAGCTTCGGCTTAAGCTTCGGCTTCGGCATAATCGCACTGCCGCTTTCCCTTGTCGCTTCCTTCGTAACCATGCGACTGTAGCTTTTTTCGAGCTCGTACCTTCTCAGAGCTGCACGATAAAGAGTTCGCTACTTTGCCACAAGCAAAATGATGGGATGATGATGAAACTGAAGTACGCATACCAAAGATATATAATACTTCTCGTGTCTGGCTTTCGTCCGTACGGATGTCTCAATCTCCTGCAGAACTAGCATCAGTGTGAGTGAGTGTTATTAACGGACGCCGCGACAACAGAAGTCTTTAATTTCATGCTGCTCCTCCTCGTCTTTATCTGTGGGCCCACCTGAGGGTACTCTTATGGGGCTGGTGGCGGCGCGGGCCCATTCTCAATTAGGATACCCTCGTGAAGCTTCTCGACGCGTTGCCGGGCTGCTCCTTCGGTGTGGGCACCATGAACGTGCTGATCCGGTGCGGCTGTGACACCCCCGGCGGACGACGGCGAGGACGACCCCGGCAGGGATGCCGACTCTGCGAAACTGGCTGCATCAGCGGCCGCATTGACATCATCCTCTGTAAAAGCGTACCCAATTATACCCGACCTGCTTTGTCATGCAGAACAAGGTCCGGCATGCGCACGCGCACGCGCATGATTGGAAGACATTCTCACATGCGAGAATTCCAACCATGATTGCTTGTTTCCATTCATATTTGACAAGGAAGATTTATTTGCATCCTCTACTCAGGAGACAGGCGTGGATCATTTGTGACTTAAACACACCCCACGACTTTTTGCTGTAAACATCGAAATCTGTGGTCATGGGAGTTTGTTATGTGGTGCGAAGACTCGCAGGAAGACGTCTCGACCTGCGCACAGGCAAACCTGCTATTTTGATGCCACCTCCATGGGCTGGATAAGCTTTTTACGCAGCATAAGCGGCGGGCACAGGAGGAACGCGTTCATCTCCAACTGGACGCGAAGATTCAGATTCAGTCGTCGGCTTGAAGTCATTGTGATCATGAGGAGGATCTGCATCTTCAACCGGAGCAGGGAACAAGTCCGAACCCTTCTTCGCATGTCCCGTTTCATCACTGCCGTCCCCCTCGGTAGCAGCTTTGGAAGCAACACGAGGGTCGACATTCTTCTTGTGCAACAGTGAAGACGAGCCGTCGCTTTCAGTGGTTTTGCCCTGCGCAGCCGGCTCCGTGAGGGCAAACGAAGTTTTCGCGGTGTGAGCTATGGAAGACAAAATAACCCTCGTCGACGATCTGTACTTCTATCCAGAGAATACAAAAAAAAGAAGGCCTGTACAAGTTCAAATTCTAGTTGTTGTGCTTATAGTCCTACTACTTGCTACTTCTACTTTTTCTTACCGCGTGCTGGACGTCGTGGTAGCATTACAAACCATTCCAAATTGCCATTGCGGCGTGTGAACAACAAGTTGTGGAAGGTGATTTTTCGATGGATACCCGTATTCGCATTGACGTCTTCAGCCGGTTCAGATGTAGTGCTAGTCGTAGTGGGATCAGACGTTTGTTCGTCAATCTGCCGGGTAGGAACGCTGGGACCACCCAAAGGATCCGTTCGTGTATCACAGTGTTCAAAAACTACTTCATCTATGTACAATATGTTGCCCGCCCACAGCACGAGTGATAAACCTCATCAATAACCACGACACTGTTGGGGTTCTCGACGTAACAGTAGTACGACTAAAAGTAAGTAGGGTAAAAAAGCTGTCACTTTGCTCGTTGTGCATCGTTTCTCCAAGGTAACAACGCAACAAAAGACTCGGACGCTATTCCAGATTAAACACTGGAAATCCGTATAGACCACCTGCGACTGCTGAAGAAATCTTTATCAATAAATGCCAATCTAACTCGTTCGGGGGGCGACTGCATGATTAGAAGTAGTTGTAGTTTTTTTGATACTGTTTTTCCAAGAAGTCGGTCGCAGAGGTGGATGCTGGAATCGACGGGGAAGCGGAGGCAGTCGTAGCGGAGTTGTGTTATGCGATCGAAAACCGGCGTGACCCCTAGTCCATCTAGGTCACAAGGCCCGCCACTTTGCAGACCTCAGGATGTGATGGCCCGTCGCACTATTTGGGAAAGCAAGAGTCCGCTGCTGCACAGAAACGGCATCATGACAAGAATAGCTGAGAACAGCAAAGATGAGCAAATATCATGCTGCAACTTGGTTGACCATCTCGGATCTCTTCATTACAAAGGACTAAAGCCGGTTTTCAAAATTCTGATACGGAATGATCCTGCTGTTGTTCCGAGAAATGCGATCCCTCCGACGTGTCCGACGCACCGCCACTCACCTGCGGCGCCACGTCACGACCTGCATCTTCAACATCGCCCGACTTCGAAGAAGATTGAGATTCCGAATTGAAGCTTTCCGAACGACCATCCCCCACGGTCGTTCCTGCCGCACCGGCTTCCGCTTTCGGCGTAGTTTTCTCGGTCTCCAAAAGGAAGCTGGTAGAGGGAGCAGCAGTGCCGGCACCAACATCCTCTCCAGGAATAAGAGGAGACGTCGAAGACGTCGCCACGTGCTGCCCGGCGGGGTCCGGCCCTTGCGGGGCTGGATTTTCGACGGTAGAAGAAGGTTTCGCGACGTCACCAAGAACAGCCCGGTCCTCGTCTGGCGCTGGGGCCGGCGACGGGTCAGCAACCTTCTCGTCGGTCTTGCCACTCGAGGTTGTGGTCGCCCCCGTTTGGAAGAACGAGGAAAACCAACCGGAGGCTTGTTGCAGCAGCCAGTGACGCTTGGCGCCCGGCCGGGGCGACAGGAACTTCCGCTCTTGTTGTTGTGGTTGCATCGGTGGGGCTGTGATCCAGTGCAAATATGGCGTCCTGGGGCTCGTCCCCTGGAAGTAGTAAATGAAAAACAAAAACTTGTGATGCTTGGCAGGCACCATTGCAGAAGTGCGGTGGTCACTTCTCTGATGAGGAAGTTGAGCCAGCATCACAAATTTATTCGCGTTCCAGAACGAGACCCCAAGTTTTCATATTTGCAATGCATAGGAGCTGCGACAACAGCTGAGGTCTCCGTGCTGAAGGTCGCGCCGGCGATCAGAGAGTCAGGCTTGGCATTGGAGTTGTTTTCCCCATTGTCGACAACGATGCCGCTTTTGACCAAAACGGCAGGCGGCGACGGCGTACCACGATGCGCAGCTGCAACATGAAGTTCATCTTGGCCTGGGGCTGGAGCAGCAGCATTCTCAACCTCACCAAGCCCGGCAACCTCCACGACGGCCACTGGCAAAAGAAACACGGATGGTCCACCAGCAGCGACGAGAGCAGAGGCCGCTTTGCCAATCTTATCCTGTGTAAAAAGCGTGCTGAGCTGCGCCCATCTGTACTTCTCCATTGCTTATAGTAAGGTCTGGTCGATTTTTGCTTTTTTCGAATTTCAATTTTTTGGAGGGGTAAGGGATTTTTTTTAACTATTACTTCGAAAACAGCGCTCTACTCGAACGCTGATATCATGCTCCTGCAGGTAGTGCAACTGCAAGTGCTGTAGCGGCACCAGTAAAATACACCTCCTCCTGGGCATCATGCATCCCTATTTTACACAGGATATCTGAATCGTCGAAACAGCGGCCGCGCGAGCATCTTTCGCGACTTCGCCGGTACGAAATAATCCGAGGATGAGCAACTAGCACTTGCTCCCGCCGTTGACGTTGTCATGGCGGCTGCGACTCTGCCTGCGTCGTTGGAAGATTTTCTTCGGCGCCAGAAGTAGGTCGTTGTGGTCCTGGAAAGGGTTTTATTGGATCTAGATATCAAGCAACTACACTCATATTGCAAAAGGCAAGCTCACCGTGAGAAGTTAGATTTTTACCGAAAAGTACGCAGCGAAACAACATGAAGTCTTCAATAGGCACTGATATACCCTCAGTCCTCGTCGCTTTTCGCACTACCAAGCCGCACCGCGGAGGCAGTGAAAAATTGTGAAAAAATCGATGGTTAAGACGCTTCGTTTGCTTCTTCTCGCGGTTCCCCTTCGCTGCGTTTCTTGAAGAGAAGCCGATTTCGTTGTGGTTTCGGTTTTTGTTTCGTTGTAGCCTGATTATTGCACAAGTTTTTATTTCATAGAAGGATATCCATGATGTTGTTCTGCTCACTTTCCGATGAGCAAAGATACCCGGAAAACTAGCCCAGGTCAGGTATATAGATTTTTAAAAAACGCATTTCAACATCGACAACAAGCTGCTAGAGAAAGTGAGAAATAACATTTTTGACCACGTACGACATATGGGACTTGATTTTTCCAGCCAGAGACAGGTGGAAATAAGTCCCCACGTGGTGGGCACCACCACCGGCACTCGTCAAACAGCGAAAATATGTAGACAGTACCGTTTGTTGTTCGTCCTATCCTCTAGCAAGTAGAGCTCGAAGACAGTGAAAAGCTCCGCACTTTCCGATTTTATGGAGTTCTCAAATGTTACATTCTCAACTGTTACATGAGTTTGTATATGCAAGACTGGCAAAAGTGAAAGGAGGAAGATTGCGCCTTTTGCATTACAAGTTTGGCGCAGATTTAGATGCTGTTTAGCCCTTCCGAAATTTGTCATGCGAAGCAGCTCGATCATCTGCCGGCTGAAGGTGCTTTTGCATGACAAATTCATGTAACAGTTGAGAATGTAACGTTTGGGAACGCCATAGATTTTGAAGAAGTTCTCGACTCTGTCCTTCTTCGCTGCGATTCTGGGAGAGAAACAACCGAGTTTTTCGCTTTGGTTTTCGTTTCACCGCTGGCTCGTCGTTGTTGAGCAAAATTTTTCAAATCAAAGATGTACTAGTATAGGGTTTCGTTTGGAAAAATCGAATGCTGTGGGTACTGCACGGAAGAAAGCTACGAAATTAAATAATTATTAAAGAAGTCGTTACGTAAAAATACCGGGTGTGTCGTTATGTTGTCTTCAATTGAAAAGATAAAGAGGTGGCAAGCTCAAGTAGTTGTAATGTAAAACAGTGGTAAAATGAAAATAACCGTAAATTTGCAAAACAATAAAACAAAATTTCATCAAAAGTCGGGGTGCTATTTGTGCTTGGCTTTTTTTACGAGAAAGAAACAATCCGAAGAAAGTAGAAGTTCGTGACCACCCTATTCCACTGCGGGGGGAAGGTCTCAAACCTGGGGGAAAGGATGAAGTGTGTCAATCAGATAAATTTTACGCGCAAACCATCTATTATTGCAAAGCAGACCGGGAACCACCACGACCACTACAAAAAACTTTTACCGAAAGAAATCAACTTTGAAGCGCCAGCAAAGACGAAAAACTGGGCGAAGGTCGATACTGGCGAGGGCATCAACGAGATTCTTCCTGAGGTACGAAAGCACGACCGATTGTTTGTTCCTTCACTCCACCAAACCGAAGTAAGACAAAAGCTGACTGAAATTATACCACAACGAATTCAAATAACCATAAGACCCGACTATAGCCGCGGCGCTGATAGACGAGGACTGATGAGCAAGTAATTTAAATAATCAGCATTAGCTGTACGCTGTACGAAGGCACCGAGATGATGATGATGATGATGATGATGATGATGATGATGATGATGATGATGATGATGAGAGAAGGCTTTGTATTACACTGCAGCTTTCCTCTACTTTACGCTCACCGACACATAATATTATTCTATCTGACGCTAGTTTCTCTACCACTATCTTGCTATGCAGCACCCTTTGAATATTAGTAGAGGGCGGTGGGACAACGTCAACGCAGAAAAACTAGCATAAGTACGACGTAAGATGACAATGGTCGTGGTGCTCGGAGCGCTGATAATATCCGCCTCACGCCATGGAAAACTGTACAACATGGGGCGAAGAAAATCTCTCATCGGGAGAGAAAGAGGGACCCCTGCTGCTCAATATTGTTTTCAGTCGCTTTGATGTGGCCTACTTATCAAAATTTGTTTTTCACAATGGTACTGCGCTCCGGCGGCAAGTTGCCGAAATTATGGACAACACAAAAATAATCTACTCGCGAATGAAAATCGTAAACAAGAAAGTGAGATACGGAGCAGTGATCTTGTCATGTGATAAATGCAGAAATAAATTGCTGCTCCGAGAATACGCCAAATCAAGAAATCAATGTTGCAAAAAAAATGGAAATAGCAATACGACAGACTATTATTAATTTAGAAAAGGATGTCAATTTGAAAAGGATGTCGATGTGGAGATGCTGGATGCCTCCTCGCCTTGGTATATAGCAATCAATGTAAATCTCAAAAGTTGAAGTTGATAAAATTTGCACAGAAAGTAAATGTGAATGTTTGAACAGTGGCAGATGATCTTTGTTGTGAATCACAAGAGTGGTTTTTCGCACTGAAGATTAAACTTACGCGGAGAGAACGGTGTTGATAAAAAGAAGAAGCAAGGTGAATTACAAACGTTATACAATTGACTACCATAGCAGCCTGCTTAGTCTCAGAAGATGTTGATAGTTTTTGTTTTTGTCAAAGTATGCTGGAAAATAATTCATCTTCATCTTGTTCGAACAAAATAAAGCAAAAAATGCAGCTCGTCGCCCCGCTTGCGCTTCACTCGCAGCCGCGTTTGTTCAGTCTGCGCCGGCCTCGTCCCCCTCCCAACCCTCCGAGGCGTTCCCGCTTTCCGCCGGGGCCGGCGCATCTCGATCGCGTTCATTTTTGGAAGTAGAGCCGTCGACGTTTCCACCACTATAATCCACGTTCTCGTCACCGCCCTCTCCCCGGTCGTCGGGGACTTGCGAAGCCGCTGAAAGAAAGGGATTCTGCTGGACGAAGGACGTCGAAGCTGTGCTCTGGCGTAGTCGAGCTGATGAAAAACGGGAAAGCGACCAAGGAGATGAGGTCCGCGATTGCCGATCTGAAAACATCCTCCGCAATGATCCCGACCGCGACGCCGGCGACCGACTGGCCACTGGAGAATTTCTCACTAGTGTATCCTGGGTAACAAAAGCGTGCCCACACTAAATTTGTCGCGCAAGTTTTCAAGAGCTGTAGCCTCAGGGGCAGTATGAAGATTTTCTACTAGAAAATCTTCATACTCACACGACAAATATAGCCACTAAGGTCGTGTGATGCTCTAGTAAAACTAAAACTAAAAATGATAATCAGGATTGCCACGTGCTACACGTGCGACACGGGTGCGCTAGCTAACCACGACTTCTGCGCAGTGATCTATGTATCATATGCAACAACCGAATAGCCTTATTCTCGGCTTGTACTTCATCTGTAGCAGTGCTCCAGGAGCTCCACCCAACTTGATTATGAGGTGAGTACGTCGGCTACGTTGATTTTACTCAGGATACGATGATCGTAATCCTCGAAGAGGATTTGCTTTGCTAGTGCTGCTGGTGGCGAGGGCCACAGGAGTTGTAGGATCCGGCCTCGCGGCCCTGCGCCCCGAGATCGTCCTCTGCTTTCCTTTGCTAGCGCTCTTCCGCAGTTCCTGCGCTCTGTTGACCACTTGGTCCTGGAGTCGTTTCAGATCCACCGTGAATTCCTCCCATTCTCCGATGCTTTCCTGAACGACAAGGCCCTTACGTTCGGGGTCAATTGTGTTGTCGTCTGGCACCGGGTCTTCCTTTCGTCCTTCACGGAGAGCGGGAACACGTCGAAGCGTCCTATCCCGGGCCTGCTGCTTTCTGATGTACTGGACGTGATCCCCCCGCTGGCCGAAAGGGCGGCCAGGTCGTGACGTAACCAGAGACGCGACCGTAAGGGCTGCGGAAAAAGGCCTCCCTTTCCGCGATTCCTGGTAGGGGCGGAGAATGTAGTTTTTGTACAATTGCTCTCCTTCTCCGTCAGGTGGCTTTGTTGTTGTTCGCAAATAATAACTTCGTCGTTTTGTTTCAGGGGCAGGGTAGACCTTCCGCAGATTCTCCCGCGCAACGTTCCATGGCTCCTGACTCCCCTTGCCGAGCAAGACCAGGCCGCCCTCCGAACCGCCCACCGCAGGCTCTCCGAAGAGGTCCGATAGAGTCCGCGCAACGGCGTACAAGTCGAATGCCGGACCGTAGGGCAGGTTTGCGAGATCGTCCCACAGCGGCCCAACCATGAAGCACGTCGTGTCAGCCACGGGGTTGATGTACCCTGGAGAGCCAAACATTCCCGAGTACAGCGGTGGGCCGTACATTAGTGGCCACGTGGTGTACCCCGTTTCGTCATCAGCGGTCGTCATCTGATCATGAACGGCGACGAAGGAGGACAGCCCGAAGTCAAAAAATACGGGTTCGTATGGATGTGTCAGGATCGAAATCGACAAAGTCGAAAAATTTGTGATGCACAAAACCGATGCCAGTTGGAGCCTCAGTTTCCAAGTGGCGCATGACAAATTTAGGGAGCACCCAAATCCAGGCTGTCATGCTGTTTGGACGAAGAAGGTTGGTCCTGTCATGCTACTCTGGCAGCACAAGGCATACCCCTAAACAGGCTTACAGTCGGTCTCATATGCCTGCTCTCCAATACAGGCCTTCAGTGCTCTTCATTTTATGCATCACAAATTTTTCGACTTTGTCGATTTCGATCCTGACACATCCATAGTTCGGTGTATAAGGTTACCCCGTTCGCGTGATCGATCCGAAATCCCATGTTTTCCGGTTTTATGTCATTGTGCACAAACCCAAGGTCGCCAAGCTCCAGGATTTTGGCATACATCGACTTTGCCAGGCCGTCGGCGGATCGCAGGGCGCCGGCAATCATGTCGACAGGAAGATGAGCAAAAGAATGGGCGCCGCCATTGCTGTCAATCACTTCTATTGTATTGAAAGCCGGAGTGGTATCCTGTGTAAAAAAGAACGTAGTTTTTGATTGATGTAGCGACGCCCCGCCCGCCCCTGACGTCACTCGGTACCCGATCGCGATCGCCCGAAGGACAGAGGGCTTATCATGCATGATTTGCTTGTTCTTGCACAGTCCATGCCTAATGCTCATGCGGCTCTACTACAATCATGATGACAGGCATGCTCTAGTATTGACATACGGAATGCGGATTTCATCCAGTGTCGTGAAAGCTTTTGGATTTGTAATGCAGAGTTCGCATCATGAATGTAGGTCTAGGTATCATCATGTTACACGTTTTATTTACACAGGATAGATGGCAACCCTCTCCAGTACAAAGTGGAAGGAAGTCTCGTATTCATTCGCGATATGCATTGCAAATACTAATGCATCGGGGTCTGGAACTGGACTTGCGCTTGTAATGCGAGCGGAAGCAGAAGCGGATTTCATTTGGTTATCCTTATCACAGACAAGGACCTGGTGCCGCGTTCGCTGCAGCAAGAGAATGACTCGCCATGTTTCTTCTTGTCGCGCTAGGAGGCGCTTTGTACATGTAGAAGACGAAAATTCCTATGTATACAAAAGAAAAACCAATAAAAAAAATTGATGTGATCATGACTCAGCAAGGAAGACCGCCGCTGTGTCATGATGCGTGCTTTTCATCTCGTCCAGAGGACCCGGACGGTTTTGTATTGACAATGCATACACCGGGGTCGGGACAAAATTGCCAGCTTCGTCGAGCTTTTGGTATGCCGCAGAAAAGTCCATCCACACCAGAGGAAAATATATTTGCGTAGCGGTTTTCAAGAGTCCTGCGTCAGCCCTTTTTGCCGGATCAGCGTAGGAGCAAACTTTTTATTTTGTCGGTGAGTGTTTATGTATCAATGAGGAATTTTATGTATCAGTATGATCACAAGCCAAATAAAACTCCGGATGAACTGCGGCCGCCCTTGTAAGTGTTGCGTATCGTATCCACATGAAAGAATCGGAGTACTGACACGAACTACTAAATTATGCTTTGCCTTTTTGTCTGGTGTGGGTGTACTTCTTTGCTGTGGGATATTTGCACCTTCCTGGTCACCACAACGCGGTCGAAGGGTACCACGGCGTTTGGGGCTGCCTGGGTCAGTATCAAATGTAAAAATGTCTGGGTCTGGAACAATGCAACTTGTGATGCTGCATTTGGATTTCAAAAAAATCTATATTGCATGAGTGCTAAAGGAAATGCAATTTTTGCTACGTCATGCGGAATACGCATCGAGAAGCCCTCAGAAAATCTGTATTGCTGCGGTATGCATCACAGACATCATGGCCAATGCAAAGCGTGCATGACAAGTGTCAGAAGCTTCCAGACCCAGACATTTTTGCGTTTGATAGTCAGCAGAGTGTTCATGATGATTTCCGCGTACACGTCGTAGCCACATGTGTGCAGTATCCTGTGTAAAAACGTACCCACCCCAGAGTTGTCATGCAGATTTGCAATGACAGGAACACTTGTAATGCGCTTCCCCATGAAAGGCATTTCCAATCGTGTTTCGGCATTTGTAATGCTGTGACCAGGATGAGCAGATGGATTTCTGATGCAGCTGGCCTTGCGAACCTGCACTACACTACGGACTGCAACTTGTGATGCGTGACCCCCAAAAGCTCTAGGTTTGTGTTGCAAAATCCCCATCTCGACTCTGGTGTGGGGACGTTTTTACACAGCATATCCATCTTGAATTCTTCATCTTTCTTTTTCTTTTTTTGATTCCTTGTCTCTTCGTCATCGGATTCCTGCACCTCGAAAAATGCTTTCACCCGAAAATGCTGGCACCGAACTGTTTTGACGACTGTGCTATCCATTCGACAAAAGCACCCCGCGGACATTTGATGTTTCTCTGCGTCTACTGTGCGCACTACTTCTATTTTAATTTTGTTTTTGATGTCGTACAACTACAAGCATTACTACACAGCAAGACCACGGAAGAAGATGTTTCTGAAAGAGCGCCGGCACTGATACTAGTACATATCAGAACATCTTCAAGGAGCAATAGAATTATTCGTACTGCCACGACCCTGCAACATCAGGCATGCTTACTAGAAGAGTGGCTCAGACTGACAAAAATAAACGCCACGATTGTGCTTTGGTTCTTTCACGGGATAGCTCGTGGGGTCGTCTGGCAAATCCTGGACAACGCCGAACGAGCCCGAGCCAAGCTCTTTTCCAATACGACCCAGTGTGCTCGTACTCGTTTGCGCTTCCCCGGGTTTCGGCTTGGACGGTTTCCACGAAAGATGAGCTAGGTCGCCGAGGTCGTGCCCTTCATTCGTGCCACCATCGCCTTCTTTGTTTTGGTCGTAGTTTTGTGTATACGTATACCCGGCCCATCCTTCAACCATCTTCTCATCCAGTACTTTGTTCCATTCAGTAAGCATTTCTTCCTTGCTTTTGAACTGTTTACCGAAAGCCTTCTCGGTCAGATGCTTGAAGGTTTCCGGCCCCTGCTCTTGCATTTCGCGAAAGGCCTGAGCTGTCAGCCATTTCATCTTGTCGTAAACCTGTGTCCTGCCTCCACTTGCTTGCTTTAGGAATTCCTCGCTGCGGTAGCTGCCGATCAAGTCCGCGTACCATGCATTTTGCACAACTTGGTCATTCGCTGCGTCCGAAAAAGCGTACTGATCCTTCGCTCGTACTCCGGTATCCTGCAGCGCCACAACCGCGCGCAAAGTGTCCGCCTCACCTGCGGCGTCCAAAGGAGGCCGCGGAGCGCCGGCTGTACTGGACAACCGCGATGATGGACCACGTCCAGATATCCTGAGTAAAAACGTACCCACACCAGGGTCAGGATGGGGATTTTGCAGCACAAACCTAGGAGGTTTGTGAGTCACGCATGACAAGTTGCGCTCTGCAGTGTAGTGCAGGTCAGCAAGTGCAGCCGCGTCACAGATTCATCTGCTCATCCTGTTCACAGCATCACAAATTCCAAAACACGACTGGAAATGGCTCTCATGGGGATGCGCATTACAAGTCTTCCTGTCTTTGCAAATCTGCATTACAACTCTGGCGTGGGTACGTTTTTACTCAGGATACCAGGGGGCGATGAGGCCGGCCGCGGAGGCGTCGATTGAGAACGCAGTCCACGATATCAAATGCAAAAGTGTCTTTCTGGAAAGTTGGAACTTGTGATGGTAACTTTGGACTCTAAAAAAATCTGTATTGCATGACCAGCAAGAGGAGCCACATTTGTGCTACGCGAGGAGGGCATTTGTGATGCGGAAATGGCATCAGGAAGCTTTCCAAAAATCTGTGATGCTGGGTCATGCGTTACAAGCATCATGGGTCATGCCAGACAAGCATGACAAGCCTTCCATTCTTCCAGACCCAGACATTTTTACACTTGATACACGACTGGGAGGGCCGACCATGGAAGAAGGGGACCGGAACATCCTCAGAGTAGGCTTAACGGACGACCTGGATGAAGTGAACGAAGTGCCCTCTACTCCTGCTTGTGGCGGAATTCTTGCCGCTGCCTCTTGTTCTAAGAGGAAGCTGGTGGAGGTTGCACTAGCATCCGTGGCACCCCCTCCGGGGGAAGGTGGGGATGCAGTAGATTCTGACTCCGATTGGACATCGGCGACGGCCGGCTCTTGCTGCAGCGGGTCTCCGCTTTCGGCGCTGGGTGAAGTAGACGGCGTAGAAGAAATAATCGTGTCACCAACAAGAACATCATCTTGATGCTCAAGTAGAACATCCCGGCCGCCTGCAGTTGCTGGTGTTCTTGGCGCAGAAACAACATCAAGCTTTCCGCTCTTACCGCTCGAAGAAGTAGAAGTGCCCGACGTGGTCGTTTGGAAGAAAGAAAATGACGACATCAGCCAATCGGTGCCTTGTTGCAGCAGCCAGTGACGCTTGGCGCCCGGGCGGGGTGATAAAAACTTCCGCTCCTGTTTATTTTCTTCTTCTTGTTGCACCGGCGGAGGCGGAGCTGCTGGTGATGCGGCCATGATAGGCGCGGCCCCGACAAGGACATCCGTTGGAGTGGTCTCCGTATTGGGCGGAGACTTGGCGGCAATCCAGCTTGGCGGATCTTCAGGTGCATTTTGTTTTTTGTCAAACCCCGAATCCCGCCCGGCGACAGAGTCAGAGAGGACAAGGAGTATTAAAACCGCTTTGATATAATTACTTAATGGCGGAAAGAACAGCGACACCACCATCTTCCGTGACTGCGGTGGTCTTATTTTCAGGAAACCGGAAGATACTAGAAGACGGCCGATTTTTGCTCTCTTCCCGTTGTCGTGGCGACTGCGGCTGTGCCGTTCACTTCGCACAGCGCCGTTTACTGTCCACCCTCCCAGCCCTTCTAAGCTCCGTTTCTGCGAAGAGAAATAACCGAGTGCGTTCTGGTTCTCGTTTCACCGTTGTTTTGTCATCGTGGTTGAGAATGATAATTTCAAAGTTATATTTGGGTCGTTTCGAAAAAGGAAAGTGGGTACTGCACGAAAGATGAAAACTACGGCATTTAGTCGTTGTGAAATACAGATTCAGATCGTCGTTATGTTGTCTTCAATTAATTTAAGTGAGGTGAAAAGTTCAAGTACTTAGTTTGTTTGTTTGTTGTAATAAAAGCCGTAAGTTTACAAAATTATACCTGAAAACAAAATTTTCTCAAAAGTCGGGGTGTTGTTTGTGCTTGGAGTTTTTTTTCAAGAAGAAAACAATCCGAAGAAGGGAGAAGTTCGCGACCGCCCTATTCCACTGTGGGGGGAGGGTCTCAAACCTGGGGAAAGGGATGGAACATTCCAAGCAGATAAATATAAAAATTTACGCACAAATCATAATCATTGCAAAAGAGACCGGACGCCGCGACCACTACAAAAAACTTCTACCGAAAGAAATCAAGAATTTTGAAGCACCAGCAAAGACGAACTGGGCGAAAGTTAGAAGTAAGTGGCGATGGCCCATGAACGCAATTCATCACAAGGTGCTACGAAAGCACGACCGATTGCTTTTTCGTTTTCCTTCACTCCACCAAACCGAGGACATCAAAAGCTATACTTCTGAAGTACCACATCAACGACACGTCGACCTCCACAACGCCCGGCTTTAGCCGCGGTGCTGACGAGCAAGTTGTACTTGTAAATCAGAATAACTTTACGCTGTACAACGAAGGCACCGAGAAAGATGCTGATGAGTAGAGCAGGCTTTCTTATAATTGCAGTGTCTTCCTCTATTTCTTCACGCTCACCGACTTCTACACATGATCACTTTACTTCCAACCATGGTTGCAAAATCCTCGAATGCGTGAATGCTAAGAGAGGATAAAGAGGGCGGTAGGAGGACAATAAAGTACTGGTCGTGCGGGTCTCGGCTTTTTTCATAGTGTCAAAAAAGTTCGTGTTCGCTTCCCTCCATGGAAACCGGTACATGGTGCGAAGTGTCTTCGAGGCAACAAAAGATGTGTTTCGTTTCATGTGTCGTGTATTTTCTGATACTGCTCTCCCGCAACGAATCGCCGAGGACGACACGAAAATCAGATATTTTGTATTAATTTCTTTTTTTTGTTGCAGAGTGGTCACGTGAGTAGAAGTGCAAATGAAAATGACTGCAACGAGGAGAGCGGTAATGTTGCCAAATCAAAGAAATCTTCAATGTTGTAAAAAAAAAGTTAAAGTAGACACTAGCACGACATGTCAATTTTCGAAGGATGTAGAGATGCCTCGTCGCACTGTCGACGTTAGCCATACTTTTTTTACAACGTCAACGGTCATAGTCAAAATGCGAGGTGAGACAACAACAAACACAAAAACAAGAAGTAACTCTTTTATCAAGCAAGTTTCGTAGGAAAGGTGAAGTAGGTAGTAGTACACTCTTCAATTCGACGCAAGAGTAGGAAGTGTCAAACCAACAGTCAATTTCAAGTAATAATACAAACATAGAAGCAGACAAAACATGACGTGAAGCTACAGAAATTATGAAAAATTAATCATGTGCGTGGTGGTCGTGAAGACCCCGTGAAGTTCCAATTTTCGTATTCAAAAATGTGAGGAGCGTTGCTCCTGTTGAAAGTGGAAAATGCGAGCTGTGGCGCTTCTCGAAAATGTAAACGGATGTTGACAAGCAAGTGCGATGAAGCTGATTAAAGTACTTGCAAGTAGAAGATGGAGATGTTGTACTTAGTATGAACAAGTTGTGATGAAAATACGATGAAAATGCTGGCTCGCCTCACGTGTCGTGAGTCCATGTAGGACCAGTGTCCACAGTCTCATGGACAACTTGGCTACAAATAAAAATCCCAGAATGTTCCTCCAACTAGAAGCACTATCTTCGCGAGCGGGTTCTTGGTCAAATACATCACGAAAAAGGCCTGTGTCTGGCAGAGACACTGCGACGACACGCCGGTGGGGAACTTGACTCAAGGCATCTTCCCGCCATCTTGGTTCGACAGGCAATGCCTTCGTTCTGCTTTGTTTCTTCACAGTCAGATTTGGAGGTGGACGAAGACGACGTCGATTGAGAACGCCGCCGCCGGCGGATGGGAAGGATGGGAGATTATCAATATGTGAAAATGTCTGGGTCTGGAAGATTACCAGGTTTGTCATGCACATTTTGCATGACTCCTGACGTTCGTGATGCATGCCCTAGCATCACAGATTTTGTGAGGGCTTCCTGATGCCTATACCGCATGACAAATGCTCTTTCCGTGTAGCAAGACTCGGGCTCTCTTTGCTGCCCATGCAATACAGATTTTTTTAGAATCCAAAATCAGCATGACAAGTTGGATGCTTCCAGACCCAGACACTTTTACAGTTGATAGAGACCGGCGGGACGCCTTCTTCCGAGGCCGAGCGGACACCGAGCTGGAGGTGGAGGACAAAGCGCCTCCTCGTCCTGCTTGTGTCAGAGTTCTTGCCGCTGCAGCCTCTTGCTGTTCCAACAGGAAGCTGGTGGAGGTCGTTGTACTACCGTCACCTCTATCAACTGCAAAAATGTCTGGGTCTGGAAGATTCTGAGGCCTGTGATGCACGTCTTGCATGAGCCATGATGTCTGTGATGCACGCCCTAGCACCACAGATTTTTTGAGTGGGGGCATCTTGATGCCTATTCCGTATGAGGAATGCACTATCCTTGTTGCAAAAATTATATTTGCTACTCACGCAACCCAGACATTTTTGCAGTTCATAATTCAAGGCACCTTCCCGCCTTCCCGGAGGTTCGACAGGCAAGGCAATGCCTTCGTCGACAAAAAAGTGTTAACGTTACGGCTTTGGCGATTTTTGGAACAAAATTTTTTTTTCCGCACAGTGGCTTTTTTTTCATGTAGAAGCCAACACTTTTCATGATACTAGCTACCGCGGGAGACTCTGTTGTAGCGTCATCCTCATCGGTTTGAGCTAGCTAGTACACAAAGCATTCCACTCCGCGCCCGGGTCTAGCGCAACCTCCGGAGGAATACCACGGGCGCCGCGGCTCTGACTGTTTTGGCATGATATGGCGGTGATGTTGGCGACCTTTCGCCATGAAGTCTGTCACGCAAGGCGTGCGCCATGTGTCGGCATATGAGCCTATGCGACAACCCCCCGAAAGGTCCGCGCAACTCTTTACCATATCGCCACCTTAGAACAGTATAGGCTCGCTGCGTTTCTAGTCATTGCGCTGCAGCTTTTGAGCCATCTCACCAAGTTCTCTCCATGAAGCAGAAAAGCTGTGACTTCGAGGATGAGGAAAGTTGGCAAATTTAGGGCACCAAAGTGCCCAAGTTTTGCAGTCACCCATAAAACCGTTAACACTTTTTAGAATGGGCGGTATGATCGCCCCAGCCTGCCAAAAGCAGGCATTTTTGTATGAAAATGCCAAAAAATGACCGTTAACACTTTTTAGACAGCACGCTATGGTCGATTTATCCTCCCCAGAGACCGCGCTTCTTGGCCTGCAGGGTTTTGGACAGGGTAAGTCGATCATAGCATGCTGTCTAAAAAGTGTTAACGGTTTTTCTGGGTGACTGCGAAATTTGGCCTCAAATTGATAGCAAATCATGGACTTTTTCGGCGGAATTCCCTATGACCCGAAAAAACCGTTAAGACTTTTTAGACAGCACGCTATGATCGATTTTGCCTGCCAAAAGCAGGTCCATCCTCAGTGTCGATAGCGGGGGCGAGGATGGTGGCAACTCGAGACCATCTCTCAATGAGGTGGCTTGCAGTAGCTGCCGTCCACGAAGCGTCCCCAAACACTTGAAAAGCAGGCTCCGATGACACCGAGCTGGTGCGGAGGCGCTGCGACCGGGTCCAGGAGCCCAAGTGGCGCGGAAGGTTCGCCATGGAGCGGCCCCTGTGGGCGAAGTTCCGCGCCGTCAGGCCTTGTGCACCAGCTAACTCAAACAAAGTTAGTCACTCAGAGTCCCACAATAGTGAAAAGAGTGAGCGGGGCCCTTTACGCATTCATGTGATGCCGGCAGGGAACCCACAAAAAATTTTTAATGCCAAAAATGCCAAACCGTAACGTTAACACTTTTTTGTGGTTAACTCTGGTGGGGAACTTGACTCAAGGCATCTTCCCGCCTTCCCGGAGGTTCGACAGGCAAGGCAATGCCTTCGTCCCGCTTTGTTTCTTCACAGTCAAGGAGCAACGGGTCCGTCGCCTTGGTCGTGCCCTTCACTCCCAGCACATGCTCCACCGTCTTGCAAGCACGACGAGCTGGATTCTCCCGCCCGGAGCCGGTCAGGCCATTGTCCTTGTTGCGAGCCACCTGGTCGTGACACAGCAGGTGGAGAACCACTGACGGCCGTGGCGTGGCTGCTCGTCCTGAGGCCGGCCGAAGCTCCGCCTCGACCCCCGGCTGCGAGCGAAGAAGCGGGCTGCGGCAGAGAAGGAGCACCACTGCGGGCCGCGGCTGCGAGCGAAGAAGCGGGCTGCGGCAGAGAAGGAGCACTGCGGCCCGTGCTATGCCCGTGGCCCGCGTAGGCGGGGAGAGAACTAGCGCCACCCTGTGCTACCGGCGGGCTGGGTGGGTGCACCAGACGAGAACCCGCGCTGGAGCTGCGGCTGACTCCGCTCCCGACACTGATGAAGTCGGGCCCGCCATCCGGCTGGTTCGGCATGCTCGAACAGGGCGGGCGCAGCACCGGAGAACCCGTGCTGGAGCTGCGGCTCACCCCGCTCCCGACACTGAAGTCGGGCCCGCCATCAGGCTGGCTCGGCATGCCCAAACTGCGAGAGGACAAGGGGTCTGCGGCCATCCCGCCATCCGGCTGGCTCTGCGAGAGGACAGGGGGACTGTGGGTATCCCACAACCCGGCTTGCCCGGCGTGCTCAAACGGCGAGAGGACGGGGCCAGGGGGACTGTGGGTATCCCACAACCCGGCTTGCCCGGCGTGCTCAAACGGCGAGAG